TATACGTGTTTAGATTGTTTTTATACATGGATAGTGAGAGAAGAGAATGAGATTTTGAAGTTGAAAAATGTCGAGATGTTTAAGTTGCGAGGGTGAGTGAGGTGAAAAGCATTTTTACCCTTCTGAAAGAAAAATGCGGAAAACGTGTTAAGTACTTGTGCTTTACTAGAGTAGTGAGGTCGTAGAAGAATAAACTCTCATGTTATTCAAAATTAGCTATTATGCCAAAACAAGAGAATACTGGAGTTAAGAGGTAGCAGCGACTTCGGTCGTGGAAAAACATAGAAAAGAAGACCTTAACGGCAAAGGAGCCAAGCCAATAGAGATTATCTAGCTAACATATACTAGTAAGTAATCATTGCACTTACACTAGTGCCATTCGTCCACTACAAAAGACCACAAACACCTCCAAAATTCCAGAAGCAATAGGTCAATTCATGAACGGAAGATGTAGGTGCTACTGCCGAAAATCGTTTTACCACCGTATCCATCTTTCTCACAAACCTTGTCTTGGACATTGGAGACTCTAATCTAGGGTAGTTTATTTACAATAGTCAGACTTTCGGGTGCAGTACTTGTTTTGACAAAATGTACTCCCTCCCTAGAGACATGATCGCTTGGCATGGAACCTTTCATATATCTCTGCAACGTCTCTGTAGAGAGAAGAGAGAAAAGGGAGATCGAATTTTATGTCTGAAATGCCGGCTTTCTTAATAGATATTTGAGTAGATAGGTTTTGTTTAATTAGTTAGTCTTTAATATCTTATAGAAGAACGATTGATCGTAAGCTTTCCTTTTATTTCGTAGTAAGTTTCACCCCCCTTATTCTTAATCAAATTTCTGTAATACTCTAAATACTAAAGAATCTATAGTTCGAAAACCTTCTTGTTACTCTTCTTCCAGCGCACCGCGTTCTTCAAGTCTACGAAAGATCGCTCCTCGTGTAATCTACTGTAGAAATCAGGTGACTACACCTAAGGTGCTTTTTACAAAATCTCCGGAACATTATATACATAGTTAATAAACTACGTTTTTTAGATTTCATTTAGAAACTAACCAAACATGCTCATCGACTACGAGATGGGTGGTGGAAGTGAGTTTTTTCTGAAGGCATTATTCTATTATTACACTTGCTGCACAAATAGTATAGGATTTAGGATTAAAGTAGTAATGGGCGTATGTATATAAAACATTTGGCTTTGCGAAAACCGACATAAATGGATGTTTGTCGTCGAAATTGAAACTACTACCAATTCTAGAAGGTTCATGGCCATCAACTTCTCTTAATTTTTATTTTCTTCTCCTACGTATTTAGCATACTACTTACACTTTAGAGCATTAAAAGTATTACAGAACTTGTGCGGTACACGGTGAGCTACGCATTCCGAATTTCGGAGTCAATAGGTATCTCAGCAGAAAGTGACATCTATATTCTTTCACAGGACGTTAGTTTTTAAATAATGCAGCTGTAACTTCCCAGCGACCTTGGACCGTAAATATATATTCAAGTTAATCCTACTCTAAAGTACACCAGGAAATATTCTCAAAAGTCTTCTAACGTAAGATTCCCTCTCCAATAAGTAAGCCCCTACGCCTCTGCACCATTGCTCCTATCGATCTCAATCTACTCTCTATACCACATTTTACATACCCAGTAATCCACATTTGCGCTCTATAAAAACAGTGGATCCGCCAGTTTCATTTTTACCATAGTCATAGAACCCTTTTTCACAGTTTGGTTCCTAATTCACATTCGATCACGAGTTTTGCTTTTGCAAAGCTCGTTTAAATTCCAAATAGTATTGTCTAGAAAACAAGTTCTCTTTGCTGCGCACAATGAGGCGGAGCCAAAAGACCGGACAGCTTTCCAAATGGCTACTATGGGTAGTCCCTGGCAGAAGATGGACACAACACGGCTGAAGACGTTCGCAAAGCAGATGAAGACTACGAAAGAATTATAAGATGACAAGAAAGTGTTTAAACAAGAAATATCCTCTTTTGGGAAGAGTATATTCATCGCCGAAAATATAATTGCTACCGAATCCTTTCTAGTTTAACCGACTAGTGGTAATCCATGCGACTACAAATACCCAAATATCTTTTTCTTTCCAGAAGAGACGTGTTCAAGTGTCTCGGTAATTAAGTTTTAAGTACTGTCGTTCTACAGACAGCTCCGAGCATCTTCTGTTGCACGTCGTACCGTTTGTTTGGTCCCCACTAAAGGGATTGCCTTCAAGAAAAGGAGTCGTTTCCACAACCTCGGGAATTTGGATATAGCGATGGTTCCCTTGCATCGGTTCTGTGTTTAGCTTTATAAACCGCCTTGCATTCTCCTAATACTTCGAGAGTAATAGGCTACAGGGTAACGCGAATTTATGCTCGTGATGTAAACCGCTTTTTTATATTTCAATTAACACTCTTATCTATACCTGTCATATCTCTAAAAATATTATTAAACATAGCCCACTTCTTAACATAAGCCTTCAAGCGTATATCTTCTAAGCTCGGGATAATTATTTAAAAAATAATATAAACTATACGAAATCTCTATAAAATCTTCGTCTCGTGTTAATCTATTATACTCCGGAAACTCTTTCCAAGAGTAATTCACAATCTGGTGTTTTGTAAGTCATTTTCATAATTCGGCCTAAGAGATTTACAACTTAGTTCCAAATTCATGGTTGATAACAACTTCTAAGGTAAGAATAAAGGCTCGTAACGATCAGGAAATGTGTCGGTTGGGGAGAGTATATACCTGTCGCCGAAAATGAAATTACTACCAAATTACATTTATGTAAGACTGAAAACCTAATGTGATAAGAGAACCGACAACAAGTGGGTTCTTTCCAGAAAATTCTCCTTAAAATGGACATAATAAAAATCTCGAGAGGCTGTAATGACAGACAGTATGCTGACAGCCCAGTAGGTAGGGCGAAAGGCAGGCAAGATTGGTATGCTCTACTAAAGCTGTCATCGCTCGATTTAAAGTTCGCATTCTTGTCGTACCTTTTCTAATCTAACTCTAAATAAGAATAGTAAGAAAAGACTATCTAAAAAAAAGAAACTACTCTTTTAAACTTCAATTTCAATACGTTTCCATCAACCTCAGAATATTATGGTAGTAGGCTTATAGGGTACAAGTTCGCAGTCTGGGAATAAATGGCAAGTACTGTCATTTATGAGAATGTAATAAACGGTTCCTTGATTTTACGTAAGTTCAACTAAATGTAATAAATTAAGCTTTGAGAGGGGCTTTGTCACCGAAAAATACATTATCACCGATTCCCCTCACGCCTTACCCCCACTCACCCCTGTTCACGTCTCTCTTCCTTCCACAACCCTCCTAAACTGTTATAATACCCACAAATCATCCTCGGTATCTCACTCCATCCGAAAATTAACCCCTTCCATTACCTGTACCTACACAGACACATGTGCCATTTGTCGTATCGGACCATAACCACTTACTTTTGTGGTAACGAAGGATTCATATAATACATTTTACGTTTTAAGGCGGCCAAATTAGGTTCTATTCTCTTCTGTTGAGATAGGGTTTAGAAGGGAATGTTGTGTGTTTTAGTTAAGTTCATATACAGGATATTCTTTTATCTCGTCTCTTGATTTTGCTAAGTAAGCTATTCACGAAATTGAAAAAATGGATTGTTATTACTTATAACCCCCTTACCTTTCAAATTAGAAATCCCATGAGACTACCGAGTTTGAAATGACCAACAGGGCTTTCGGTACTTCCCTATTCTCTAGAACAACTATCCCGTCTCCTCTCCTCACCTATCCTAAAAAGCAACACAATACCAGTAGTCCTTCCCACCTTTTATACATAACATTCACCCGCTCCTCGTGAACTGTTGTCACCGATTCAACTCTCACCACCGAATTCCCTCCCCCTTCCAAATCTACCACCTCCCTCCACAAATACCTCGCCAATCCCCTTTATCCACAACGCACTTCGCCGCAAAAAGATTCCTCTCCCCAAATTCCGGGACATGGCTAGCTTTTCAAAGTTTTGGTCAACATAGGTACTCCAGGCTCGGATCACCGAGGATGGGCCCGCGAACTAATGTTGCTCCAGGTAGAGATTGGTGAACTATTTATATTGTAAAGGAAATGAAAAAATGAAAGGGGAATGTGAAGATCCCTAAACTTGGTATTTGACAGCCTATGGACTTGAACTGAATCTTCAACTTCTCATCCATACTCCTCTACACGAAATATTACTTAACACTATCTACACATTCTTCAACTCATCCCAAACCACCCGCTATCTTGTCCTACATTCCAAAGCGACATATCATATAAGACCCATGACCCTCCCGAAGTCGACAACGTACATTTGGATCATTATAGCAGGGGATAAATGTTCGGTACATCGTTTCACTACACCCCTAACACACAACCATTCACTATCTCTCCAGTCCATTTCTTCACCCTAAGTACCACCACTTCCCAGGATTCAAGTGCGCTGTCTTTCGGCACATAACCCGCTGGCTTGTCACCGAAAATAAACTCGTCACTGATTCCCACACCCTTTCCCAGATCCGCCTCCCAATTCCCAATCCATATACGCGAACCACCTTCACGACCATAGAATACCAAAAATATCGACCTAAGTGAGAAGAAACATTTCAATCACTTGTACACAGTTCTATGCAGGTTCCGTTATCATAGCGCACCATTTGTTGTACCTCTTACAGATGCTAGGGGGAGGATTTATATGATATCATTTGACGAGGGAATGAGATGGAGGGGTTTTGGCGTTAAATTGGATGTGGATGATTCATCGGTTGTAGGCTTTCAAACTACGAATTCGATAGATATCACAAACGATTCGCCTTACTTATCTTACTCGCTCACTCAATACTCTTAATAGACCAGCTTTTGAAGAAGCTCATCAAAGATTTCATAAACATTTCCGTATCATACAATATTCATACATTTCCTCTCATCCTTCATCTTTCATCATTATCCAAGGAGTAACTTATTTACTCCCCCTTCTTGCCCAGCGTCTGCTGGATAGTACCTCCAACCTTTCCATCAGGATTGAAATTCTTTCTATAGACACAAGTGTGTTAGCATATTTCTTTCGTGCCTTCGTTTGCTCGTCTCTTCTTGGTCTGTTTTGACCACAATACCAATTCTCCTGGGGCATTGCCAGTACTATAGTCTTCACCTCTTCACCCTGCCCCAACTCACCCTCTCTTCCCTCTTCCCCCCCTTCCTTCCCCACCCCAAATCCTCTTCCTCCAAAAACAAAAAAAAATTCCACTCACCCAATCATCCCATCACTAGCCAACGGCCCCCCAACCTTCTCCCCCACACTCCCAATCGCGCCCTCCTTCTTAAACATGCTGCCAATCGCACCATCCTTATTCAGCGCCGGGGTTCCGGTGCCTGTTGTTTTCTCGCCTGCTGGGGCCTGTGAACACAATGTAAGGTTAGCGATGATCGTATGAAGAGGGGATAGGGAGAGGATGAAGGGAATGAAAAAATCAAAACACAAGCCCCACGAAAACCGAACTCAAAACACAACAACATCCTCAACTCCACAACCAGACACACGTTCATGAGTTCCACCAACAAAATACAGCACAAGCCATGCACATAACTACCGCCTCCTCATACATCCACAAGGACACCCAAAAGTAAACCAAAAACAAAAAAGACATCCGTAAGATAAAACCAAAAACACCCCTCAAATAACAGTTCGAAATAAACGACAAAAAAAAAATGAAAGAGAAAAAGAAGGTGGAAAACATACCCTCATATGCCCCTTCTCATGAATAGCATCACTTCCCATCTCCGTAATATCAACCACCGAATTGGCGCCCGCGTCGAGGGCTTTGGCTGTGGAATCACCGTCCATTTTGAATAATTCCTTTTTCTAACCCGTGTGAAAAGAATTCGTGCTTATATATTTTCGTGCGTAGATTTGTTCGTTATAATGATATGAGATCGATATGAATGAAAACGTATCCAACAAAGGAGAATCCGTGATTATAAGTGATGGACGCAATGTAAAATTGTGGGGAAACACAAATATGCCAATGTCAATGACATCTGCCCCAAAATGGTGACGTTGTGCCGAATCCCACTCAAACGCTGAAAACTCCGACTGGATGACGGAGATGATAATGTTCAATTACCCTCATCAATATACATTACCCTCTGGACTTCCTCATCATCACATGAATTCCAATCATCATCAACGTTACCCACGCAATCCAGTACCCGAGACCTCATAGGGTCATGGTCTGGAGGAGGCGCTAGGACGGAAAGCTCCGGATCTACCTCACACCCAGTTAGATCTCACCCCTCACCAAACCCAAACTCCATCTGATGCTGAACCAAGATAAACAAATAGAAAAGTGAAATTGTCATGAGCGGACTACCACATCAATCATAACAAAAATCTCTTCTTTCTTTAAAAACTGCTAAATAAAAAGGTATAATAAAACGAAAAAATCCAAACACATCACTTCCATTCCCCCCTTCATTTGACAAAAGAAACATCTGTTCACTCCCCATCTACACCTTCCAAATATACACAAACTCATCCAAGATTTTTCTATGTACTATCCTATCCACCTTTCCTTCCCCGTCACTCCTCGATCAAAAATTTCATCGCTTCCAAAATCTTCTTTCCGCTGGTTAAAATCCTGGGGTATGAATATGAAATCGTTATATCCACAAAATGCACGCTCGCAATAGTCTAATAAGCATGATTCACACCTCTGTATCCCCCACCATACGCTTGCGGTTGGTTGAAATTCGGTAATGTAGGTTGTCGGTCATGAGGTGGTGGACTGCCATTCGCGCCACCGAGCGGAGCCGCGTTGCTGACAAGCCGCTCACGACTGGCGTCCGAAGAAGTGGCTCGGTGATGTGATAGAGGGGTGTATGATCTAAGTGGGGTGGCTCCTGCGTAAGGGTTCGCTGGCTCGTTCATGAAGCTGTCTGAGCTGTTTTCCTTGACGAGAGGATTTTTGAAGTCGTGGTCGTATTTACCATTCATTGGACGCTGAGTTGGGTCCATGAGGAGACTGTTTCTGGCATCCAGAGGAGTGAGGTTGTCGAGGTCACGGTTGAGTTTTTCTAGAAATAATTAGCTTACGTATTGAAAGGTTGATAAGGTATTCTTACCTGCTTCCTTGCGTCTTCTACGGTGAGGGTTCTCTTTGCAGCACATGATGAGAGCATTTGCAACAATCAAGATACCAAGAACTCCAGCAAGAACCGATTGAACAGCAATGAGAACGACACCAGTGACCGTTTGGGTGGTTTGAGCAACACCAAGCTCCTCAACGAATACCAAAATACAGGCCACAGTCAATGCTCGGACGATCTGAATAAAGATGTTGATAACGTTTCCGGATCGTCTCTCAAAAGGACGGTTCCAGATCAAAAGGCCAAGCATAAGACATTCGATGACGAGTTGCGCGATAGTTTGTCCCATTCCATGACCGTCTGCGATGGCAAGTACGACTCCTTTGGCGAACATGTAGATGATGAGTGGGATGAATACCCACCAGAAATCCTTCTTGTAGCTGTCGTAGAAGATTGAGTATTTCAGCCAATGGCTTTTGTTCTCATACAATCCAGAGGCATCTCCTTCGGATTTCTTCAAGGTACGGGCGGTCTTCCAAATCATAAAGGTGAAGAATCCAAGCACTCCGGTGAAGATTGCGAGGGTCAATCCGGCAAGAAGTTTCGCAGCCCAAGAATCTCCGTGGGTAAATTGATATATGCAATAAAGCACCCAGACACCGTACAAGACCAAAATCAACTGCACAATAACACGAGCCATTGTTCCCCAGTAATGCTTTCGGAATCCAGTAAGTCCTTTAGGGAACGATCCAAATAGAGCCCAAGTTTCCAAGATGACCTTGAACAACAAGATACCGACAGCAATGGCGGCGATGACGCAAGCAACGATCAAAAGGACGGTCATAAATGTGTTTGCAGATGGAACGCTTAAGAGCTCGACGTACGCCTTGATACCGGAAACAGTCGCCTCGACTCCAGATGCGGTTGTTGTGGCAGTTGCGTTCTCGGTAGCAGTTGCATTGGCGCTGGTAGTTAGGGTATCTCTGGCGAAAAGAGCAAGATCGCGTTTGGTGGTTGAGTTCGAGGAGCCGTAAACCAGGGTTGCTTTCTCGAGAAATTCTACACTATCGTTTGTCAAGTTTCCACCGGTAGATGCACGGAAGTTATCAATCGAAACCTGCATTGCCCTCCATGGAACAACACCAGTACTGAAAGCAAAGTTCTTGGTGAAACTTCGATAGACTGGAGGATAGTTGACCGACATCATTCCGTTCATAGCAAATCCTTGGAAGACCATGAAAACCTCGGTGAAGGATGGACTGATAGTTCCACTTCCAGCTGTACTTCCACCTGCGGCCGCAGCTCCAATAGCAGATGCTCCAGTCAAGACCGCAGCAGCACCTACGATACCCGCAGCAACGTATGAAACAGCTGGTATATTGACGGTCTTTCCATTCGAGACGGTCGAGGTCAAACATGCCACATTCTTTCCCCCATCAAGTGCTTTCAACTCCAATTTAGCTTGTGCGGCGATATCGGGGATGGAAAAGGTAATCGAAGGGATGAGGGACGCGTATGATTCTGGGATGGTTTGCTCGCCCTTTGCTGCGAATGTTCCTGCTGGGACTGGATGATATTAGCTTGGTTCGTCCACATACTATTGATCCACATACCAGGACATAACTGTGCAACAAAGGTGTCTGCTTCGCAAGGGTTAAAGGACTTTTGGTATACTTCGGTGCCATATGCTGTTACGGTTAATGCAGCCTAATAAATTAGCAGCTTTCCCCATACGCAGAGAGGTATTCCTACTGTAACGTTCTGCACCTTCGAACTCGTCCCAGCCACATCAAATGTCACCACCTTCTTGTCGGCGTTATATTTAATGTCCATCGCCTGGACTGTGATGCTGGAATCCGAGTCACATGTTGTGAAGCTCGAGGTTTCTAAGATCTGATCTGCGAATACTCTGGCCGGCAGTGATCCGAGTAAAAACAAGGAGATGGCAGAAAAGGTAGAAAATTGCCGTAACATGATTGCGGTTGTCGATATCTGTTCCCCCAATATCCCACCGAATCGATCTGAGCTGAGAAGCTCTGTGTATATCTAAAGGTGCGCCGGTCTGAGTGATGAAACGATATCCCTTGGCCTCCCTTGGGCTGAAAATTCGAGATTGGAGAACGCGTACGGATCGGCGTGGATGCTAAACAAGACAATAAAGTTTATATGGTTGTAATGCAGGATCTACCTGTGAAGAATCGAATTCGAAAGACTGCAGATGCTGGTGATTGTGGTTGACTGGGGAATGGTCGTGGAGCGGATGGTGGTGAATGTTGAGTCGGGTCGGTTCGTTTCGTCTCGAAATAGGGGATTCGAGGATGAGTGAGATACGGGGTAGCGATAGGAGTTGCAAGAGATCGGGCACTGCTGACAAAAACAAAAACTTTAAAAGAGACAAAAGGGATGGATGTTGAGAGACGGAGAACGAATGTGATGCCACGGGAGAGTATTGAAGGCGGTGGCAGAGTTGTGTGAATGGTGGAGGAGAAGCACAGTCTGGCGCACGATGAAAAGATGCAGCAACGACCGGCAGAGAGACAGCTGGAACGGGTGGCAGCGCACGACGACGGCAAGAACTTGCTTGGTGGAGAGCACAGAGGAAATGGGCTTGGAGATGTGTACCAGGGGGGTTCTTTCCGGGGGTCTCTCCCTTGGAATCTGCGGAGTCTGGACGGTCTTGGACGCGACCAGCGAATTACGGGGTCAAGTCCACGGCGGGAAGGGGCCCCGTCAGGGTTTTGTGACAGGCTAGCCAGGGCTTGGTGGCTGCTAAATCAGCTTTCAGTGGGACATCTGGCGGGGCCTAATCGAGCAATAGCGACCATTTCGACACTCACCACGAACACCAGACTTCTTTGTGACCGATCAAAAGAGTTCACCTAGTATCACCGTTGGCTTTGTCTGGCGGTCAGCCGCAGTCTCTCGGGCTTTGTACTGAGAATAACCTCACCTCGTTGGCAGCGGTGAGACATCAAAGAAGTCTCGTATTCCAGTTGGGTATTTTCCTATTTTCAGCATCCTGGCACCAGTGGAACACCAGAGATCTGGGCTTCTGGGAAGTAGCGCGCGCTGGTGAGCACGCACTGAGGTCGAATGAACCATCCTCTCTGCCACACACGAATCGAAGTGAAACAACTTTGAAATCTGAAAGGTGTTTCCTCGACCACACATCAGGATTTGTTTTTGCTTCTGTTGTCACAGCAGAGTGCACTGCAGCAGAATAGCTGGAATGGTAATCATGAGGTCAGAGGCTCTGGGAGGAAGTTGATCGACCGTTATTCAACCTATTTGAGACAATTCATGTCTGATATCCGTAAATGAGGATCTGGGAAGTTTTTGAGAAGATGGATACTTTACGGCAACGACATCCTCATTTTACCTGCTAATTCTAGTCTGTATCCTCATGGATTGTTATACTCTATTTCGACTTATCATATCACACCCAGTTCTCTTCAATTCACCAAGATTCATGCGTCAAATTGATTGAATCCAGAGTCTATTTCGACCCCTGATATTGTGGTTCTATTCGTAGACCGGCCGCTATTGTTAGCGCAACTCCACTACTATTGACCACTTGTTAGCGTCTCGAACCTCAACATCTTGACAACTTTTCATTGTTTACATTCCTTTGCTGCTGCGTCCACAATTCATTCACTTTCTCATGATAAGATCACGCTCATCTGCTGCGCCTTTGTCTCGCGACACTCACCCGACTGCATGGAGTCCTGGAATTGCCGGCTGTGCCACACTGTGGCTACCTCAACCAAGAACCTTGGAAAACCTTCGTGTTGGTGGAATTGCGAATGCATTCCAGTGGTGCCTTCTTCGACAAAGAAATCATCTGCTGATCCTGAAATAGATCTGATTGGGTTATCAAAGATCTCATCTCATCGCCGGCAGGAGTTCCATCATAACCTTGATGGGTTGGAAAATAGGAGTTTCGGGTCTCGAAATCCTCGTCCCCTAGCTGAAGTTGTCATCACGTGATGATAACTCTCTGGAGTATAGTTGCAAATCTTTGCAAGAAGGATAGGTCTATGATCAGATATCATTCGTGTTATTTTCTGGCTATCTGTAATTCTAACTTTTTAGAAGGTGTCTTGAACTTCAGCACGTGACGCTGTAAAGCCACGGGTGCGGAGGTGGAGGTTCCAAAGCTCCTAAGTTCCTCCCGAGATCCACATTCGAAGATCTGATATCAGAGGCATCTATGAAGAACAATCGTACATCGAGTACGACCTCACATATTCTGCTCCCATGCCACCAAGAAATGAAATCTGTCCCCAAAAGCTCGAAAACTTCTACATCCCGAAGACAAGCGTCTCGGGACCGAGATGAGTCAATCAAACGCACATATTCCAAGACGTTTGACTCGCTCAACTGGCGAAAAAACCTTGGAAATGAAGGAAATTGTGACACAATCGCATTTCAAAGAGGGATTGAAATACCTCACGTCAGCATTCAAGTATGTTAATATCAGAATATCTAGTCACAAACAGTCATACGTAGTCATTGCTCTTGATACATTGATGCCTTGAGGCCAAGGAGCGCTGCGTACCACCTAATTAAGTTAGACCAGACCTCGCATTCGCCCGTCTTATCCCCTCGCATTTCTTCCACATTCGTATAGCCCAGCTTTCTCGGCCACCTCTGATTGGCCAGCCTGACCTCTTCTGGATGTCGCGTACACGCAAATCGACAGGGACATTATTATTTCTCCTTACGAGGAAGTTTGTTTAAACAACACTTTTCAACCTTCGCATCCAGTTCCATCGGACACTCATTACATACATCGTGAAGCAGGTTCTCACATACTTGTAGACATTGGAAATCCCCTTCTTGTATACCCGTTCTCAACTATTCCCGACATTCGACGTGGGCGTCAAGCTTGCGACGTGCATCGTGCTATCGGCGTTCGGTCTTCACTCACAAAACAATATGTGGTGAAAGGTACAAGTGCGCTTATCAGAGCCCCTTCCACCATACACCACCTCGGATTTGTGTCATTATGTCGGACCATCCAGTAGACGAGAAAGATGTTACCATTACCTCCCAGGACCAGCAACCAAATAGCAAACCAGAACCAACGCAGGAAAAGCGTCCCATCAGTAGTGCCACGGCTAGCTCCTCAGACAAAGATGTCCCCGCAAAGTCTCCGGAAGTATCAAGTGCAGAGCAAGTAGTCGAGAAGAAGACTGGCGAGGATGGGAAAGATGTGAAGAATGACGAGACTGATTATTCCAGTAAAGCTACGCGCAAAACTGAATTCAAGCACTTTCTTGTACGTCAACCCCACATACAATTGATTAGAACACTACTAAATCTTGAACAGAGAATCTTTCTACACACTACCACCTCTGACAGAATACTGTTGGGTTTAGCAGCAATTGCACAAGCTGGAACTGGAACTGTACGTCCCCAAAATTGCTTAAAGCATGCTCATTCTAATCTAGATAGACTTTACCGTTGATGAACATTGTATTTGGTAAGTCTTTTGACTAGGAACAGGATTTAAGTTGGGATTCCTAACGATTATCTTGTTCAGGTAAATTTGTTGGCCAATTCAGCGGCTACTTCATTCCGAATAGTGGAACCACGAAAGCAGAGTTCCAGGACAGTATCAACACTCTCACGTAATAACACCCATTCCATTATCCTTCTAAGCATGATATAGAAGTCATCCACCCATGCTTTACGTTGGCATCGGTGTGATGTTCTCTTTGGTATCTCTACAATTACTGACTTGGCTTCTAGCTTGTTCCTCGTTTACCTCTTCATAGCAAGATGGGTTCTTGGTTACTTTTCCATGTTTGTACTGCGTGTGGTTGGACTCAAGATGTCGGCCAAAATACGGCTGGAATATCTCCAATCCCTATTTCAACTACCCATCTCGGTGATTGATACGATGCCCAATGGTCAAGCCTCGAATACCATCACAACCACTGCGAACGTCTTGCAGGTTGGAATATCGGAAAAATTAGGAACCATAGTCCAGTACTTGGCTCTTCTCATCACCTCCATTATCATTGCATTCAAATACAATGCTATACTGACTCTAGTCACCTCTTCATCAATTTTGTTCTTGGCTGCGGTTTACGGAATTATTGTCCCAATCATCATCAAAAAAACGAAAGCTACCGAGCAGGCAGACGAAAAAGCCGCTTCTATCGCTGGAGAAGCCTTGGGATCTGTAAGGATGATTATTGCTTGTGGAGCAGAGAATCGCATTGCTAAGAAATACGCTGGGTGGATCGAGGAATCTCGCAAAAGAGGACTCAAAATTGGCCCGTACCAAGGTGTCCAATTTGCTCCGCTCTTCTTTGGTATCTTCTCTACCATGGCGTTGTGTTTTTGGTTTGGATTCAAGCTCTATACCTCGGGGAAGATTGACGACATAAGCACCATCGTGATCGTTCTCAATTCGGTCATGATGACTTCCTTTGCCATTTGTGAGTTTCCCTCGATAGATTCAAACAGTGCCACTAATATCCAATAGCTCAAACCGCGGCACCTATTCTGGCAGTTACAAAATCTACCGCAGCTGCAACCGACTTCTACGCCGTCATCGATGCACCAAAACCAAATACTTCAGGGTTGAAAGAGCCGGAGATTTCTGCTAGAAATGACATTGAACTTGAAAACGTTACCTTTGCATATCCCAGTCGGCCTCATATTAAAGTTGTCGATGATCTCAGCATGCAATTTGAAGCCGGCAAAATCACTGCAATTGTAGGTGCCTCTGGATCTGGAAAGTCAACTATTGTTGGGTTACTCGAACGATGGTATGAACTTGACAATAGCACCTTATACAAGCTTCCCGACAGTGTTGTGGTTGACGAGAAAGAAAAGAAGAGAAAAGAGGAAGAGGAAAAGCTTAAGCCCAAAGAGCCAGAGCAACCCGCAGTCAAATTAGGTGGCAAAATTCTGGTTGGTGGCAAGAACTTGAATTCAATCGACTTGAAATGGTGGAGATCTCAAATTGGATTGGTTCAACAAGAACCATTTATCTTCAATGATACAATTCGGAAGAATGTAGAGTTTGGGTTGATTGGTTCTGAATGGGAAGATGCCGATGTGGAGACCAAGAATAGACTGGTCGAGGAAGCTTGTAAAGAAGCTTTTGCAGATGAATACATCTCAAGGCTTCCATTGGTAAGTACTGCCCTTAGTGATTGATATAGCAACTAACGATCTGCAGGGCTACGAGACTCAAGTCGGCGATTCCGGTATCAAACTATCAGGTGGGCAACGACAGCGCCTTGCTATTGCCAGGAGTATCATAAAACGACCAAAGATCTTGATTCTCGATGAGGCTACAAGTGCAATCGATGTCAGGGGCGAAAAACTTGTTCAGCAGGCTTTGGATCGCGTCGCGCAGGGTCGTACGACTATTACTATTGCTCATCGATTGTCCACTATCAAGAAGGCAGACAAGATTGTGGTTTTGAGAAAGGTACATTGCTTCACAAAGTTTTCTTGCAACCTGTTCACAAACTTGAGTCCCGCCGTCGCTGATTTTCCTCTGCATCGCGTCCTCATAAGCACATTACTAATATACTCCTTTAGGGCAAAGTCATCGAAACCGGTACTCACGACTCTCTTCTATCGGACGAAAATGGAGCATATTGGGCCCTCGTAAACGCACAAAAGCTCACCATGGGCGATCGATTTGAATCCGAGAATGAATTGACGGATCATAAAGACGAAGAGCTAGTACTTAGCAAGGAAATGAGTCGAGCCAGTGGAATCGAGACGGTTGAAAAAGTGGAATGGAAGAATAAGGGGTTCTTTAAAAGCTTCGGCGTTTTGGTTGTAGAGCAGAAACAGAGATGGCGTTGGTATCTTGTTCTCAGTGCTGGATGTGCGGGAGCTGCTTGTAAGTTCATCATTCGTCTCTCCTTACGAACCACAACCTTCCTTCTTGAACCGTAGCTAATACTTCAGACAGCTGCCAACTCACTTCAAGCCTGGTTCTTCTCTAAGCTTCTCACCGTTGTTACTATTGTAGACGGTACTCTACAAGCAACAGTCAATCACTGGTCTTTGCTTTTCTTCATACTTGGCATTGGCTCTGGCATCTCATATTTCCTTCTTGGGTATTCCTCGAATCAGATCTCAGTTGTAAGTGACAATTATCCTTTGTGCTTAACTGGCAATTAACATTGTCACAGCACATTGCTTCTACCTACCGCCAGGAGTACTTTGAATCTATCTTAGATAAGCCGGTGACATTCTTCGACGATGAAGCAAATTCAAGTGGAAGCTTAACTTCTCGTGTTTCCAATGATCCAACACAGCTTCAGCAACTCCTAGGCATAAATATGGCTATGGTGTACGTTTCAGTGCTGAGTCTTGTTGGGTGTATTATAATTGCTTTTGTTTTCGGTTGGAAGTTAGTATTACGTCCCACATATTTTCAAATACTAATTATAATAGGTTAACCCTCCTCGCCGTATTTGTAATCATGCCAATAACTCTTACCTGCGCATATTTCCGACTCAAATTCGAAATTCAATTCGAGTCCCTGAATCAAGCGGTCTTTGCCGAATCTTCCAAATTCGCTGCGGAATCAATCAATGCATTCCGCACTGTCAGTTCTCTTACACTTGAAGACATGATTGCCAAACGTTATGAAATGCTTTTGAGGCAGCATGTCGGTGCGGCATTCAAGAAATCAAGATTTACTACAATGGTCTTTGCGTTTTCGGATTCAACCAACTTATTATTGATGGCGTTGATTTTTTGGTATGGTGTAAGTATTGTGATATCCAACTGATCTGTTCACCTCTAATATTTTGATCCAGGGTGGCCTTCTAGCCAAGTACGAGTACAACCCAGTTCAGTTCTTTGTCATCTATATCGCCGTAGTCAACGGTTCTGAATCCTCAGGATCCCTCCTTTCTTTCGGTCCCAACATGGCACAAGCCGCACAAGCTGCCAATCGCATTCTCTCGTTTAGAATCCGTGCAGATAATAAGAAAGGTGCGGGTTTTGATGTTAAGTCTGCAGAAGGAGGTGTCAAGATCGAACTGAAGGATGTTTGGTTTAGATATCCTACTAGGGATGTTGGAATTTTCCAAGGTTTGAACTTGACAGTAAGTTTTCAAATTGGGATAGTAGTAGGTTCCATCTAACATGAATTACCAGATCCAAAAAGGCCAATTCGCAGCCCTAGTCGGTCCCTCCGGCTGCGGTAAAACCTCCATCGTCTCCCTCTTAGAACAATTCTACCCCATCCAACGCGGTAAAATTCTTTGTAACGGTCTGGACATCGCATCTCTCGACACCCGTGCCTATCGAAAGATGATATCCTTGGTAGCGCAGGAGCCGACGTTGTTTCAAGGGACAATCAAGGAAAATATCTTGCTGGGTGTACCCGAGGATACTAGTCAGGAGTTATTGGAACGCGCGTGTAGAGATGCGGAAATTCATGATTTCATCATGAGTTTGCCGGAGGGATATGCTACTGATGTTGGGAATAGGGGTGTTGCTTTGTCGGGTGGCCAGGTACATCCTCCCCCTCCTTTCCCACTCTCCTCCATCCATTCTCCCTTTACTCTATTCCCCCTCCCCTCTCTAACTTTCCCAGAAACAACGCATATCCATAGCCCGCGCCCTAATCCGCGACCCGAAAATCCTGCTCCTCGACGAAGCAACCTCCTCCCTCGACTCTGAATCCGAGAAGCTCGTCCAAGCAGCCTTTGAACGCGCCGGCGTAGGCCGTACCATGGTCGTCGTCGCCCATCGCCTCGCTACCGTCCAACGCGCAGATGTGATCTTTGTGCTTGGAGAGGGAAGGGTGTTGGAGCAGGGGAGTCATAAGGAGTTGGTGGGGAGGAGGGGCGTTTATTGGGAGATGGTAAGTCGAAAAGCTGGGGATGGGGAGAGGAAGGCGGTATTTGCTAATGGTGTTTCAGTGTCAATCGCAAGCGCTAGATCGGTAGACGGTTGGAATTTTTGGAAGTAAGAAAAGGGGGAGATCAGCCGCGTCGCAAACGGATGATGGACGGATTCTGGCGACACTTTAGAGAGGGGGAATCACTCCGCTTGGAATTTAGAGTTTATTGTAATACCACTACATCTTCACTTGATAAATATATATTTTCTACGCTACTCCTGTCTTGTCATCAATTTATGGGAACTTGGATGAAGAGGGATGAAAGGGTGAAGCAATGTGAAGAAGGAGAAACTGTTTTAGTGTTGCTTGTTCTGAGAGATGTAGAAAGGCTTGAACAGGCAATTATTGGGGTGAGAAGAGGTGGAATGTGGTGTGTTAAATCCTTTGCTTTTTCTTTGCTCTGGTGTGTAGGAAAATGCTAGTATGGGGTACTGCTGATGGTGGTGGTTTGGGCTTGGTGTGAGTGGAGGACAACGAGGGAGGTGAATTGTATACGGGATTTGGATACAGGGTGGCGTGATTTCTGTCGGGTTTGCGTGGATTTTTGTGGGTGATGTTTTGTGCGGTTTGGCTGATGAAAAGGAATTCGGAGGTGGATTGGGATTCGGTGACAACCCTACCTACCTGGATACCAAGAAATCACATTCGCTTAACAGAAAGAACTGGTGGGAACGCAATGAATATATAGCTACACAGAGTTAAAGATCGTTGCAATTAGTTTGTGAGTTGTGTCCATTACAGCATTGAGCGTCGCGAGAGTGTGCAGGAGAAGTGAGGTATGATCGAGGTTGAAGGAAGGTTATCCTAGGGGTATAGGGTGAAGATGGAAGGACCGGGACGGGATCAGGAATTTGGGCGTGGGGGTTGGTGAATGTGATGGGAGAGAGAGGGACCGGTAGCTTGTAAATTCCAAATACGTAGCATAAAATTAGAAATGAGTTGGGTTTCGGTGATAAGTCAATTCTTTTTAGCGAGAGTAGGGAGTGGATTTGTGAGAAAGTGACGTGGTGAGAGGGGTGAAAGAGCGAGGGGGTGAGATGGAGATAAACGGTAAGGTATTTGGTATAGTTGAACAGGGTTACGGGGCAGGACACGGTAGGATATAATTGGTTCTCGACTCGGTTTTTGTGTTATGGGGATTAGGGGTAGGTGGGTGAGAGGTTTTATTGTGAGTTGTTGTAAAAGGGAGGAGAAGGAAATAATATATAGAATGGAGGGGGTGGGTGAGTTGATAGTAGAGTATTTTTTCGAGGGATAAGAACTTAGGTAAGTAGGGTTAAAAGGTCGTTTTCTAAACACTGCGATATACCTTAAAGGTAATCTCTTAAAAACTAGTGATTCTATATAACCCAAATTAGCAAACTTCTAACTTCCCCTCTATATAAAGTCCTACTATAACACACTATAAAGCTACCATCCTTTCTTGTTCTACTAAGATTAATAAATGAGAAACATTCGGTACCGACGAATTACTCTGTGTACTTCCTGCTTGTGAAATGGTAGTTAAGCTTAACTATAGAAGGAGATACGGGTGTTTTGTAGTGTAGATTATACTACCGGCGGGGAAATTTAAAAAAGGGGAATTCTGGCAAGTAAGTCACGAATCGGTGGTGAAATTGAGATCGACGACAACTACCCTCCCAGCGTAGAGTTTATATTCTTGGTGAGTAAATAAATTCAGATTTAGGTTAGACGTAGTATATAGTGGTGGTATTAAATAGAGTAGAGGGAATGAGATAAGGTAGAGGAAAATGCTTTGTGATGTGTAACACCAAGATTCTTTTTGAGAGGAGCATTTTCGTCATTTGGGTCTAGTAAATTGGAAGAGAAGAGGGCTTTTATGGTGTATATTCGTGATTTAGTATAAAAGAGAGGGGTGGAGGTATAGAAAGGATAGGCAGGGTGGGCGAACTAAAGTTAAGAGGTGTTTGGAGATTTTTCCGATTAGAGGTTTGCGTAACAGTTACGGTACTAAAAGGTTAGGACTGTTGAAGCCAGGTAATTATAAATCAATTATGTTTATTTCTGTAGAAATATCTATTTTCTTAACCTCCAACCTTCTCACTCTCCACGCATCAAATCGAAAAGCAGAGATCGGACACTGAAAATATAAGCGCCAAATGCTAACATCTAATATCGGGGAAATGGTAAAATGGTTACTAAGCGATAGTCGAATCTTTCGATAATATAACCTTTACATACTAGTAGCTTTAGATGCGGTATATTGTATTATTTTCAGTGTAAACTGGACCCCTGACGTTGGGAGATTAATGGGGAAATCATTGAGGGTGTAGAGAGGGGTGAATCGGTGGGTGAGTAGGAATCGGTGACAACTTGATTTTCGGTGACGACTGTCGGAGTTTTTAAGTAAGTAATATTTAGAGAGGATTACTGAGTGGAGAAGGATCTTTTCACAGGCTGAAAAATGAGGAGTCGGTAGGGCCAGAAGGCAGAGAGAAGAATGTGGGGTTATAGAAGCCAGAATTCTCTGGAGGAGGTTGGAACTCTTTGTATATATTGTTGGATTTGAGAGGTGTGTCCTGGTTTTATGTTTTGATAGCTGGGAATTACGGGAATGATATACGTTGAGTGGACGAGATGGGAAATAAATGTTTTAGAATGATGCTTTATTTGTGGATTCTAATATAATATAAGATTAGGATTAGGTTAGGGGTTTGATTGGGAGAGTGTTAGTAGGCGGAATCTAGGGGGTGAATTAGACGATTGAGGTTTTAGTTTAAGTTCCTCTATATTAACTAGAACCATAAACCCCATAACTCTCTATCTTCCACTTTTGGTTATATTAAATACAACACACTATTCACCCAGCTCAGCATCTAGCAACACTCCCGGTTTCTCTACAATCTTCACTATAAATTTCCACTTAAACCAGATTTTCTAAATGTAAACATAGACGAGCGAGAACTTTCATGAAATGGCTCACCGTGCCGTGTTTATATAAATAGAGATATTGTGTTTAGCCTTCGTCGTTAGCTGGGGGTTTTGTGATGTGACTTGGATAGTGAATAAAGGGATTCGAGAGCAGTGGTAAGGTAGGAATTGGAAGGCGATTACGAATCGGTAGTCACATTAAATTCGGTAACAACATATACGTTTGAATAGAAAGATCACGTATATAGCTCTGATGTAGAATTATGACTATACTCTCATGTCTTTTGTTCCCTCATTGTAGAGACAAAATTCATTGTTCTACGGACCATAATACCGCGTAGGACAAACATAAATCGAAATGGAATTTTTTTTGGTTTTCTTGTATACTGATAAGTGATCAAACTCTAGAGACAAGGAGGTTCATAAACTATCTAGATCTAATTTTTAGGAGAAGAACATTCTTGTTTTTTGAAAAGTGTAAAGGAAATATACGAAATATTGTTAAGTTAATTAGATAAACAGTATATTATGTTTTAAGTGTAACTTGTTTAGTCTACTTTAAGAAGAGAGGGATAGAAATGTAAATCTAGCACTCTTCATCGTAAATGAATATATTCTACGACTTATCTCATTGGTTGCCATTTAATTATAATTCTCACAAAAGGTCACGTGGACGTTGGCTAGTTGTGTTGGTTATGTTTTTCGGCTCGGGAAACTACAAGTATATACCTTTTCGCCCTCTCTCACCGTCTTCAAGGAACACACATTTTGTTAGGCCCCTACCAATCGTCTCCAAACACTGCACAAGTAATTGTCTTTACACCTGGGACATAATGAGTCAGCCTACTCCCCACCGAATAATCGTCCAATACCGCGACCGCCCTTTCCTCGAAATCAACCCCATCATCACCGCTTTCTTTAAATGGCGAGATATTGAGCCTCTAGATGACTACGCTACTCATATCTCTTGTAACTATGATGTGTCGAAATTGTATCTCGTTTTCGATATTTACTGCAAAACGTGTCCGGATGTCGATCTTGAGACTTTGGAGCTTGAGGTGTTTAAATTAACAGGGATTGATTCATAGTGTGCTATCTATTTCTTTTTAATAATTCAATTTAGTTAACGCCATCTAGCACATTCAAGGATCTTGGGGAGGCAGCTCGCGAGAAGGCGCGACCCCGATCTGTTATGCTGAATTGGGGGGAAGACACCAGATTGGCTAGTCCGAAGAATTAGACGGCGTCATTCCAGCACAAGGAGGGCATGTTCCTGCAATATCCGTGTCTTGTGCATCTAGACTCAACGGAAGATCTCTCTGAAACGTGGATGCAGGAATGCAAGCGTTTCTTGCAAGCCTTCTTGCTTCTGTGCAATAGATAACGTGAACTCGGTGCACGTGTCTGTTTGGGCGCCGCCTACAAGCGGCGTATGTCACGCAAGCCCATTCGCACATTGCTTAAAAGCGAGGGAAGTGGGGTAAAATTGAGTGTTGTAGAGGGGTTGGTTGGGAAGCGGATCGTGATGTGCGGGATGCAGCTGTGAAAGAGGAGATGATCTGTATGTTGAGAATTAGTGCTCTATTCTAAAACCACAGCTGCCACCGCTCCAAGGGATGGGTTACTTTCTCCACTAACTGGGTGCTGAAGGAGCAGCGTGGTTGGCGGAATGCGTGAACTTTGAGCGTCAGGAATATGGAAGCTTCTGCGATTCTATCAGCTTGAGTTTGTGCAAGTGTGCTGCTTGTTTGGTAGAGAAGGAGCGAATGGGATTTTTCGTACGGTAAGACTTGCGTGGCTGGTAATCTTGTCACTCGTGTTTGAAGTTGATATTTTCTATCGAAAGTGCATGAATGATTTTCTGCAGATGGTAGATATTTGCTCTTTGCGGGTCCAAAGAATCTACTTATAATCTCTTGAGAGGTCTAGGAAACGCAAGTCAAGTTGGTTCGGCGGCTTTGACTACCCAACCACAGTCACCGTCGTTTTAAATGTTTCTTCAAATAGCAAATATCCATTCTTGTCCACCTAGTGGCCCAAAAAAGCTGACTTGTAAGCTGTTGCAAGATCTTTGAAACGCAAGTAAAGTTGGTTGGCAGCTTTGGCCGCCAAAACACAGTCATCGGCTCGTTGAAAGCTCTATAGATAGCAAAGGTAAATCTTGCCTTCCGAAAGATTCTAGTGACAGGCTATCGAGAGATCTGTGAGCCGTGTGTGAAGTTGGTTCCGCGGCTTTGGCCTAACACGTGGTCACTGTCGTGTTGGTATGTCTGCTCATGAGCACTTGCAGCAGAAGGATCGTGCGTGTGAGAAGGAGCCGGTGCAAGCTGCTTGTGTTGTTTCGATTGAAATGTTGTCTCTATTTTCATGGTACAGAATGTGGGCAAGGAGAACATTTGCAAGGTGAGTATCGGTTAGTTTCGTAGTCTATTGCTCTACGTGCTCTTGTATTTCAGCGAACCTCTTTCGGTAGGTGGAGTGAGAAGCTGCTTAATAGATTATAGGTATAGCTGCTTATTTACCACTACTAAACACAAATGAAAGCCTGTAGGTTGAAAATTTTAAGTTTGTAGACCTCTGTTTGAGGCGCGCAGCTGTTCAAATTTAAGATCTAAAAGTGCTAATATGCGTCTCTGAATCTCAAGAGACTCGATTCAACTAGTAGCTCGAAGGTTGAAGTATCTAAGTCCGTAAGTACATTAAATATACAGAGCTATTGGAGAAGACCAATAATTTAATTCAATTATGTAATTCATTAGAGCAGGAAAGCAGGTACTGTGTCGCACGAATAAACGATAGATTGAGATGCTGATTTTCACTGATCATTTCTTTAAATGACTCGTAGCCCGGAAATGAAATTATAGTCGTGATGTGAAACACGATGTAATATTTGCCAGGTATGTAATCTAATGTTGATAGAGACAGAAACATCAAGGATAAATCCAATAACTAGAACAGCACTATTTAAATTGAAAATATCCTGTATAGTAGAAAACCAAAAAGAAGTCCGGTGTTTGAGGCCTGTGGGCAAACTCTCCTAGAAACTGACACTAGTTGTCTTTGGGATGGTATGTTACACGGCAGAGCACCAATTGTTGAGTTATATTAAGGCTATCTAATAGTTTTTGGACATTGTTAAATGAGTAGAGTATATAGGAAAGCTGAAAATGGTGTTGAGTTCTTTTTCGGCAGCAAGTATTCTTTCGCAACTCTAGATTAAAAGGGTTGAGATGGGTATAACAGGGGTGAATGTGGAAGTTTGATATTACTCTTTCTACGCGAGTTATAGAGTCTTCTGAGTCTTCACGTACACAAATACTGTAGTTACTGTCTGAATTTTCTTTGAGAAGCTGTTCACTTGTACCTTGTTAAAGAACAAATTGAATTGGTTTTATAGTCCACTTCCAAGCTATGATGAGCTCAAAATCACTCTAAGTAAATGGAGTGTTCCGTAAAAGTTCCCTTTCTCCTTGTGTTCCAAACAGTAATCTGCAAATAAAATACGGACTCATAATCTCAAAAGAGGGTTTTACATCTGTATCATAGCACATAATATTTCAAGATTCTAATCTTCTACCTAGGTGGAATTATTGTTGAGACTACTACTTCCGTCAATTGTTTCTATCTTCGTTCAACAATTAATTCAAGACATGAGCAAAGTTATTCTAATTCCTACTGTAGAAATTCTATTTTGCAGGACCTTAGATAGAAGTAGAGATCCGAAGCTCCCATCTAATAAAACAGAATACTGATTCCAGGGGAGTAAATAGATTCTTAACCACAACGTTTAAAGCAGTCATCAGCGGCTGTACGGGCCAATTTCTCAATTCAAAAAAATAGGATCGATGTATCCTATTCAATATCTAAAACATCATCTCAGCTTAGACAATCACGTTCCTTCTCACACATCTTATATAATTGGAAACTAGCTACTTCGCTCGGTTTTGGTAGCAAGGTTAATTTCGGCAGTGAGATTGCCTTCGATTTTGGAAAGAACAGATACTCTTTCAGGAATGGAAGATGAAGGCCGCAGCCATTGATTATTGCACTCGAGATGTGAGATGAAGATAACATGTGGGATTCAACACTAAGCGTTCTAACAAAATACCCTTTGCCAGTAGTGAAGTTAACATAATTGTTTGATAATTGCAGCTTCTGTTGTTAGCTATAAACTCGAGATTTCTGCAATGCGAGGAAGTTTGGAACGGGAAAATCCTCTGGCCATAAGAAAGACTTGTTCTGTGTCATAAAACAGAAGTCTGTTATACTACAAACTGTTCATAAATGACGGTGTCTCAGTTGCGGCTATCCAAGACCAAATTATAGAATATATTTATTATCCTGCTCGCTACCTGACCATGTTGGATCTTGCACCTACGACACTTCTGGGAAAAGCGTGAAAGAAATAGGGACCCGGAATTATTTTATTTTGGTACGGAAGGAAAATGTTATCCGTGTCACTAAAACGGAAAAACAGAGCTCACATAAATACGCTTGACAAATCGTTGTCACACATTTAATCCTTCGCTACGAAACAACTTCACACAGCCGTCACATGCTCCACAACCAACAAACGCCCAAGTTTTTTCAAGTGTATGGATTAATTGACTTTTCGATATACACATGAATTCACATCTAGCAACGTACATGTCCATCTAAATCCATTTCGGGTATCCGCCTCATCTCAAGAAATAAAAAAACGCCTCGTATGCATTATTTTCCGAACCACCCGCTCCCATGTCTTGTCTACAACATTATACCGCGACTCCGCGGCTTCGATCTTTAGTTTACGCGTAGATAACTTGAGGTGTTTACAAGATGAATGCAAGAGCCAAACCACCGATGACAGCAAAACCTCCGGTGGCGGCCTTGCCAGCAGCGTTCGTTGGGTTGACTGCTGGGCCTGTGCTGGTTGGTCGTACGATGGTGCCGTTACCGGATGGGCTGACGATGGCGGTTGTGAGGGTTGGGACAGTCGTGGTTGTTCCGTTGACGGTGACTGGGCCGGCGGTGGTTGGAACAACGACGGTGCTTGAGGTTGGGCTTGGGATTGAGGTGGTGACGCCAGTGACGGTGGATGAAATAACAGATGAGGTCTTGGATGTGGTGGTGCTCACGCTTGTGCTGGAGGTGGTGCTGGAGCTTGAAGCAGAGCTGGTGGTGCTGACCGTGCTTGATGAGCTGGAGCCACCGACGATGTGGAATGGGTTGGAGTATTGGAAGGTCGTTGGTGCGCTATCGAGGGAGATCTTGATACCATAGAGTTCGAAGGTAAGTCCTGATGGAACTTTCCAGTTGTATGAACCAGAGTTTGGGACGCCAGCTACAATTCTGTCAATTACTATTCTCTGGAAAGTTATCATTAGGAATCCTTACCAGCAATGGTTTCTCCGATAACAAGTTTGTCTTGAGTAGGGCCTCCTTGGAGAAGTTGAATAGTGAAAGTGGCAGATGATGGAGTAGTTCCTGGCTGCCATTCAATCTTGAAGTCACTTCCAGCCACAAGATTCGCGTCCTTGGTTGGAGCTGTAATAGCTGCGAATCCAGGTGTTGTCTCTTGCGCGAAAACAGATGTTGCAAGCGCGACGGCTGCGAAGATTGCTGATGTGAAACGCATGTTGATGGTGTTGATTAGGGGGGTAATTCTTAAAGAACGGACGTATCAATGATACAAAGAGGGTATATATGAAAAAAAGATACTAAAGCTAAGGTGAGTAAGACGAGAGTTCAGGTGCAGGCAGAAACTGGATGCTGCGCATTTAAAGGTCCCCAATGTCAAGCACGGCCACCAACATCTGCAACAACCTTGTCCTTTCATCCAGCCAACACCCGAAGATCCGCAGGGCAAAATGTCCCACAGACCTTGCAATGAGATCCATTTTTGGCCCAAAAGCCATTGACGAGGGGAGAAGGGGGCTTGCAAGGTCATTCCGTGGTAAAGGATGTTTGGTGATTCGACCGTTCAGGAGTGGGAACCCTCATGGGTTGTCTGGACTTCCCCGAACTGCAGAGGGAAATGAGCAGGCCAGACTCGGTTAGATTCAGGAGAGGTTGCATTTTGGTGGGTCCCCAAAGCGCCGCCAACGCTCAAGTCTCGGCTGGTGACCTGTAAACATTCTCGCTTAGCATCCTAATCTGGTAAGGGGTTTTACGCAGTGGTGGAATATTGTCGATATTTTGCAGTCCCTGGCAAGATCTGCCTACTTTACGTGAATAATATTGTATGATTTTATCCTTAGAATACAGATGAACCAACGTCGATGAAGTCATTCTAGTTGAGTATGCAATATCTCACTTCAAAACAGATATTGAGAATACTCTGTCCCCCCTCGGTAGGGCTGCATTCCATCTTTTGCCGGCCTGCAGTAGCACAAAGAGCTTCTGTTTGTCAAATTACGTTTTCACCACGCGCCAGGAGCGCACAAGAGGCAGGGCTGAAATCGTGATGGACACTGCATTGAATGGTTGGTTGAGGCGCATCACAGCCTCGTGCGACTCTTCGGACTCTTCAAGAACTGAAGCTAGAAATAACTTGAGGCTTTCATAGCTCGTGTTTTGAGGGCTGAAGTAGTATTTGCTAAATTCTCATGGTGATTCCAGCAAAAGAACGACCGCCAGCTGTCATTGTTACGATGTGAGATGGACGAAAGGAGGAGAATAGAGTGCCAAACGTCAGCAATGCTCACCACCAAGCTAGGCATCAGCTCAAGCAGCTCTAGCCGTAACGCCACAATCTTGTTGCACAACGACATGATGACTACAGCTCATGATGATAATTGAAACTCTGTTGTTGATTGGCTGTTCGTGATAATACGTCGTATATAAAGACAATATCAACTCAACCTACGATCCTAAACGTAGAGTTTCCTGCGGGAATGATGGCGAAGCGATATCCTGTGACCCATCTTGGGAAGAGGCACGATCGCACACGTTTGGCACCCAAACAAACCAACAATTCATGAAACTGGAAGGTGGTCGTCCGTATTGATCATACCGGGAATCATCAGGAATATTATTAGAAGCGAATGGATGAGATGTGCCAACGGGTACGAGGGACGTGTTCCTTCCAAATACCAATTCTTCGTCGGTCAAGAATAAAACTTTAGGAGTGTTGGCTTTTCTTGCCAAAGAGCCACTTTGCTGGGTCTATTAAAGTTCCGCTCGATATCACTTGCCTCTTGAAAGGAGCTCATATATAATACAGTAAGCTTGCTATATGAACTTGCGCAAGTTGCGCCGCCTATTTGACTCACTTTGTATCAACCCACGTACTTGTCCAACGCTTCCATCCCGAGCTCGGCATTTCTTAACTTGCCCGATTCGTCTCAATCCCGAATACTTGGAGGCCAGCGAGAATTTCCTTCGCCGTCGCATCATAAATGGGCCAAGGATAGGTAATTTCACATCCTCGAAATCGCGCTCAGACAACCTTGTAATGACGAGCTCCGCCGCGGGGTAATGAATGACCCGTCCGAAAAAGTCTCTGCACTCGATCGCGGCAACATTACGGCGCAGTCGCGAATGGAAACACTTGTCGCCCTTCTCCTGTATCATAGTTTGAAGCTTACTGTTTTATGAGAGTAAAATCGCGATGATGATGTTTATCAAATTTTTTGGTCTGTCGTCGTTCAATTTGGATTTGAATGCGTGTTTCGATACGAGAGCTTATTAGATGGAGCATATTCAGGTACCAATTTACTGCAGGGAACGTTCCGATGCTGGTGTTGAGTGGAGAGAGGGTCTTCCTGGTTGGTTTTGAGAGTGTCTTGTGGGGATTGGGATTGGCTAGACTATGGTCTGACATTGTGGATCAGAAACTCTTGTGATCAAGGAAATGGCATAGAAATAGGATTGTCAAGTAATTTTGAAGCGATATATAATTCTTGGAGATGGAGATGGAGTATTGGCAGTAATACAAGAAGTGAGTGGAATTTCTTCATGAGTCTTGGTATTGTTCGAGCTGCAACTTCGTTGCTTCATACTGGGTGTCCGTGCTAGCTCTGGCTCTTGGGGTGGAGACTACGAAAGGTACCAGAACATCTGAGTCCAGGAACGATGAAGCACAAGACCTTACACGAAATCATATCAGGCAATCAATGTCCATAACGTGATACCATCGTGTGCTCTGCGTTCGTCGTGGTCATTGTAAAGCACTGTAAGAAACGAAGTTGTTCCTCTGGAACGACCTCACTTAAGATGTTCGCAACAGCGTTTCAAAGCAATATACTGGAGCCAATATTAAAAGAACTCGGTCTTATTATTCGGATTACTCGGCCCGGTATGCTTCAATCAGTTTTTAATATTGCCCAACATTCTCAGAACTCATCTCTGCCGAGAAAGCTCGTAATACCGTGACCGAGGTGCAATTCCAGACAGCATGAGTTAAGCGTGCTGGGAAAGTACCAGCCACGATGTACCTTTATACAAGTCCACAACTGTATAAACTGAGTCCAACAATCTGAGAGAAGCAACTGATACTCATTAATTCGATTTGGAAGCCACCAATTTGCCTCACATTGCACAGGCTCCTACCGCCCGGGCTTTGAAAACCTCAAATATTTCTCTTCTGACTCCTGTCCGACTAGTTGTAAGGCTGGTGGATACTGTCCCAACATGATAATGTCGAGGAACAGCTTCTCACTTAAATAAGGGAGAATCGCTTAACTAAGCGACCCACTATACATATAACCTATTTTGCCTCGTTCGAAAAGTTAGAGTGCTTCATCTTTATCCATATACCCTAAAGTGGTGTTTATGTGACAAACAATAGAAGAAAAAGATTTCCTGGCATTTTTCCTCGATCGGTACACCTAGCCTAATTGAAAGATGCAATATAGCATCATTAATTCGAGAACAAAGTAAACATAGCTTCTCAGATGGAATAAGTCGTTTTTTCTTGTAAGGATTTATCTCGTCAGTACTAAAGCACACTAATATCCTATCGATTATATTCGTCAGTATAGATATTATTAGAGGAGAACCTACTTAATGAGTGGGGGGGTGGCTAACGAACATTACAAACTTGTAACAAAAAGCGATTTCTAGTTTCGAGGCTCGAAAATACAATTACTCTCATTATTGCCTTCAATCCAGCTTCTGTTTTGGCAGCCCCCTATTCCCTCACTCTCTGATTGATCGTCTGCATCTTGATCAAGAGACTGTTGAGCCTTTAAGAACTCTCGTTATTTGTCCGGTGAGAGTTAATTCACGTGAGAGATGCCACGTGTTTGCTGCCGTTCCAGTTGTTGTCACCGAATTCCAGAACGGAAAGCTTAATTATTTACATTCTATAATTCGTATTAGAAAATACGGACACTCACTTCGATGAAACTCGCCTATCTTGTGGTGGTAAAGAGAAACGTGAAAGCTGATCTTTTTCGCCTATGTGTCGTACCAGGTTTTCTCGTCGCATTTTCCAAAGTATCTCATAGCGGCAAACTCACAGCTCAAGTTTGCACCTTTCACTTATTCAAGCTGTGCTTACTGTTAAAGATGACATGGCTCTTAGTTCTAACAAGCTTAGAATTTTGTGTTGTAAACCTTCATTTATAGAACATACTCAGTGGACCTTGAGTAATAGCCTTTTGTGTCAAGTTCTTTTAATCGGTATAATATATAAACCTACATCTCCGCGAATCTACTTCCTCTTTACCCTTCGGAAATTTCAATCAAGGAATCCAAGAAGCCATCTGAAAATCCTCAATTCTAAAACTCTACCATCTTAATATTAGTCTTGTGTAAGAAAGCCCGTCCTCTTTCTTCCCGTCCTCCTAATACTCGTATTGGCCACCTACAATATGAACTACGCGTAAAATTCGTATAATAGACTTTGGCTCTAAAATACTATGGGAAACTGGAGAGAGATTAACACAGAAATATGCCTCGAAAATGGAAATATTTCAATATCAGTCAACACGTACATGAAAATGTGAAGGTGGGTTGACGTCGACACCATCCGCGATCAATACGCTATTTGGAAGAAGAGAAAGTACGAAATAGCAGAGGAAAAAGAGAAAACAGTGGAGCCAAAGAAGCCATCAAAATCAAAGAACAGCGCTGAGAAACAAGCAGCAGAATCTGTGAAGTCTGCGAATAAAATACTAACGGCCAAATACAAAGTGTGATTTGTTGTCGGAAATTATCTTGTTACCGATTCTAGATTAAGAGTTGGGGTTTCTGGCTTTACATTGCAACCTAGCGACTGTATCGAATCAAGCAGTATCATGAGCTGAAAACTCTCTAGTTAATGATTTCCCGATCTCGAGAGTAGAGCCCCCCATCTCGCAAAGATTTGATCCAGTACTGTTCTGGAGAATGGTTGGCTTTTGACGTCTTGATGACAGTTTTACTTATATAGAGGAGTAAATAGTAAAATTAGTTTCTTATGTGGTATGCAATACTCTTTCCTTGTATTAGAGGGTTTTATACAAATATTGGAATGGGTTAAGGGTTAAGCCAAGTAACAGCCTCTGCTTCTTGTCATCATTTCTTCGCAATTCTTAAAGACTTTTGATTCTCATTATTCAATGCCCTTTTAAATATCAACTTTTCATACTTGTCGTGTCTACGGAGGTATTCCTACTGTAAAAACTCATCAACCTCCTACTTGTCATGTAAATCTGTGGACAACAACTAGACAGTGGGATGTTTTCTCTAAATGGGGGACCATTTCTGTGGTGTAAGAAGGAGAGGGTTTCTTTATTATATCTACTACATTTGATCGCCGAGGGAATAAACTCTATAACAGGCATGGTGTGAGTTTTGAAGATCAGAGCTTTCATTCTTTTCACTAACTGCAATATTATTCCAAAAGTAATTACTTGAATGGATCCAACAAGGACTGTCATAAAGGCAAAGATACAACTGCTTCGTGATTGGTAAAGAAATTGTGTGATTCTGGGGGTTGGGTAATAAAACCCAAATTGAATGGATGCTTGTTGTTACATTTGCTTTTACGAAGCCTAATAGCCTAGAGTTATATACTTTTCTTTCAAATTTCAGTTAAAAGTGTAATTGGAATCTTACGATGGACAAAGCTGATAAAAGTGTGTTGCTGCTGAAATGAAAGTCATTACCGAATTTTAATTCTCCAGAATATCACTAAAACGAAGTCAAAGATTGTCTGCTCTTGGAAGCATTCTTAATAGAAATTCAATGTCCATAATTTAGTTCTATATGAAAACGAAATGCTTGACCTATAGACCTTCGAGGCCTCCACAATTGGAGCAACACGGAAAACGAACTACGCAATCGTATCTTAACTCAAGCCCTTAGGTGGCTAGCCTTTTAAACACACACCTAATTACTCTGCCTTCGCTTACTTGCGCTTATGTATTTATGCAGTTCATCATGTCTCTCGAAAACGTCCATCTTGTGTAATGAAATTACTTCAATCCACTTTTTCGTTTTATACGCAAGTTTCTTTATAGAAATTAATTAGGGCTCAAATTGCGACAATCATGTTTTGGGACTAATAATTATCTAACGTTTTCTATTTCTCGCCACAGACTGGGTACAAGACTAGGTACAAGACTTCGAAACTTGCGAAATATTGCCTTCACGAGATCTATTGTCTCAGAATTTATATATTGCCCATACAAGAATACTAATAAATATTATAATTCTTCATACTTCTCCCCAGAAACTTCCTCAAGAGCGTTATCCCTAAAGGATTTTCCCCGTTCCGGCTTGAATGCATCATCCATCTTCGTCGTCGCCGATTAAATACTTTGTAGACACTTCTAAAAATCTCTTACTCTATAGCTCCGCTAAATACGGCTTATCTACTCAGGCACTGCGAATCAATAAGCAGTTTTTATAGAACAACTTTGAGCGGTGGCACTGTTTTCCAAACTCTAATGTATATTATTAATCTTCTGGATAGTTTGTTCCTGCCTCCGCTTGTTGTACAATGAACTAGAAGAAGATGGAGTTGTCACCGAAAAGGATGTCACCACCGATATCAACCCCACATTCCAAACCGTATCATCTTACCCTAACGTTAGGACAAAATTTATGACTACCTCTCTGACTTCATTATACATTCGATATCTAAAACTTTATAATTTAAGAAAACGACATCCTAAGAGGGGAGTGTGCATTGACGTTGCCTGTTGGACGGAATACCAAAAGGCTCCTGATAAATGAAACAGCCTTTGGAAGAGGCTCTTGAAGAGAATGTGGGCAAAGGCAATTCCAGCGGGAGAATTAATAGGCGTCTAATGGCAAGTGTCTCAAAGGTTTGTTGACGTTTAGATACGCATTACAAGTGTGGGAGTGTTCGACCTTGCCAAGCTCAAATGATCCAATCCCGAATCCATCTCTACCACAAAAGCAATTGACGTTCCCCAGCTATCAAACCACCAATTCTCTCTCAAATCTCTTTTCAAGTTCTATAATGACTTCCACGTAGTACAGGAAACCTCAACTAAACACTCTTCCCCTTGAATACTTCAACTTCAGGACGAGTACAATGGATGAGCGTTGCCCCTCTGATGTACAATCCAAACAACAGGATTCTTGATGAAATCACAAACAATTCCCTCTTCAGAGACTGAAGCGCAAATTAATCTGTTGTCGAGTAATTAACCTTAAGAAATTAAGCACGGCGAGGAGAGTCTTGAAACTCGAAGAAACGCGGGAGTTGTTGCCGAAACACTGGTTGTCACCGATTCCCGCAATTCATCAAGAAAGCATGATTTGAACAATTCGCATACTTTCACGTCCGAAGTATCTGACATCTTTTCTCGATGTAATATTGTATTGTCTTTCTATGATATCTGATTTCACAATAAACTTTCCGCAAGACATCAAGTTGCACCGCTCGGGTTTGTTCAAAGTTAAAGCTAAACTCTGAGCTAAACAAGGTCCTATTTATCTCAAGATCTCCACGGCTTCGCTAAGCTACTTCACAAAAAACATCCGCCCAATTCATCGACATTTACCACCATCGATCATACCACTGCTGTGCTCACAAAGAGCAAAATAAATAACCGCAACTCTCAACTATTTCGTCGACGCAAACTGCGATAGGAGTTTTGAAAGCTCCAAAGTAGGCTTGATATGAAGTCTAGATTTTTTGAATTTACCGAAAACATTCGACGAAATATAGATATTGCGTCAATCTAATTGAGGAAATCTCTTGTCTCGACTGCCAATTATGGACTGCCATGAAAAATAGAGGATGGCAAAGTGAATGTTGTTGCCGAAAATGAAACAATCACCGATTTCCCGAATTGTTCGAGAAGAAGTTGTTTGAGAGCTAAACGTCATTTCACAGCCTAGATTGCCTTCACTGCAGTACAAGGCTTGATCGTCTCCAGGTCATTTCAATACATTATGTTTATCTTGAAGGAGGCGAGATTTTCGGTTCATTCGGGAGATACTTGAAAGTTGCACAAGCAATAATTATTATGAAGTCGATCGCGGATTGGTTTATTTAACTGACTCATCCCGAAATTATACTGAAGCACGCAGACGGACTCGTTTATGAACAATAACAACAAATATACATATTCTGGTATCTCTATCTATATACAACCATCCACCCGCTAATTTTCAACCCAAAAACCCCACACCCACTCCCATAACGCCTTCCAAAAATACACACTTTATCTGCCCCCAATCTGCCCCTTAGGAATCGGTTTAATCCAACAAATCGCCAAATTGATCGCGATAGTCATAACGCCAATAATCCACACACTCTTCCCATAATCCTTCATATTATACCTGAAAATAACCGCAAACACGATACCACCTAAGTTTCCACACGCACCGGTAACACCACTTATAATGCCATTGGCAAAGGGATGAATATGCGGTACGAGGGAGAAATTCGCGCCGTTTCCAGCTTCAAGGAAGAATGCCATGCCGGCGATTAGTCCGAACATAGTGGATTGGTTGTGGGAGTTGGTGATGCCGATGATGATTTGGAAGACTCCCGTCATGATAGCGAGGGCGTGAAGGAGGATCTTCTTCGACCACACGGTTCTGGTGCGGCGGTATAAGTAATCAGAAGCGATGCCGCCGAGGGGACGGAAGACGACGTTGAGGAGGCCGAACATGGCGGCCCAGTTTCCGGTGCCGGTTTGGCCTAGTTTAGGGAATTGTTTGAGGTAGTAGGCTCCGAGGATGGAGTTTATGGCGAGTTCGGCGCCGAAGGAACAGAAGTAGCAGCCGGCCACGACGAGGGTTTGGGGCGTGAAGATCACGGACATGGCTTCTTTGAAGGTGGGTTTTTGGACGACTTCGCCGCGGGCGGCATCGAGCATTTCTTGCTCGCCCATGTTGGCTTCGTGATCGAAGGAGCCGTGTTTGGCTTTGGCGAGGTCGGCTTCCTCGTCAAGTTGCTTTTCGGTGCTTGGGTTTGGTGATTCGCCGGTGGGGTGTTTATCGGTGATGGAGCCAGGAACGTCAACGAGTCCTTCGGCGCGGACACCGTGGGATTGGAGGTTTTGTTGGATAGCTAAGTGTCTGTCGGACCATTTTCCAGTTGGTGTATCTTCACAGAGGAGAAATAGGGCGATGGCGACTGCTGTGATCATGATGAATGGAACAACATAGGAGACTCTCCACGCGACATGCTCAGTCAGATGTTGTTGGCGACGTAGCGAGTCATAGACAGCAGGCATAACGAAGTAAGTGATACCGCCACCAGCGTTTCCAAGACCTGCTGTGAAAGAGTTCGCTGTACCAACAATGTTCTTGTCGAAGAACCCTGTGGACCATACTTGGCATGGAACGAATGAACCACCTAGGATTCCAACAAAGAATCGAATGAAATAAAGTCCCATAGCATTATGAATCGTACCAGCGAGCACACTAGGAATAGCACCAATAAGGAGACATGCTGCAAATGTCTTTCGGGGGCCGAAAGCGTCGCAAGCTGGACCGGCAACAAGTCTAACAAGAAGACTGGAACTGGTTAGAACGAATTAGAGTGAATAGGATGCTAAGAACTTACGTGGCGGTAAGTGCAATGATGTTGGAGTTGGCGATTTCGTTTTGAGTTAACTTCAAATCATGCTTGATAGCATCAGAGAGAAGAGGCGGGAAGCTATACCAAGCCAGAAAGGCTATCATGAATCCAAACCAGGAGAAGAAATATACACGTCCATACTTGTTGATCGGGTTCAACATAGGAATTGTTCGTGCTTTGAAATTGACCGGGTTGACTTCGGGAGCCAACCACAAGGATGAAACACCAAAAGCCATCTTGAATGTAAGATCAAGCCTTTTTCCAAGATGTGAGGCTTTTCCAAGAGTTTGTTATGGCAAAATGGCTGTGAGATGACTGGCTTGGTGTCGTATCTGACAGCTGGACAAAGGCTTGTCTTTATAAAATTACAGATTAGCGACGTCAACCCGCAGTTGAGATATCTCCCCGGCAAAGCTGACTCAAGGGAGTCGATTTGAAAGCTAAGCTGTAAATCCGCGGCTTGGCCCTGGCGGAGATCTGCAACTTCAAGGATATATGGACCCCAGAGCGTTGGGAGAGCCCTCTATTGGCTGCGGATGGACTGTTTGCGTCTAGACGAGTCCAATGTGCAGCTTCGAGTATGGGGAAGATAGCCTGTAGGGTCCTCTTGATAAGGATTTCGAGAGCTGGGCTGTCTCATGAGGTCCATATCATGGAGATCCCTTTATTGAAAGTCGATCTCAAATTGGATCTGCGGAATGTTAAATGAAATCGTCGGTCTTTCGAGGCTTTCTTTCTGCCACAAGGTTTGTTTTGCAGATATGTTTGCCCTAGTCTTGTTGATACCCAATTCTGATAAGCACTTCCTTGACGCAAGAAAGCATTATGGAAGCTCTATGTATATGTGTTTGAGTATGAAGGATATCTGCTAGTTCTGGGGTGGCAGCGAAACAGAATTTAACGAAACAAGACCATAATAGTCCCGTCTAGAGCATCCACGTTGTCTTTCTCAACACAGTGTCGCGGTCGAGTATCAGGTGGTGTAGAAGGCAGTGTGTGAAGAATCTCATACAGAGGTATCGCTTTAAACACACCAGGTAGCAATGCTGATTATGTTTTACACCCTGACTGAGTATCGTAGCAGCTAATCGTGGTGGCCGCTCTATAGCGTAATCAAAGTGAGCCAAAAATGGACCGCCTTATCGCTGATACTCGCGTACGCCAAAAGGGGAAAGCCAAGCCCCACTTTGAAGATAAGAGCACAGGAACATCGAAGAAGACATAAACATCAGAACTCCGCGGCGAAATACACAGGAATTGCTAAACCTTTGTCTCGGAAGTATGCTCGCTCGCGGTGGATCGTTCCAGCGTTACTTTTTTCGTAACCTGGCCATTAGCCTAGCTAGCGGTGGACTTGATAAGTGGCAGTCGCAGCACGATATTTGCTCAGAACAATTGACGAAATGTACGTAGTTCGTCAATTGTTTTGAATAAATGCGAGCTTTTTAACTCTATTTGAAACAGATCAGATTTAAGCTGCTTGCTCGCTCTAAAGTACACAATAAGTTTAGAGACGAATAAGGAGGTTCTGTCATTTATTTCGTCCACCGCGAGCTTGGTTATCTTGGTGAGAGATATTCTTCAGAAAATCACGATCTGTCTTCCTTCGACAAGCTATACTATCGAGGCCTTTCCGATGGGGGTTTTTATCCTCAAGGGCAAAACGATCTTCGACTGCCGGAGTTGACAGGAGCAACCATGCAAGCAACAATGAGGTCTCGGCAAGAAGAAAAATGTTCAGCGAAAAGGAAGAAACATCGTCATACAGGGCCACTCCACACACTACGTCGACATCCGACACTCGATATTGAGGTTTTTGAGCTCTTACGTTTAGTTGCGCAAAAGTTGCAGAGGATAAGAAGCTGAGAGCTGCAATATGGAAATGGGAATATGTTGCCTCGTGGTGGGCAGAAGAAGTGGCATTCTACTGTGATGTTTCTTCGATCAGATTGACTAAATATCCTATATTTCTTCAAACATTTTCGGTAAACAAGACATTTTCGTGCTCGAAGGTAATGCCACTCATCTTGACCAGTACGATATCACCAAAAAAACTTACGGCTCCGGCTCATTGATTCTTCGCATCAATGCTCCTCTCATTCGCTCCTGGTCAACGCTCCTTAGGATAACCATTGCTGCCACAAAGTGAGAGTCAATATTTTCAAATTCCTAGCCCTTGGAGCAAAAATGCACTACAGCTTGTAGCAAGTCATCATGGACTGCTAACTATTCTAGAAAACGACTGCATTGCGAGACTTTTGGGCTTGGCTATGTTGGTCATGAAAAGCAAACTTTTGCTCCATCCTCCTGCCACTTGTGATCTCATACGATGCGGATTCTGTCCTTTGGCAAGACGACGTCCACAGGATGAATATCCATTTTCCTAGGATATGCTACCAATGCAAGTTTTCTTTCATTTTGGATTCTCGTAAATTGTGAGGAAATAGCAGTTATCTTGTAGAGGGAGGGGGTATAAGAACATTGAATAATATGTAACAATGACAGGATACCGCGCTCGTCAATGTCTTATGCCTCAACCAATATAGCTAGGAGTCAAATTGACTAGGTTTTAGAGCCATATGAGATCCAATGCGACCCGGAGAACTGAATGGTAGAAACAGGTAAAGCCTCCTAGTCCTCTGACGCCAGTAAAGATAATTTATTGGGAGATAGACTGACAACACTTGTGAATAATAAAAATGGCAGTATCCGTAGCAAGAACAGGCGCGTGTAATGACCATAACTAAACAAAACAAAATGAAATGTGAGAAGCAAGATGGAAAAGTAACATAATGAGGAGCATTGAAGTCTGCAAGTTGTGAAAATTGTATCGCGAGATAATGCGGGGCATGACGCGCCAAGACCATTCCACGTGATATCGCCATCCTGATGTACCAGAAATTCAACGCGTCTGACGCGAACAACGTTCATCAGAAAGATATACTTATGATAGTACGACGACACGCTCACCCGAAACTCGCACCGGATTTCGAACATACAAATGGGTTCGTCAAGAGTCTGTTTTGGTAACCAGGCCCCATGACTCGACACAATCTGAAGGATCATATTTCCTGGTTGTTGTCCCAAAAGATTGCCTTACTTAGCGCACCGATTCCAGCAAACGTCGAGGAACAACTATTGGCACCACATATCGATACGGACTTGTCGGAGGAGGAAGAGGAAGAGATACATAGTGCTTCATTAAGTCGCTCAACGGAACAAACTATCGTTGGCACCATTGCCCCTCAGCAGCAGTTTACTCGACCTGTGTTGCCCATTTCGAACTTAAGACCGCCACCTCGAGATACGTTAAACAGCATCGAGACAGCACGAATGGGAAAGCTTGTCTCAGCTCAAAGGTCTATGGTGCCGGTTCTCCAGAGTCAACGCCAGCTTGCCACTCCTTCCTCTACGACGTCATCTGTTGCACCTTCAAGAGGTTCGTTATACCAAGGATATTCGGAATTATTGCGGTCGGGAAATAACTGTATATGATCTGTTGTTCCATATACTTTAAATAAGCTAACATTTGTAGGCACCCCGGCAGCAAGGGCTTCAGTTGACCGTACATATGCGAGGCCCGGACGATTGTTACCAACACCACAGACACCGAGACAAACACCCCGACCCGAGCCAAAACATTCGGGTATAGAAGCGGTGGACTTGACAGCTGACGATGAAGTAGACGTGACTGCTTCGCGCTCGAGTAGCACGGAAGCTTTTGGTGACTCCCACGTACTATGGAGGGAAGACTCGGCATCTAGAGCGGAACCGTTGGAGAGAACAAGCAAGAAAAGAAAAAGCGACGGTATATCATCAGGAACGACGAGTAAAAGTCAGGAACGGAGCAGGAAGACCGTAGTCATCAGCAAACCGTCACGCGACAACAGCCCGGATGGTTTCAAGGATGTTGATGATTATATGGTCTCTCAGAACGATTTAAAACCCATCCGAGCGAACAGCGGGCGGCCAGTCCGACGCGCTGTAGAAGATACCACTTCCGATGATGAATTGGGGCAGCCTGAATTCACAGAGACGACTGACCGTATCGAAACGCGTGTCCGACATAGTCGTTTTCCATCTGCAGTCACGAGGAGCGGCTCAAACGACAGTCACATTTCACATTTGCCGACGAAATGGCCTTCAGATGGCCAGGAACAGACGGGGCAGTCCAGCATACAAGTCGCCGCATCTCCAACTCCTGGATTGACGCCAACTACAGCCGCAGCCTCAGCAAAACCGACAAGACGTCGTCCGGTGCGGCAAACGATAATACAAGACTCGGATGATGAAGATCAAGGCGAACTTGAGCTGACCCCGATAAAGGTGGTGAAAAGCAGTCCGGCCGCTGGAGATGGCTCGAAGACTTGGCAACAGTTACCACGGTCTGATGTGAAAGTTGGTGCTACACAAGATGTTAAACTTTCAGTATCACGAACTGGGAGTCCGCTCCGTCCGCTTTCCCAGAGTGTTACGAACCGTCGAGATCAAGCCATCTCTCCCTCTCAGCGTAAATCTCAAGTACATCTTGAAACACCGTCTAAACGCCCCTTTCACTCTTCTGGATTACAAAGTTCCTCCTCTACTGCCACGGCAGGTGATCGGGAGCTATTGAAATTCTTTCTGAAGCATGCATCTGCGCTTCAAACCTACCGGCAACGCGTTGATAATTTACTCGCTGAGAATTCAATAGTCTCAATGAAATATCTGGATGAAGGCGACAAACCACCCGCAGCTGTTAAAGAGCAGCGAGAAAACTTGCTTTCTAAGCTCAAGTCATATGATAACCTTAAGAAGTTCGGCCAAAGTTATAGGACCCTGGTCAGTGACAGGAAAATGCTTCATCAAAAGATTAGTGCTCTTTTAGAAGATGATGAAGACACTGCTTCTGCCGAAGAACGTATGACCAACTTGTCTTCGGATATCAAAACCATAGAACTGGAAATCATACAAGCCTTACATCTGTCAGGGGCAGTAAATGATGGATATGGATCCGTACAGGATTCCGACATCAAGCAAGCTCCACCCACAGCTTCCAAGGGTACAGAATTTGCGCCTTCTGGGCAGAGCAGCGGGCAAGTAATTCTACAAACCCAGTTCCCTACACTCCCGCCACGTGCCTCGTCTTCGAGCATCAAGAACGCGCGGGAATGCCTTCGACAGAGTTCACCCCGAAACAGAACCTTACCACGCTCGTTGGAATTCGACGAACCAGGCTCACCATCTCCAATCCGCCACTCCGTCTGTCCTGTATCCCACCAACAGCAAAGCCTCAAGACAAATCAAACTTCTTACCAAAGTCGAATACCCCCACCGAACTTTTTGCAATCCGCATCGCCTATGGATTATGGGTATGACGACGAAGATGACGAGGCTCTGAACAACCTGCTTGAAGATGAGCAACAGTTGTCCGAGCATATAATGAACCACGCAACTCCAACTGCTGCTAGTGAGGACGATTTCGGGGAATTTGATGACGACGACCTACTCGAGGTTACACAACACGTTGAGACCCGACAAGAACACGCAAAGTCATCAACTAAACCATACGAAACTCCACGCAATGCTTCTACTAGCTCAAGACTGCCTGACAACCATTCAAGAGCTGATGTTAATAAATCGACGATGTATACAACTATGGATCCCGCACATGCTAGCATGATGAAACATCCATGGTCAGCTGATGTCAAAAAGGCTCTAAGAGACCGTTTCGGTTTGCGAGGCTTTCGTCAAAACCAGCTAGAAGCTATCAACGCAACACTAGGAGGCAAAGATGCTTTCATTCTTATGCCAACCGGTGGCGGAAAATCTCTCTGCTATCAGTTACCCGCGGTTGTGCAATCTGGGAAGACTCGAGGGGTTACACTCGTTGTATCACCTTTGCTGAGTCTGATGAGCGATCAAGTGGACCATTTGAAGGCTCGCAACATCCAAGCGTGTTTGATTAGTGGCGACACTTCTAAAGAAGAGCGGAGTATCGTATTTGCTGCTCTGGAAGAACGCAAGCCAGAACAGTACATTCAGCTTTTGTATGTTACTCCCGAAATGGTAGCAAATAGTCGCAAGCTTGAAAGCACACTTGATAAGCTGCACAGAATACAGAGACTTGCCCGTATTGTCATCGACGAGGCACACTGTGTGAGCCAATGGGGTCACGACTTTCGTCCAGACTACAAATCACTCTCAAAATTACGGGATCGTTACCATGGAGTTCCATTTATCGCATTGACGGCCACAGCAACAGAAGCTGTCAAGCTCGACTGCATTCATAATCTAGGTATGACAAACTGTGAGCAGTACAAGCAGAGCTTCAATCGACCAAATTTGTACTATGAAGTTCGCACTAAGAAAGGGAAAGGCGTCTCAGAGGAAGTTCTCAAAAATATGTCTGAACTCATTTTAAAGGATTACAAGAACATGTCTGGTATAATCTACACATTATCTCGCAAAGGATGTGAAGATCTGGCAGAGAAGTTGCGCGAGAAAGGCATTAGGGCTCACCATTTCCATGCCTCTATGGACGCTGTAGAGAAACACCAGGTCCAACGTGACTGGCAAGCTGGCAAGCATCAAGTTGTGGTTGCGACGATCGCTTTTGGCATGGGCATCGACAAGGCAGACGTTCGTTTCGTCATACATCATACAATGCCAAAAAGTCTGGAAGGCTACTACCAAGAAACTGGCCGCGCTGGCCGTGATGGAAAACCTTCGGGATGCTATCTTTATTACGGATATCAGGATACTGCTGTGTTGAGAAGGTTTATAGAAGATAGTGAGGGTGGCCCGGAGGTTAAGCAGAGCCAACGCGCGATGCTGAACAGGATGGTGCAGTTTTGCGAAAATCGCAGTGAGTGTCGGAGAGTCGAGGTTCTGGCTTACTTCGGAGAACGGTTCTCCAAAGAAAATTGCAATCACAGCTGCGACGCTTGCAACTCTGATGCTGTATTTGAGCCGAAGGATGTCACTTCTGAGGTCAAAGCCGTCATTAAGATAGTCAAAGCATTGAGGCACGAAAATATTACTCTTCTCTACCTTGTAGATCTCCTCCGAGGAGCAAATACCGTCAAAATAAGAGAATCGGGACACAGCGAGTTAGACGGATATGGAGCTGCCAAAGAAAGCCTAAAAGCCCACGAGCTTCAACGTCTATTTGTGCGTCTTCTAATAGAGGGCGTTCTCGATGAGTATAGTATTATGTCGAGAGGCGGCTTCGCCCAGTCATACATCAAGGTACGCTAGCACAGACTCCATCCATCATCTGATAATACTGACCTTTATAGACTGGACGAAACTACCAGAGCTTTGAAAGTGGAGCGCGAAGATTAAAACTCGTTCTTAAAGTCTCCGGATCACCAGATGGAGTTGGCAAAGGGTCAAAGCGGCCGGCTTCTCACACAGGAGATCTCCAGAATTCCGTGAGATCCAGAGCACTACCACCATCGACAATGTTCACATCACCCGTTCGGCCACCCACCCGGCGAATCAATACTCACGCGCAAGGAAAGCGTGCAATTCGACAAGACGAAAGTGACGGACCCACATCCGAAGATGCCTTCGAGCAGGCCGCGCCTCGTCCCGCCAAACCCTTCGAGCGAAAAACGAGGACATTGGGGCCTCCTATAACTTCAGATGCCATGACTGATCTTTCCGACCTGCATCAAATTTGTGTGGATGCCTTCGTTGATAAAGCGATGAAAAAGGACGAAAAAATCCGCAACATAAAGAATTTAAGAAAAGCTCTTTTCAGCATGACCGAATATCGACAGATGGCGATTCATTGGACTACTAGTAAGGAAAAAATGGTGGGTCGAGGTTTGAACGAAGAGAAGGTGAATCTCTGGGGAGACAAATTTATTCCTCTGATTATGGAGGCTTATGAAAACTACGAAGCCATGGTCCACGACAATACGGATATGGACGTCAATCATCAGAATGTGATTGACTTAGTAAGCGATGAAGATGGAGAAGATGATGAATATCCGGGTGGCACCAATGAAGATGACGATGACAACATATCCGTCACCGAAGAACCCTCGAAGTACTTCGCTACAAATAACGTACGTGCATTCAACGAGAGCTTGGCTCAGGCACAGTCTCTCCCGCAGAGCTATCAACCGAGGCCAGCTCCACAAAGTAAACCATCAAGAGGCGGATTTGCTAGTCGTGGCAAGTTTAAGGGAGGAAAGAAGTCTTACAATCGGCGAAGTACGGGATCTAACTCTGGCAAGGGCGAGTCTAGTCGCTCAGGTGTCTCGAAAAGAGGCCAAGCACGGAAAACTTCAGCTGGAAGCAGGAAGGCAGCAACGAGCAGAGGAGGTGGCGCCGCTAATGGCAATTTAATGGCTGCCTTCGGCAATCGGAGTGGAGGGGGAATCGGCGCGATGCCAACATGATAGGACTCGTCATGTCGGTATCTTGTTTTGGTTATATAATTGCTATGGATACCGGGAGTACTGCGCATTGTTGGAGCTTCTTGTATTAACGCATTATGACTGATGGAAGAATATCTTTGGCTTACGGGCCGTTGCATATAGATAATTAGAATAGGCCCTGTTAGGCTCCCAATGAAGCTGATGATGGTGTTGATTTTCCGACTTGAATTTGATAGATGGCCGATGGCATGCGTCAAGTTTGTATGGTTCCGAACGCGGGCTAGTTTTCCCACTTGTTTGTAACTTCACCTCTCGTTGCTTTCAACACCATCTCTCCTTTCAGGGAACGCAGCCAAATTTCTATATCATATTCGATAAAGATTTCAATGCATTATGTTTGGGGTCTTGGAATACAATTCGTCAGCGCTCCAGGGTCGAGCTAGTCTAGCAAAGATGACCTGCCTTCGCAGAGGACAACATAAGTAGGGGACCTCTCAACTATTATACGAACTTGAATTTCTTTCATGAGGGTACGTCGTCTTGTTCATTAAATTATATTTGAAGAGCGTGGAACCGTCTTATCCCTTTGGTATACACAATGAAAGCATGACATTCTGTTGACTTGGTTATAGCCTTCAGATGTTTCGACTGTCAGCTATATCCTCCACGAGCATTTTTTCTCAGCTGCTGTTGAATAAAGCCTCAACAGCATCTCATCGTCAACTGGCAGTTGGTCGAATTCTGTATCCTGGAATAGAAGATGTAGATACCTTGACTACTGGTACTGCCACTACGAACAGCGCTATTCCCCCAGCAAAGCTGCCATTGCACTTCTCCTCTCATCATCACTTCCGTGACCACGTCCGTCATACACCTTATAATCTCTATATCCTCCACGCAGCGTATCATCCGAATGATATCCAACCTCAGAATTCGACTCGCTATCCTCGTCATAATATGTTTTCTCCCTCCCCTTCCCCTTGATCTTCTTCACCTCATCAAGCGGCTTCTCATGATGTTTCCAATACCTCCTCTTATCACGCGGAATATCAATATGTTGTTTCAAAATATAAAGATCCGACACATTCCTATTCCGCGGCACCTTCGCCGCAACAATAGTCTGGAACCCCAACTCCCCTGTCTCAGGCCTCGTAGACCACAGAAAAATCTTCATAAACCAATACCCCCAAACCTTCTCGCCCCCATACTCATCCCACTCCGTCCCCAGTCTCTTATACCCAAAAGACACCTCCGTTTTATGCAGCGGCAACTGATACAACAGAATCTGCTCCAGCCGATCCTGTGGCTCTCCGTCGTTGTGCGTGGATATACAACGTGCTTTTGTCGCGCCATCGCGACGAGGCTCGTAGAGTCCCATGTCGAATTGCTGGTCATTGCAGTGTACGATGGCTTCGCCCCATGGTTCGCCTTGACGCATATACGCGTCGTGCTCTGCGTAGCTGCAGTCGAGAGGGATGAGCGGCCTGACGTGGATCTCGCGGTCGTGAGATGGTTTGAAGACTTGGACGTGTGGATCGCTGCGCGCTGAAGCTGAAGATGAGATTAAGGGGCGCGTGTAGAGAATTAGGTAGGTGCCGTGGATGTCTCGCATGTTCTGTGAGGGTGTTAGTGGGTTACTTCAATGGTTCTGGGGGAGTGTACTTCTATGTTATCCATATCGAAATAATAGCAATCTCCCATGAAATTCGCATACTTCGCCGCTGATTGCTGGACTGTGAGATTTGGGACTTGTTCTTGTTCTCCTCGTGGGATACTGAGTTGAGCCCATTCTGGAATCTCTCCTGGCATTCGCTCTGGCTTTCTACGACGCGGTTTGTTGCCATTTTTCTTTGCCTGGTTCTCACGATCAGACTCTTCTGGCACTTTTCCAAGAGTTTCCGTGTCGACTGGCTTGAAGGTATGCTTAAATCTACTGGTTCTTCGATGATATGGAAGGATAGTGCGAGTTGGTAGATCGATGGTGGGCGATTTTGCTCCTGAGGACGCCATCTTGATTGTAGCAAGAATGCTGTGTTGCAAGTATGGTGTATTTGATACTGATACTGTTTTGTATTTGTTTATGTTATTTAGGGCAGCCGGTTTCGCTTTGTGGTATTCACGAATTTGTCCTTAGCGAGTTGTGATATAGTATTCACCTTTGTTGATTTAGTAAAGCGAGTTGATAGGGAAACGGGCCACGTCATAAGAGCTTTCATGGTTAAATGAGCTTTTGATTCGAGACAATGATAGCAATATTATGCTTTCAACAGTTTATCCACATAAAGCAAAGAATTTTGTTGAAGATCTTGTCATGGACCGATAAATCTTCACCTTCTCTATCATCGCTTGTCTTCGCTATTTAAACCTACAAGATTTGGCTTTTAAGGGGAGGAGGCTGCATGAGTTGGTTTAATTACCAGCAGAACTGGTATATTGGATGTTGTTGAGGTAAATCAATACATGAAATCAATCCTGTGATTCTCTGTGTATTTTCTGGACTGTGGTTTGTCTGTAGTGCAATGAACTTTGAATGTGACAAAGTCTGTTAGTAGATTTCATTGACTCCATTGTTTTCGGTGGCAAGCCTGATAGTCTCTTAGGAAATATTCAGTCTGATTCAGAATATAAATATGCTGTGAGAAGTCGCTGCATTCTGAAGAGATTTAACTTCGTCTAAATTTGGAAGATCTTGCAGATGTAACACTAATGAAAGATGGACTTGATTGTCAATTTTTATATGTTTCAAGATGGTAATTGGATTTTTGGTTAATTGTGAGACAAGTATTTGATGTTGATAAATGGCCCGAGACTAAGTGTATGGATATCGTTGATTTGCTGAAACATTACAATGAAAGCAAATCAGCGTCCTTCTCCACCCCCCTCTAACCACCACTCACAGTCATATCACCTCCCCATCCAGCCCCCATCAACAACAAGCACATGTCCACTAACATACGCACTCCCTTTCCCCGCCAAGAAAACCACACTCCCCTTAAAATCCTCCGGCGTCCCCCATCTCCCAGCAGGGATCCTCTCACTAATACTCCTCAGTCTCTCCGGGTTATTCAACAACGCAGTATTCATCTCCGTCTCAATATAACCGGGCGCAATTGCATTCACAATAATCCCCTTACTCGTCCATTCGTTTGCCAGACTTTTCGTTAATTGTGCGACGGCGCCTTTGGAAGCTGCGTAGGCGGGAACGGTGAGTCCGCCTTGGAAGGAGAGGAGGGATGCGAAGTTGATTATCGAGCCGCGACGGCCGGTGACGGGGGAGGGTTCGAGGGAGAGCATGTGTGCGCCGATGTCGCGGCAGAGTGTGAATACGGTTGTTAAGTTTACTTGGAGGACCTGGGGGGAGTTAATTTTGATTTCATGTAGGAGTTAAATTGAGGTACCTCGTTCCAATCCTCGTCCGGAAACTGTGCGCTAGGATGCCGTTTTTGAATTCCCGCGCAATTTACAAGAATATTGATTTTATGTCCATCTTCCAGAATCTTTGGTGTAAGTGCCTTGACCTCTACCTGTGAGGATAGGTCTGCGGTGTATATTGTTGCTTTTCGTCCTGTTGCCTCTATGGATTTTGCTGTGGAATCTTGACTGCGATCGCGCTGGAAAAGACATTAGTATTCTGCTTTCTCGAGTTGAATCCTGGGAAGGACTACACCTGTATCAAGATTATATCTGCACCGCTTTCCGCGAGTGCTATTGCTGCTGCTTGGCCGATTCCCCGGGTTCCGCCTGTTACTACGGCTGTTTGACCTTCCAGCGAGAAGAATTGGGATATGGGAGTTGCCATTTTCAATAGATATGAAGTTCCAGCTTCAAGATTATTATTTTCGGGTTTGTGGGAGGTTGCTAAGGTCATCTATGACATCCTACATCACGCGTGGAGGTTGAATGATGGAGGGGGGAAGGTGGGGGATGCGGGGCTGGTGGGGTGACAAGATCCGTCAGACGCCGACGACACATCGATGATTGCATTTATCCAGATGATTTTGCAAACTAGATTCTTATATTTATTGCTTCTAAACTAAGTTATGTACTATTGATACTCCGTATCTCAGTATATGTTGATCTTATTAAGAGAAATACAGGTTGTGAACACTCTGACGCCTTCCTCTTTCTTCCCAGAGCAGACAGGCGACCAGGACAGCTAGTGCTTGTAACTGTCCTTTTCTCGTTCTCTTGATTCGCGCTTATTCTCTTCTCCTCCTGCTTGTTATTATTGTCATTATTCTTTTCTGCTAATCGTGCTGAAGTAATAAGCTTCTTCAGGATAATGACCATGAACTTTTTTCCATTTTGGAGAGAACATCTTCTCTTGACGCTTCATATCTCGCCAGTCGTTATTGCGCTATCCAGACTCCCGCTTCTAGTTTTCCTTGTTTGGCTCGTAATCTCTTGACGTTCATTATTCTCCACATATGATTGTTGTTGTTGTTGTTGTTGTTGTGATGATTGTTATTTACAAGGCGCCTGCTTCCGAATTGTCCATATAGGGTTTCAGAGATCGCCAGTTCGATGCATATATTCTTCATGGTTACCATTCCTATTCTTTGGTAAAGATGATTGCATGAACAATGAACGTGCAGAAACAGGAGTAGGTTGTCAGGATTCATGAGCTTGAGCCAATTCGATGCATATACTCCTTGATGCATATAATCCTCGATGCATATGCTGCTGGATGTATATAACCCTCGATACCACCGTGAGGGTTACTGGGAAGATCGTAATTGATTGCGTGTACAACGTTGGCGATGTCCGATAATTATGCAGCAACAGGAGTGGCAGAGATTAATTACGCACTTGGCCATCCGGAACGAATGGATGGAGTCCTTACGCTCTCTCTGAGTGCGTTCGGAGAGGATCGAGGTACATGGCATGTTGAGGTTGAAGAGATGGTCGCCAACTCCATAGATAACGCGCCTGGTATTGACAAAGATTATGGTACGTGCTGGAGGTAATGATCTCAAAAGATCGATAAAGACCTTTTCATTTGAGACCTCTCGACATAAACGATGTCTTGTTTTCTCTTTAAATCCAAACTCCTCCATTTATTATTGTTGTCATTATTATTGTTGTAGTCATCCAGGAGCGACTTCTGAATTGTCCATGTTTGGATCTTCTTATTTTGGAATTTAAACTTCTCCGGTTGTTATTATTTAGACGCCCCTTCGTATGATGTTGTTGCTTTCGACACCCCTTCGTATGATGTTGTTGCTTTCGACGCCCCTTCGTATGATGTTGTTGCTTTCGATGTGTGGATTGCTTCTTTCTGTACTGTCCTTGTCTGGATTTCCTACGCAAAACCGCGATAGGTCCTCCACGCTTTTATGTGAGGACCTGCAGCTGTTGACTTCTGGTCTTCACCAATAATGCTTGGAAGATCCGCTTCGACGTTATGGTTCTGGTTGGCATAATCTTGATGTTTCGTCTTTAGTAGGTATTCGATTCGTACATTTGCTAAGCAAGGTATTTTTTATACCTTGAGGAGATAATTTACTCCCTGTCTAAAGTTAGCATATATTTTTGAAACTTTGCTAAGGCGGCTTCGAGACACTTACTGTTTAACAAGTCCAGATAATTCTGGCGTTCAGACGGCCAAGCTCCAACCACAAAATAGGTGATTCAATTGATGATCGTAAAACCACCATGGAGAGATATTTCTAGCCAGAAACCGGGTGGAGAAGATCATTCCCCATTGTCGGAGATCCATTCAGAGTGATTCAGGGTACCTTCAACGAACAGATTACTTGTCATAAAGTAACCCAGATAGCAAATGTTAGCCATTAATTGCCGAGCATGGTTGTGTAAAGAGAATCTTAGTGTCAACACTAAGAGATCATCGAGATTCGATGGTAGTTTGTATAAGCTCCTGAAGCGTTGCCTCTCCTGGTAGATCGACACCCCTATTGGTAATTCAGCTACTTGGGCCTGCTTGAAGACGTGCGGGGTCATATCCCACTCCTTGAGGGAACCGGATAACTCGCTGTTGTCCTTGAGGGCCAGATTCGGGTCCAGGGCTAAAGACTCTAGGTGGCTAACCGCCACTTTCCCCTTTTACTTATTAGGTGTGTTAGCTGTGGTATAGCCGCAGAGTTTCCAATTATGCGAAGACGGACAGCAGGCGATATTCAAGCAACTGCTTACAATTACAGCGCGATGGTGAAGTCTATGCCTTCCTGCTAATTAGGAAGGTCCGCTTCTGGTTGATGGCCATACTGCATGGCGTTGAACAAATTGAACAAAGCCGCAACCCTTTCCTGGAGGAATCTTGACATAAGTGATCTCGCCAAAACCTTGGAAGAAACATCCTAGCTCATCCTCTGTAACATAGCTAGAAAACCGCCACAGCCCGCCAACATAGTAGTGTTGTTAGGGTCTGTGAACTGGTTCATGGGTTGGGGAGCTCCATAATAAATCCAGACCTTCAAGTGATCTCGCAAAAACCTTGGAAGAAAGCTCGTAGCTCGTCCTCAGTAACATATCCAGAGACCCCACCCACAATACAGTGGTGTTGTTGGGTCCGTGGATGGAGAATAGAAATCTCCAGAAGAACAAAAGGGTAAAAGTCCTCCTAATTTTGATTTTCAGTGTGAATACAAACCACGAAAGCGCACCCACCGCGATCGGAGACTGATTATAAGAGGCTCGATTACCCATCAGTGGGGCCCAATAAATTTGAGAGAATTATTGCGCGTAGAAGGAAGCTTACAATACTACCACAAAGTATTTATGAAATGGTAGGCCTCCTCCTCCCCCTCGTCGTCAGTCTGCTCGGTAGCTTCATTGTGAAAACCGTCATTGTTAACAGACAGAATGGCTTGTTTGTTTGTTGTTCAACGAAAACAGAATCGAAGGTTGAGGATCGAAAGTTGAGGATCGAGATGCTATGCTTGAAGGATACTAGAAGGATCATACCCATCGATCCTTTCGTCCCTCGAAATTTGAGGCTAGAGGTGCTGGAAAAGAGAGGTCGTTTGCTTTCAGCTTCTCAAACAGTTTCTTGCAGTGGGGGCGTTTGGTCGCTTGGAGGAGGAGGTGGAGGAGGTGGTGGCGGGGCTGAACCAGAGAATTGTTGCAAGAGTGCACTTATACCGGCACTGCGTGATCCAATCCATGAAAAATCTCAAGATGTGTGGTTCGTAAGGTGTGACAGTAGTCAACGGAGGTCAGGAGGAGGTGCAGCTGGATAACCACCCCCGCTGTAACCGGGAGCAGCATAACCACCATACCCTCCAGCATTCGCAGCTGGATAACCTGAACTATTCTGTTGCCATGCTGGTGCAGCACCTCCTGGTGCTGGAGGCATATTTGATCGAAAGCACAAAATAAGTTGTAGTATTGAAGCGTAAGGTGCGGCATAGAGGAGAGATGCACAGCAGAAGTGAAATCAACCTAAAAATTAGATCAGCAAAAGATCGAGAGCTTAAGTTCGCCATTTAGAAGAAGTTTTCCGCGGTGTGGTGAAATAGAAATACTTTACATACCTCTGGAACGTCACCCAGGAGTGAAGCTACTACAGCCAGCAGCCACCGTCTATTGCGACTTTTGAAGGCACGACCAAGAGCTCAAATATCTCAAGATCTTACTCCTCTTAGAGGAGTACGATTTTGAAATTATGTCTTCAAGATTTATTCAGTATCCTCAAAAGTTGCTAGTTATTTCGCAGTGTATTAAATGAGTTGAGTTGAGTGGTTTTCGTCCCAGGAACAATACTGTAATGGTTGGAAGTTGCCATAATGCTATGCTTTATTCAGTATCCTCTTTAGATGCTTAATTCTTTTGTAGCGTATTAGTGAGTTGAGTTGAGTTGAGTTGAGTTGAGTAGGTCCAATTCCAAGAACAATACTGCAAGGGTTGGAAGTTCCCACACCGATGTGCTGGAGGCATGCCCATGGATGGGTATTGCGGGGATGGTGCAGTTGAGGGGTTGAAGGGTTCGGGTTGAAGAACTTAATTGTAATGGTTGAAAGTTACCATAAGGATGCGCTGGAGGCATGCTTATGGACTGGTATTAAGGTAGTGTTGAAGAGAGGTGGTAAAGCGGTTTAAAGAACTTAATTGTATGGATTAAAGTTACCATACGGATGCGCTGGAGATACCCATAGACTGGTATTGAGGTGGAGGAGGAGTAGGACGATATGAGGTGCCTGCCGGACCAGGATTGTTTTGGGAACGTCCCCAAGATAGACAAATACGAGGGTTACCACTTGGATAACCCTGTATTCGGTTGGTCGCCAGCTAGGTTTTAAGTTCAGTATCCTCAAATTGTTTTCGCTTTCGAATGTACCAATAATAGTGGTACATTCTTAATAAGCAGAAGGGGGGACTTTCCAATTGGATATCCTTGCATTTGGTTGATCGCCATCTCAGCTGTTATGAGGAAAGCCAAGAGACTTGCTGCGATGTGCCCAGCATAAATTATCTCAGAGGCAAGCCACACAGGCCATATCGAGAGATATGCGAGCCCAGCGGGAGCAGGAGCTTGGGGGACGACGGAGGCCAACCCCAGATGGGCGGCAGCACCTGCAATCCCCCTGGGGGACGACGGAGGCCGAGCATATCCCGCTCGTGTTCGTTCTCTATCTCTTAATAATTTTAAGAGATAGATATGGCCTGGTAAATTGATAAGAGTTGACTCTGGGTTCTAAACCCATGCGGGTAAATATGCGCTACTTCAATTTTTGAAGTTAGTAGTGAGGTTAAGAGGATAGGTTTATATATTATACCATCCTCAAATGTCAAAAGACTCAAAGATCTCAAAACCATACTCTTCTCTCTCAGCCAAACTGGTACCGCGATTATATTGGGATCGGCGACGGTGTTGCTCGTCTCTCAAGTGTTGACCTCTACACCAATTTGTTTCAGTATACCATGACCTGGAAGTTCTCGCGGTTGTATGGGTTGTATAGATTATCCTGGGGCTGAGAAGTGGTGGGGAGAGGAGCGTTATTCTGGCGAGCAAGACTCGTAAGTGCTGCCAAAATAGAGGCATCCTTATTAGAGAGATTCTTATTAGAGGCTACAGGTTGAGCGGAGGGATCAGACGTCCCCAATGCCTGTTGCAGATGTTCCGGCGGACTGCCAGGAGGTGTTGTTGAGGCTATTCAGAAAATAAAACATTAGATACCAAACGAAGATACAACGGGGAAGAGGTCAGGCTGTCTTACTTTGTCGAGGAGCGCTGCTTCCACCTGCTAGGGGGAGAAATATGAGGTGCAATTATTAGGTTGCGCGATGTTTACCGTCTGCTGGCTTGTGCTAGCTGACGTCTTGCGACATCACCATGCGTAGGAATAGGACCTTTGCATAGGACTTAATTGGGTAATACGGTGCTGTAAATAGTAGAGTAGCCTTGCTCTGTAATCTCGCGACACGGGCGTTTCGCAATGACTCAGATAACTCTGAACGAATGATGTCTATATCTCAATTCAACCCGAAAGTCGTCCTGAAGTATAGTCACAGTCGTTCTAGGAAGGGTTTTGTGTTGAAATAATGGGAACTATGTGTTGAGTGTGCTCTTGCTGTTGCAGCGTTGCTGCTGGTGGTTGCTGGGTTGGGCATTTCCATTGTAATCTCGCGACACGGCGGCTCTTCAGATAACTCTGAACAAATGATGTCTATATTTCAATTCAGCCCAAGAGCCGTCCTGAAGTATAGTCACAATCGTGAAAGGAAAGCTGAACCGTCCCCTAGAATTAGGGGAAGTAGGGCCGTTCCTTTCGGGCCCTGGGTAGACTATATCTTGGGCCTAGACAGTGTCTAGGCCAACTGCCGTCTAGTCGTTGAACTGCGTCCGTGTGCCGCTGGGAAATGCAAATTGAACGTTGATATTAGGAGAAGTAGGCGTAAAAATAAAATGCCTCGCTTAAGCAGGCGGTTGCTGGCTTGGGCATTTCCATTGTAATCTCGCCACATGGGCGGTTGCTGCCTTCAGAGGAAAAGACATGGTGCAGAATCAACAGAAAAGTGACAGCGCCTCATGAAGAGGTATTTGTGCTAAGTTGTATCTTTATGGTCCCATTCCAGGATGTCTTTGCAAGTGGTCCACCAGCAGTGAAAAGATAGCAAACTCATCGAACTCCGGACCCCCTCCTCCTAGGAAAGCGCGGGGAAGATTTGGCTGCTGGGCTCTTGATGTTTCATTACCATCTCTAGCTGATAGGGAGGGACGTGATGTGGTCACCTCAGTGGTGCGGTTGATTGTGCTCTGCTGTAGCCTTGAACTGCCATTGTCACTTCGCATAGCTGAAGCTCGAAGCGATTCAACATCCTCGATGGGAGGAGTGGTGGCCAACGAGGATGATCCTAATCCTCTCTTACGTCGAAGAAATGTAACGTGACTTGACGCTGTCGCCTCAGGGGCACGAGGGACGTTGCTCAGTCGCTGAGGACTTGAGAGCCGATTGCCAACTGGAGTGGCTAGAGCAGGCAGCGACGATGATAATTCAGCGGTGCGGTGGATGGCACTGGATTGCGGCGCTCTTGAGCTCATGTTGTTACTCGTGGTAGCTGCAGATATGCGCGTCGCGGTTGTTTCTCGCATTTCGAAATGAGAACCACAGAGAGGAGCGTGAGGTTGCCTGTGAGGCGGCCAGGAAGTGAGACATGCTTTCCCGTCAATAAGGGTATGATTTGAACTTTGGTGCCTCTGCTTATCAGATGATGATGATGCGCTTCCTGCTAGGTTCCTACCAGAAGATCCCCAGGGAAGGTAGTGGAGGTTGATAGTATCATAAGCTATCCCAGAGACACGCCCAGGAAAGACATCACCAGATTCAAGGCCAATATGGGTTCTGTTGACGGCATTGTGGGCTATGTTGTGCTGACTCCTGTGAGGTGGGTCACCGATGTTTGTGCGTTTGGAGGGATATTGTCTGGCCCATTCCTCAATGAGGGGTTCGAACTCACGAAACCTTCTCAATACTTTAGTGAATGATAGATCGCCTGAATCTGTCATTTCATTTAGGGAAGTTCCAGGAAGTGACACGTCAAATATTGGAGCTGGGCTCGATATGTGCTGGTGTTGGGTTTCCCTTTTTTGCTGAAGTCCTTCAGGCAACGACTTGCGCTTGTAAGCATTTACCGCTGGTAAGGACGGCATGGCAAGGCCACTTGACCAACAGCTGGATGCTTTACTGTAAACGCATTCAGAACGGCTAGTTCGCGGGTGAGATCTTGCCCTGGGGCAAAAACCTGTTGTTGGGTGGCTCAGGGGCCGTGATGCAGCTAAGCAAGTCGAGTAATATGGGATTGTTGATGGGTTTACCTCGCTAAATGAGCCCAGATATCCAAACATCTCGTCGTATCCAGTCAATGGTACTAGAGGAAGACTAACGTGAGCTAGTGATGTTGATGTGTCCAAGGCGCGTTGGCGAAGTTCGTTGTTATTTTGTTGTATAACATCCAACTGAGAACTTCGAGCAATGGGAGCTTTGTTGGAGGGATCTGTTCGATCTTTAGTTAGATGGAAGCCTAAAATAAATTATCTGTCAAACAAATTTGGCGGAAACTCACTTTTATCGACGTCGCCGCCGTCACTCGCTACCCCTTTTCTAGATCGTTGGAGATCCTTCAGGTTATTTGTCGCATCGTCACTTGACTTTACATGTGTTGTATGTTCCGATGAAGATCTGTTTCGTGTTGGGCTGATTTGACTCAAAGAGGGAGTAATGTTTAATTTTCTGGGAGGTGAAGAATCTGCGACACCAGTCGCGGAACTGGACGCTTCTCGTTCTTGGCAAAGACTGCTATTGCTGGTATCATTGCTCGTTGCGTCGGAAGACATCTTCGTTGTTGGTGCGAATTTAGGAAAAAAGACTTGGTTGCTTGGAAGTTGAGGATTGTGCGTGCGGAGAAGATGAGGGAGTGGTTTTCGCTTCACCGAGCGGGTTGCCTCCGAATCACTTCGAAACCCTACATTGTAAGCGACCCCGGTCCGAAAATAGGACTGATAGTAAACATGGCGGACTGTTCTTGAAATGTTATCTATCCTACGCTAGCGTAATACAAGCTGTTTTCTTGAACAACCTTCTGTTTCTTTGTGGAGAACAGTTGAGTCCAATCTGGGCATTCCACTCGAAGTCAAATTAAGAATCATAGAATTACTCTGCCACTAAGCAGTAAATGGTTGTAGTCATTGTCAGTTATTTCAATTCCACGAAATGCGGTGCAGTGTGTAATGCTAAAGATTCTCGGTAGCGCCGATTACCCTTTGTTGATGTCTGCTAGCCAAATCATTTCCTCACGCCTGCTCAGTATCAACAAGCACCTTTAGCACAAGATTACCATCGTCATCCTTTACTCGGCCAGCCATATCGAACGCGCCTGGGATCTTATCGAACCCCTTAAATCTCTGGGTAATGAGCTTGGAAAGATCGGGAAGGAGAGGATTGCCACTGGATACAAGCTTGATAGCTTCCTTGTAAGTATCCGCATAGCGAAATACTCCGACGAGATCAACTTCTCTAAGTGCTGCAGCTGATATTGGAAGTGTTTGGATAGGACTTCCCATGCCGATGAGCATAATGCGGCCACCTGGGCGGGTTGACTACTCTGTTAGCATCGAAAACACACAACCAAGAAGGGGTAATCACATATATGGCAGCTTGCAAGCAAGACTCAACACCCGTACACTCGAATACAGCATCTACATCGCCTATATCAGATTTCGACTTGACGATTTCCGCGACTTCCTTTGCGAAGGCAAGCTTTTCTTCGATTGCCTGTGGACGCTTCATTGGGACGACGATTTGCGCATCTGCAAATTTATTCTTGACTGCGAAGTCTACTCGATCGGATTGGATGTCTGCAATAATCACTTGTTTGGCGCCGGAGACCTTGCACATAGCAGCACAGAGCAGACCAACCGCACCGGCACCAAACACGAGAACTGTACTTCCCGGCTTCAAACCAGCACGTCGAGAACCGTGGATAGCAACTCCGAGGGGCTCAAGAATTGCTCCTAATTCTAAAGACATATCCGAGGGTAATCTAAAGGGATTAATACAAACCGATTGTAGAAGTAGGGAGGACTTGCTTGTGACAATAAACTGCTGGGTGGTTGATTCTTTCTTGTAGAGTCCCCTGAAAGTGTGGGAACGACTTGGCAGAGCTTCTGAATCGCAGATCTTTGCAGATGTTGTAACGGCCTTCCTTACACAGATTGCATCCCAGACAAGGCAGTCCAACTTCCAGGGCGACTTTATCTCCAACCTGGAGGTCTTTAACTGAAGAGCCAACTTCGGTGACAATACCAGAAGATTCATGGCCGAGGGTTAAGGGTTCTCTGACTATAATGTCTCCGTTGCGGTAGTGGTTGAAATAATGCAGATCAGAACCACAGAGTCCAGTAGCTTGAACTGCAATCTGTACTTCTGTTGGTTTTGGGGACTCCAGCTGTCGAGACTCCTATATGAGGTCAGTTATAGGTTATTTCTTGGAGCTGAGATTATTGGACTACAAACTATCTTTAAGTCCTTTACGCCATGCAATACAGATGCTTTGACTTCTGAAGTCTTCTTGTCGTTAGCACTTGCGGTATGTATATGCACGCGACAATCCTGTCTCACCATGTTGGAAGAAATCAATTTGGTCTATGCAGACGTCGAAGAATAAACCAGTGGCGTGAAATTGGTGTCTAGGTCAAGAACTATGATCTTATCTAGCTCTTGGAATCTTCACAGTGTGATTAAACTTTCTCCTTGATTCTGGGGCAACACATAGAGGTACATGTGGCATCGGGTTATGACGGTAGTTGTGCCCTCTGGTAGAAATTAACCATCCCACAGTTGAGTTGCAAGCGAACCAACGAAAGCCAGCGAGTCTGCCCCTTTCCCCACCCCCATCTTTCCTCACTATAGGCGAGCGGAGCGGAAAAATAAGAGTCCGGGCCAGATTCTCGATCGAGTCGATTCTACCGAGTTTGCCGGTCAACACCATGACGCACGTATTAGTTGTATACAGCAGGTGTTAATGGCAGCTTACATTGCCTCAAGTTCTTACGTATATATCAATGAAAGTTACTCAATCTATTGTCAAGGTTCTCTGTCCCATATCGAAAAAGCTACGTCGCGCTAATTATTCTGATTTATCCAAAACCTCTTGAGTGTACTCCCAGAGCTGTCTGGCAAACTTGACATCAGTCGCAACGGCATCTAGTTTGCCTAGTACACCCACTGGCTCATAGTAACCACCATTCTCAAGCCTTTTCTTATCAGCACCGGCTGCTGCCCAGAGCGGATTCAATGCACCTTCAGCCTCCGTCAGCACCCTTTTACCTTGGACGAACTGAGAAATGTAGACAATCCGCCTTTGTAAGGGTCGTAACTTTAAGACCAAGTCGGTTGCAACCGTGCCAGGATGTACTGATACGGTAGTGATACCAGGGTATCTTCTTGCTAATTCTTTGGCGTAGACAAGATTGGCGAGTTTGCTTTGACTATGAAGAAGCCTATCAGTAAAACGACACTTGCTATAAACCAGATTAACTAACCCATATCGATATAACGAAGCTAATCCATTTTCCTGCTTCGTCTTCAATGTATTGTAGGTCACCCCATCACTTGGTCTGACTCGCCAGCCAACGGAAGTGAGTATCACAATTCGTACATCAGCCCCTGGCTTTTTGACTGTTGCGAGCAATGTTGGCAAGAGCTTTCGAATGAGCATGGAGTGACCAAGATGGTTGGTTGCGAAATGGATCTCAAACCCATCGACGCTCAATGCCGGCGGATGGTCCATGATTCCAGCATTGCACACCAGGATATCAAGTCTATCACTGGTAAACAGACGGGAAGCATTTTTGACAGAAACGAGCGACGATAAATCCATCTTGACAAAGGTCATGGACACAGATGGCGCGATCTGTTGGATTTGTGAGATGAGAGACTCTGCTGCTTCCGCATTTCGACCACTGAAGTATATGTGAGCTGGATTGTGTTGAGCGAATGCTTTCACATATTGTGCTCCCAGACCAGCAGTCCCTATCAATGGTCAGGTTCTTAAAGTCTTAAACACCAGGCAGCGGGTTTACCTCCTGTGATAAATATCACTTTCCCTTCCAAGGATGGGATGTCTTTCTGCGGATCAAAGTCTGCGAGTCCTGAGAGCGCAGGCATGGTGGATGGCCTCCAAGAGAGTTCCTGATTGTTTTAGACTTATGGAAAGAAAGGCTGAGTAGGCTACGAAAGTTCATAGGTCACATTTTGGAAGCAGATCCAGGAACATTTAAGTATTTCCAGAAATTCTCTGGTCGATCGTTTCATATATGACAATTTTCGGGTTTCCATGAACATTACCTTATCACTCTGAGATTCGGATAACCCATAGGCTCCGTAAGTGAGCAAATGCAGACGAAGCTCACTCAGACAAATCTATCAGGAAGCGAGCTTTCGTAGGGATACTTGGTCCATGAGGCGTTCTCAATATGAACTAGCGCATAAGCAACTTGCATGAGATTTGCGCAGGGGTGGATGAGGTCTTCCACAAATTCCACCTCGTTACTCTGCGCCTCGTATTTTACTCACCTGTTGCGTATGGGTACAGCAACATCCTTTGAGGTGGGATCACTTCATGGGTCATAAGCAGACTGCATATTATACAACCTCCCCCCAAGCTTGTAGAGCTCGAAGCACATCTGGACCTCGCTTATTCTTCAAAAACGACCGTCAACATGGAAAGAAGGACCGGAGTGGTTCAGTTGGTACGAATGAGACAACTTGCCGAGGTCAGTTTTACTTTGAATTTTGCAAAAAAGACGATCTGGGGTACTGAACGCGTATAGGCTATAGATCAAAATAAGGATGATTGGACAGGACTGACCGACCCGGCGGCCAGAAGGAAAATACAGACTAGGCTACACCAGAGAGCGTGGCGTAAGTGACATTGTGATGTTTCTTGATGTGAACGAACTTGGAATTCTCAATTCATAACATAGCTGTAGACTGTTATGTGCATGAACTGAATAATATTTGTAGGTAAGCGAAAAGCACAAGGGGCCAGAATCGAGGCCGGAGTTGATAGCGTTGGTCCTACTGAGAAAGGGACTTTTCAAGTTGATGAAACTAGGCCGTCTCAATATCTTCAGACACAGAGGTTTGCATCGGCCTTACGGCCTAATCAACTGCTCGACTATCAATGGGATGCTTCTGCTTCCACCGGATACCAAGTCGAATCACCTCCACTCATTTCCATATTATATCCCGACAGTTCAATCCCACTCGAAGTAGCCTCAGAAATCGCACTCGATATAACACCATCCATCAAACACCCCCTAATCCCACCAATCCTACCCTACCTCAACAAAGCAACATCCAGCCTCCCACTACCACCAATCCACTTCCCAATCGCCCCAGACCACCGTCTCATAACCCTCTTCCAATACAACGTCCTCCGCGCCACCCTAACCAACATGTCTCTCCTCTCCCTCCTCCACCGCCTCCCCACCTACTGCGCATCCGCCCTCCAAATCCCCCTCCTATCCCCACCACCCCTCCCCAACTCCAACTTCCCACACTCCCTCCGCCCAACCCTCCTCCAGCAAACCGTCACACACGATTACTGGATCGATATCATGCCCATCGCGCAGATGCGCGATAACCTGATCCTCAACCAAGGACTCTACGATCAAGACGAGTTATGCAGTGATATTGTCGGCGGACTGTATGATGGCTTTGACGATGTGCAGAATAAGGGCATTATTATCTGGGGTGAGCCGTGGGATGCGGATGGGTGGGAGATTAGTGAGGGGTTTGCGAGGAAATGGGGGTTTTTGCTTAGGGGTTGTGGGGATGCGGTTCGGGCGACGAATTTTTGGAGGGAGGGGAGGGGGGAGGAGAGGTTGGTTTTGGAGGTGTGAGGGAGAAGGTAGAGTGTCTTATGGGAAATTTGTCACATTGAATAGATTGAGGTGTGTTTTTCATACTATATTACGCTTAAATAATAATCGTTCCCCTGCATTTATGACTAACTTGTGACTAGAATGTTGAAAACCGAACAAGTAGATTAACCTCATAATGTACGTCTTCCAATCCATCCATAGATTATACCTCTTCACCCATCCATCAAAGATCCTCCGGACAATCCATATCCTCATGTCCCCATTCCGAGCAATTCTGGCACCTCTTACAATCCCCAGTCCCATGCCTGCCCTTACATTTCTCGCACTTCTGCTCAGTCTGAGGCTGAGCACTTCCGGATGAACGATTCTCACTCTGACTGCGGTTCTTCCCCTTATTCGGCGGCTCCGAGCTCTTATTTCTACAGTCCGCAGCCAGATGTCCCAATTTCCCACAATTATCACAGACCTTGCGCTCTGGCTTACTGGAGCTTTTGGTAACCTTCTTGTTCTGTGAGGTGTCTCGGTCGTTGATTTCTCGGGTTCTCGAGCTGTCTTTTTGATTCTCTCTGCCGGTTCTGGAAGTATCTCTTGCGTTGCCATCTCTTGTTCTCGAGTTATCCTTTTGATTTCCCTTTCTTGGTCTGGAGCTGTCTCTCTCATTGCCGTCTCTATTCCCCGAGTTATCCATCTTGTCTCCCTTCCCTTTTCCATTGTTGCTGTGATCCCTGTCACCCCTCGAGCGGTCTCTCTCTTCCTCTCTAGGTTTTCTCGTACAGTCCTCCGTACTATGATTCTTCATCTTGCAATGACTACAGTACTGCCCAGGTTGCGAACTTTTCCTTGAGGAATTACCAGACCCGGTATTCGACTCGGCTCGGCTATTGGAAGGCACCTTGAGATTTCTATCCCTGCTTTCATTCTTTCGCCTAGTGCAATCTGCAGAGGTATGATTTGTTCTGCCGCAATGTATGCATTTCTCTCGACCACTCGAGTGTTCGCGAGATTGGTCCTGCTGAACTTGCCTGTTATTGCCATCGCGAGTTTGTCTGTCACTTATATTTCTTGAATTTCTGGTTCTCCGCTCCGGAATTATATCCATATCCTCCATTCCCTCCATTCCATCCCCAACCTCTCCTCTAACATAGCCACCGCCCATCTGACTACTTCCAAATCCTGCGCTCGGAGCAGATCTGAAAGCCAATCTAAATCTTTCCGCTTCCGCTTGAGCCAACGTATCTGCTACTCTTTGCTCATTCGCTCTCATCGCTTCTCTAATCATGTTTCTGGCAAGTTGGATTTGCGGAGAATTGAGAGTTTGGATTCTGTTCGCTTCCATTAATCTGGCGTTCAAGTCGCTGGCGGACTCTAGTCCTTCAGCTGAGCTTGTAGGTCGTTGTTCGCTCAGAACTGTCTGCGACTTGAAAGCTTCATCCGCAGCCGAAAGAGCTGCATTAGCTGCATATAATTGTGACCTCAAATCCTGGCAAGTCTTTTGACAACTTTCAGAATTACACAACTTTCCACCTCTGTCTCTAAAGTCACCCACACCGATGTAAGAAATCACCTTCTCCCCGTTCAAAATCTTGAGCTCGTCCTCCATCTTCGCAATTTCATGTCGATAGAAGTTCCGCGCGATTTTATCCCGCATTTCCTCATTTACTTCTGCATTGAGATTTCCATCGACTGTTAAACCAGCGGCAGTCTTCTTCTCATCTGTCTCCTTTTGCAAGACGGTCCATCTTTTACCAAGCTCCTCATCTGAAAGAACATTTGGAGGTTCCGGATGTACTTGCGCCGGCACAGATAGAATCAAATGTGGCGAACTCGCTGGCGGTGTAAAACCTGTTGGAGCGTTCAACGGCGAGTAAACCGTATCACCAGACTCACTACCGCTACTTTCCTCAACTTCAATTTCCTTATGAGACTCGCAGCACTTCTCACCACTCTTCCACATCTTGATCTTCCCAGCGAAGATCTTGTATTCCTCTTCAGCCGCCTCTTTCTCTCCGTCGGGTAGCTCCCCATTATAAGTATCAATCGTGAAATCCGGTCTGGGCGTCTGTTGAAAAGCAACTTCATATTCAATCCCTTCCCGTTCCATCAAATCCTGCACACTTAACCACCATTCAAACAGCATACCCTTTTGTTCCTCCGACGACCTCCCAATCTTACTCGTAAAAAGCCCCAGCCGAAACGAATTCTGTAGACGTTCGAGATCGAAAGTGCGCCAATTATTCTCAAACAGTTTATGAGCTCTGAACCACGAATCCCTCATTCGAATCCTCACATCCATATCCACGTCTCTTTCGGAATCGTAAACATTGAGATCTTTAGTGACTTCTTGTATTGGATCTTCTCGTCTTTTGGTGTTCATAAACCTTTCCTTGCTGCCCATCATCTGCGCATTCGCATAAGCCATTGCCTTCTCCTGCAACTCAGCTCTTCTCCGCCGTTCTCTTTCGCCTTCCTCATTGACTTGAGCCAGAGCCGTCTCTAATGCCGCCGTTTCGAGCTCAATCTGCTCCAGCAGGAGATTGAGTGTTGCGGTATCGTGTTTGTAGGTTTCAATTTGGAGGTATAGTCTGTTCAAGCTGGCGTGCATCTCGGTTATAGTTTGCGAAGGAGCGGCGGTATTTGGATTGTAGTGCGTGGCACCGAGATAGATGGGGACTCCATTTTCTAGTTTCCAGTAGTTACCCGCTTCGTCTCTGAAGCCTTGTGGTGGTGCAGGTTGAGCTGGCGGGATTTGGGGGTTAGCGGAAGACATTGCTAGTAAAGCGGACGGGGCCTTTAATCAGACTGGAGACTTGAATTTGCAGGATTGTTGTGTAGAAGAATTGAGAAGAAAGAAAACGAAGTCTGATATAGTGTGATATTGTGTCATTAATCTAGGTATTCCCTGATGTAGACTTAATGTTCGAGTTGCTTTGTTCACTGTTTTCCGTGTTCAGTTCTCGCTTAACATTTTGCTGTCGAGGAATGTGAAATACTCACGCTCTCATATGGAATTAGAGATACATTCCTCTGATCGCTCATCGGCCGCATTGGGCACTATAAATCATCCATGCCGACATCACATAGTTTAGCGCATCTCTTAGACTGTATTACAAAATAATTAATCATATTATTTATTTCCAGGGTCTCCAAGCGACATATTTGTTTCAATGTCCCAAGCCCTCGAGCGAAAGTTTGCAAAAACCAAAATATCTAGATATTATCTGAGATCTCAGAGTGTGATCAGTATCCAAAATTAATATCACCAATTTTCAGGCCATAACGCCGTCATTTCCATTACTCATCATCACCGCAATGAAATCCTCATCTCCGTATTCCTTCACATCTTGCTTAATTTCCACCAGCCGCTTATGTTGAATGATCTTGGGGGTATCCCTCTCTTTTGCACTATTTTCCTTAGCTGACTCCTTGTTTTGTGTATGAGCGACACTTTCAATGTCCGATTTTGAAATGACGGAATGCTGAGAATCCGCATACTCAATCTGCACAACCTCAGCTTCATCATCCTTTGGGGTTTTATACCCCTGAACCCTAGCATAATGCTTCTTCTTCGTTTTCTTGCACAAACTCTTCCAAGTATACGTTTTCTTCGTGTCATCTTTCTTTCCATCGGGGTATTCATTCATGACATCCTTCCAAATACCACCCACATCTACATCAGCTGCTGGCGGGGTTCCAATGCCACCATATCCATTTCTCAAATTCCAGCCATCCCTGAAACTACGTGTTGTGGGACCTAACTCCCCACTGGATTTTCTTACTCCAAATCCACCACGGACAAAGCTGCCGCCAAGTCCACCTTCGCTGTCGGTGTCGTTTTCGAAGCCATCGAATCCAAATCGGGTGTCTCCTCTGCGAGCAAAACAATCGCGAATCGTAAGCAACCTAGTAGTTTCCGTCGCCACCGGAATGTAGGCGTTATGTGTTGTCCGTGGTGTGGAGGTTCTGGAGCTTGGACGGCGACGATGAGATATCCCATAATTTCGGGAGTGCTGTGAATTCGTTCTGCAGAACACACTTTTGGATATTTCGACAACTACGACGATGACCCCAGCGGTAGCAAGTAGAGCCATGAATGCGAGAACAATCTGACTCGAAGTTGATGTATTCGGTCCGAATGGGGGTTGGAAGGTGTAGTGATTGTGCGCTAGTTTGGAGGTTGTATTTGGAGGTTCTGCATGAAGTGTAGAAGAAAGATCATTTCCAATCTCAACTTCATATTCCCTGACAAAACGCAGACTTTTGAATTCCGTTCTGGATTTAGGGGTTCGAAGTTGAGGTTTCCACCTCGCCGCAGGCTGCACCTAGTATCAGGTTTCCAATTACTAGTATGAGGTAAATGATCACTTACCTCACCATCACTCATTTCTCCCGGAATATCATTAGCTCCCCTCATCAATACGCTTCGAGGCTCATCGTATCGGGACATTGTTGATATTGGAAGTATGATTCAGCACACGATATGCCAAATAGGTTCTGTTTGAGTGGGTGTGCAAGGTGGTGCAGAGTTCGATTTGATATCTGATGGGTTGGTCTTTTAAACTCAACCTGCAAGTACTTCGAATTGGCGGAGTTGGTAGAGTTCAGTTTATTGATTTTTGGAATTTAGAAGACAAGTTTAACACTCTGGATTTCCTTGAAGGTGGTGTTAGAATCAAGTATTGAAGCCAGTAATTCAGCAAACTGCTTACGTTCTAACTAGGCCCTCATCTCCACTGTTCTCCTCGTATACATATCAAGATTCACTGCAGAAATCTCGGATACACCATGTGAGCAGTATAGCCCCTACATTCACACCAACATAACTGCGCACGTCTAGTGCCAGACCCCAGCCTTCTTTCTTTCTTGTGCATGGTATTCTGCGCCACATAAATCTGGGGAAACTGCGTCAGTTTTAAGAGTCATGAACTATTCACAAATTCAATGAACAAATACTTGTCCACCAAAAGACTTCTAATTGAAAACACATGACTTACGAAGAAACCTGGCTGGAGTGAACATGCAATCACCATGCAATCACGCCAAATCGTTTGTGATATCTATGATCCTATCGGAGTTCGAAATCAAGTGTCAATCTACCAAATCTCCCAAATCCCGAATCTCCCAAGCTCTGTTCTTTGTGTGAACGGGTTTACATAATTTGAAACTTTTATCTACCGGACACAACAAATGGGGTTTCAACTCGACTGTAATAAAGAAATAGACAAATTATAAGAAAGCAATTAATAGCAATGGTTCAACTCACTGCTAATAACGTTTGTAACAGATCTTGAGTATCTGGTCCTTTACGGATGGATCGAAAGTTTCTCTGGGAGATCCCAGCAAATATTTCCAATGTACGAGAAAAATGTCATTTCAAGTCACCAAGTAATAGACCAAACAGGCTTTAAGACGTCCAACAGATCATGTACATCATACACTTGAAAGGATTTATCCAACATGGTTGCAATTTCATACCCTGTACAAAACGCAAGCTGGGAGCAGCGTGAAGTTGTAATCGGCGACAACATGCTTTACGGCAGCGACTTTCTTCATGTGGAATAAAAGTTGCTGAACAATTGTAAGTAGGGAATTCTCCTTGATATGAGACTCTACTCCCCTAAGTACATGATCAAACTGACCGGTCTCTGTCAACGTCTGGTCGAGAACTCATTCTGAAATGTATTCCATTGTGCTCGCCGTATACAATTATAACTGTACCTCGAAGCCAATTTAATAGGCGTCTAGCCAGAGAGTGTAATCACCTGGCTAATGAAACGTCCAATGATGTTCGCATCTTTTTTTGTAGAGCCGATTCTCAGAATCTCAGGTTCCCCCATGTGAAAAGTCGTCACGTCAAATTTTAACGGCAATTCCATGTATTCCTTCTACGGAGGGGTCAGACAGCAGTGTTTCTCTTGATTGGATGTCGAATGATGTAAAACCTGCGGGCTCATGAGGCTTATAATTCATTATTTCGTGATGCCATGTGTGCCATGTGGTTGTCGTCGTTCAGCGGATCTTGTATTCTTGATACCCCTGTTAATCGATAAGATAAGGAAAGCTTGACCCGAAATTTTGCGGCTGCAAAAGAAAAGTGCGCCAAAACACCCATCATCTTGCGACACTAAACTACGCTCGCGCAGCTCTCTGTAGCTTGCTTTACCATTTAACAATGAGGGGGAAACGGGCGAAGCAATACAAAAAGCTCATGCAGCAGTATGGGCTGAGCTACGGATTCCGCGAACCTTACCAAGTTCTTGGTAAGTTCCACTCCTTCGTAGCTACGAACAACTTGAGAACGTTGCTAATTGCGCCTTGAACAGTCGACTCAGGAATTCTTCGCGATGCAGATAAATTCAAAATGGATTTAGTTGGAGGGTTGGAGAGGACTCTTCAAGGCCAGGTCAAACCTAGTATGTTTATCAATTTATGCGCCGAGGGCAAGGGCTTATTCTTATTAGTGATCACACAATGCTCGATGCGACATCTCTACGCTGCTTCCTCGGAACCAGGAGTCTCCTACCTCATCGATAAAGCGAAGACCTACGAACGGCGGCGATGTGGCCATCGTCCTGAGGAATACCCAGAGCCTCTCAGCGAACAGGATTGTCTGGCTTCTGTAGTGGACCCAAAGAACAACAAGACAAATAAGAACTGCTATGTGGTTGCAAGTCAGGAAATCGATGTGCGAAAGCACATGAGAGGTGTTATGGGAGTACCTTTAGTGTATATTGCGAGGAGTGTTATGATTATGGAGCCTATGGCAGACGCCACATCTGATAACAGGGAGCGAGAAGAACGCACAAAGTTCAGAGCTGGGCTGAAGAGGGGTAGTGGGAGTCTGAAGAGAAAAAGAGAGGATGATCCGGACGAGGGTGGAGAAGGGAAAACAGATGGGGTCCAGGGAGATTCAACACAAAAGAAGAAGAAGAAAAGCGGAAAGGGTCCTAAAGAACCCAATCCATTGGCTGTGAAGAAATCCAAAAAGAGCAAGTCGGTAGAAAGTGGTGAGAGTAAGAAGGCAGAAGACGTTGAAAGCTCAAATCCGGACCCCTCAGGAACGATAGAGTCCGGAGGCAAGCGTAAGCGTAGACGGAAACCAAAATCCTCGACAGAAGGCGCAGCAGCAGATGGTAGCGAAGCTGTTAATGAAGAATGATGGATCTATTATTAGATGGGGCGCTTTGGAGTCTTTAGGATCTGGAATTGTTTCATTTCTTTGTATTGCATTACTCGAGTGGTGCTGCGAAGAGTAGGACTAAATAATACCCAACTGAAATGAATGGCTGCAAGCGTTCCGGCGGGAGCTGGAATGAATGTGAACCCGGTCCCGTCATCAACGATATGAATGGAAAGATGCTTGTGAATTCATGCATCATTCTAGCTTGAAATATTAATCAATAAATTCAAATAACAAGATAATGTGGGAGACTCTAAATCCCGTTATTGTAGGCTTCTTGAAGATGCTGCAAACAGTCAGATCCCCACATTAATACCCCTTAGTTTTGTTTAACCCTGCCACTTACTCCACAAGATTCTCACTGCCACAGCATCACGAAATAACGGCCAAGGTAGATTTCTGAACTTATTACGCTCGGTCGAAACAATATGCGTCTACTTCGGACGATTACAGTTACCCAGCATTACCTAGAGGAGGCCGACAAATTCATATCCGTTTCAACTACTTCATAGCCCACCACCTGTGCTCTTCTGTGCGAGCAGATAACAAAGTGAGCATCATCAAACCTCCCCCACGATAACACTTTTGGCGGTGGACAAGCAATATGCCGGAGAGCGTCGAGGCTACCACCGCCAGCGCCGAAACACCTGCAGACCTAAATCAAAAAGCAAAGAGTGATGTAGAAGCTCCGGCAGTACCACAAGTACCGGAAGTGGATGAATTTGGGTTACCAATTAAGAAACGGGTTGCGCCAGAAGCTCTCCAGACGGATGAGGAGGATACAGTGACGAAGGATGGAGGACATATTGGGGAGCAAAATTCCACCGAACATTCCCAATCTGATACACCGGAAAAGCTTTCGGCTCCCAAAGATTCGCGGCCACTCTCACAAGAGGCAGACGTGGACAGTGACGAGGAATTCAAAGATGCCCAATCGAGTCCAGACACCAGGTCGCAGACGCCGCGGCCACTCACAGATCCAGAAACCGATCCGCCAACATCTATAGATAATGGTCCCAGCGACCAATCTATGACACGAGAAGTGAAAGAGACCACAGACGAGGTCGACCCTCGACATGATGCTGCGCATGATGTTCCGACAGCACCCGCAGACAATGAAGCCGAAGATTTAGAGAAAGTAGAATTGAAGGATATAGCGGACGAGAAGGTCGAGAAATTAGATTCCAAGGAGAAGGGCCATACGCGGGAGGAGAGTGTTTCCAAACCGGCCGTCTCAGAATGGTCACATCAGCAACTCGCACCGAAAGATGGGAACGTTCCCGATACGGACGACGATGGGGAATGGCAAACTATGCCAGCATTCGCTCCATATGATATGTACGATGATGATAATAGGCTCATTGCGAAAGAGGCCGCGCTGTCGGACGATGGAAAGGATGTTTACGCCGGTCTTGGGGGTGCCGGGAGGGGGTATACCAGAGTACAATTAGATGAGGATGCTCAATCGGCTACAAGTCTTGATGAGAACACGAAGTACTTGTTTAAAGAAGCGACTGGAACTGGAGCTGGCGAGGAGCTTGACGATGAGCAACGAGACGCTGTTTCTCAAATGCAAGCAACGAAAGATCTATTGACCGAAGGGCAAAGGATAGCATATGTAGGAATGACACGGTTAGTTCTTACCAAGATGTTGGAACAGGTAGAAGTCATGGCAACCTCGAGGACAGCCAAGAAAGAGACGCAGCTTTCGGTAGAAGCTATGAAGATGTGGAGTCAGAAGATGATGGTACGATTATATGCACATATGGACATCAGCACTGCAGAGCAGATCATGATCGAGCAGCTTTCGGAGCATGGTGTGGTACCGTCAGACCTCACGCCTACATTGATGCAAAATGCCCGTGTGAAGAATCCTATGGCTGAAAACGAATCTACGTCTCCAAGTTTAACGTCACCAAGACCAGAATCAATAAGCTCTTTTAATGGAAGATCGAGTGTAGCGCTGTCTTCTGCGCCCTCTACTCCACATTTGCCATCGACTCCCGGGTACAGATATGATGAAGAAGAGTCTGTTGCGCCACCTCCAGCATATCGAGAGCACGAAGGAGAGGATCTCCCGGAAGTGAGAATGCCGTCACAGCTCCCAACAACACAGAATATTGATATCGATCTTCGGTGGACGGTTCTTTGTGATCTGTTCCTGACCCTCATTGCGGACTCTGTGTACGACGCTCGGTCTCGGGTATTGCTTGAGAAAGTAGGCGAAAATATGGAAGTTCCATGGCTAGAGATTTGCAGATTCGAAAAACGAGTCACGGACGCATTGGAGATGCAACAATCAGCAGAGAAGGAGAATTGGAATGAAGATGAGCACAAGGAGAACAGGAGGAAGATGGCACTGAAAAAGCGCTACATGATGATGGGTCTCGCTACGGTCGGTGGCAGTTTGGTCATTGGTTTATCAGCTGGTCTGCTTGCGCCTGTCATCGGAGCTGGTCTCGCCGCAGGATTTACGACCATTGGTGTTGCTGGTACCAGTGGTTTTCTCGCTGGTGCTGGAGGTGCCGCAATCATCACGTCTGGCGCTGCTGCTTCTGGTGGTGTTATTGCTGTTAGAGCCGCGAATCGAAGAACTGGGGCAGTTCAGACATTCGAGTATAGGCCACTACATAACAATAAACGAGTCAACTTGATCGTGACGGTTTCGGGGTGGATGACGGGTAAGGTAGATGATGTTCGACTGCCTTATAGTACCGTGGATCCGATCATGGGCGACATATACTCTGTACTCTGGGAACCAGAAATGCTTCGAAGTATGGGAGACACTATTAATATTCTTGCGACGGAGGTGAGTTCAATCATCTATCACCACACAATCAGTTGCTGACTTTTTCTAGGCTTTGACACAAGGGCTCCAACAAGTCCTTGGCAGTACTATTCTCATTGGTTTAATGGCCGCACTTCAACTTCCAGTCGTTCTAACAAAGCTTGCCTATCTGATTGACAACCCTTGGACGGTCTCTCAAGCCCGAGCTGATGCAGCTGGACTTATTTTAGCAGATTCTCTGATTGATAGAAACCTTGGTACTCGACCAATCACATTTGTAGGCTATTCTCTAGGATCCAGAGTCATCTTTGCCTGTTTGAAAGAGCTTTCCAAAAGAGGCGCGTACGGTCTCGTTCAAAATGTTTTCCTCTTCGGCTCACCTGTAATTGCAAACAAGGACGAATATTTACGGGCTCGATCCGTAGTTGCAGGCCGCTTTGTCAACGGTTATGCGACGAACGATTGGATCTTAGGGTATCTATTTCGATTGACTAGTGGTGGTATCAGTCGAGTTGCCGGCTTAGCTCCTATCGAAGAGATCCCAGAGCTTGAGAATATCAATGTCACTGAGTTTGTACCTGGCCACATGTCATATCGAACAGCGATGCCTCGGTTGCTCAGAGAGGTCGGCTTTCTGGTCGAAAGCGACGAGTTTACCGAGATCGAGGATCCAGATCCCGAGAACCACTCTCAGCGCCAACGAGAGTTGATCAATGAGATCGAAGAAGCCAGAAAAGAATTCGAGAAACAAGAGAAGGAGAAGGAAGCAAAAGGCAAATTCGGTTTCTTCAGTCGGAAGAAGAAGGCGGTTGTGAAGAAGCAAGATTGGGAGACTTACGAAGAAACCAAGGGGGACCCAAGTGCGACTGGAAATGGAGACTCCAAGAGTGATAACAACAACGTACTGTTTGATGTGGATGCTATCAGGTCAGAGCTGGCAGGCGAGCAAATGGAAGTCAAAGAATTAAAGTCAACTCTACCACCGATGAAGCTCAACCTAACTGCCAGTCCTGCCAGTCCTCGGAATAGCTTAGTACGGGGGGCGAAGAGCTACGATTCAGCACCAGCAGTCATTCCACAAACATTCAAACCGTCACCATCGGCGTCTCCACGGATCTCTCCAAGCCGAGACTTTCCAGCAAGTAAGAGTCCGGCTTATAATTCTGGTTACAACAGTTTCAACGGCTCTCAATCCAATGTACAACAAAGTGGTTTTGGAGAAGACGAAATCCAAATGACTTTCGAAGATTCTTTCAAAGCGCCCCCAAGGACATTTTCTGCCGCGCCATCCATTCGACGTTTATCCGCGTTACCTACTCCAATACCTTCACCAGCTCCCTCTCCTGGTTTGAAGGCGGTGGACTCGACCATTCAACGACCAGATCTCAAGACGAATAGTAGTACACCGACGATTCTCCCACAGATGAATTTGGGACATAATGCCTGGGCAGACGATGACGATGAATTTGGTCCTGAAAAAGAAATCGAGATGACTTTTGCATAATGGGCGGATCCTATTCGAACTTTATAATGAGAGGTAGGCAAGTTTTTGGATGAATCGCAGAATTCTAAATCATGTAATATGGAACATAAGTGTTCACGGATCGCTAAACTGTAAATATGGTTTGGTAGGTATTGGGCGAATGCATAGCATGGTTGACTGGCTTAAAGGGCATCTGGATGGGATATAGGACAGGCGTCTGGAGTAGACGTATAATATACAAATCTTCCTCTTATCTGTATCTTGTGTTTTTCACCACGTCTTTGAACGTCTCCGCGGTATACTACTACACGCCACGCACTGCACCATCAGATCCAAACTGGTCACCGCACTTAAAACTATGAGCCCACTGCGCTACTCCATCTGCCCATGAAAACCGGGTACTGAAAGGCTATAAGCACTGCACGTTCTTACTAATCTAAATAGTTCTTTTTCTACTCTTTTCTTAACGAGTAATATAGGGTCATAGATGTCAAAATCTGAATAAGCGCGTGATCATACGATATCCCCATCGGAAAACCTCGTCCCGGCTTCTTCCGACGCACGAGGCTGTGCTGACTCATGCGCCTTTAACCAATCAGGTGCGATGGAATTAGAGGTGGATCACTGCCAAGGATGGTAAATGCAGGGACCAACTGGACATATTCTGGTAATAACATTTTTTTGGGTTCGGCGAGCAAGATTCGGGATGGATGGAATAGGATGGCAAGAATTGGTCTGAGTTTTATTACCGGGAGTTTACGTGAAAGGACTCATTATGAGGTAGTTATGTTCTTTGTGGATGCGTGGGTGCGGCTGAGCTGGTTTTTTTATGTTTGGGGTTCCCGAACACGAGTTGGAGGGGTGTTTACGGAGGGTTCTTGATATAAGAGTCAGACTGGCCGGCGCCTTTTGGGGTGCTGAGGCATTCACTATTTTTGTTTGCAAAAAGAAAAAGACGCAGAAAAACTGTTTAGTCTCTTCGTCATTACACTTGTTGTGGTTGTGGCGAGTTCATACACATTATATTCTTGACGGACTACAAAGAACAGGATTGGTATAAGCCAATTACAGACGACGTATATACGAGAGAAAGATGTTTGTTGCTAGGACATCGACGAGAATACCGCTTTCGAAAGGGACGGTACTGCAGGTTTCGAGGGTTGTGTCGAGTTATGGCGGATATGGAAAGAGTTCTCTATCACAGCCTCGTGCGTTCTCAACGACGAGGAGGGCGGGTTTGAGAGAGTACTTTCCACAGCCTGAGACGGAGATGATTAGGAAGACGAAGCCGGCTTGGGAACATCCTGAGTAAATATCCCCAACCTGATTCTCCAATTCGAGATGCTAATACCTCCCTCCCAGATTCGCCTACGAAGACATGAAAACCAAAATCTTCTACGCCCACCGCAAGCCCGCCGATTTCTCCGACCGCGTCGCCCTCTTCATGGTCCGCATGCTCCGCTGGGGCACGGATATCGCGACGGGATATAAACACGACGTGGAGTCCCCGAAGAAGATCGGTGATGCGAATGTGATGGCGGCGACGAAACCGTATAGCATGAGTGAGCGGAAATGGTTGACGCGGTTTGTGTTTTTGGAGAGCGTGGCGGGGGTTCCTGGGATGGTGGCGGCGATGTTGAGACATTTGAATTCGATGAGGAGGTTGAAGAGGGATAATGGCTGGATTGAGACGTTGTTGGAGGAGAGTCAGAATGAGAGGATGTGAGTGCTTAAACACTTTCTACTTGATTTGTCGGAAGTATACTGATTTTCATAGGCATCTCCTAACCTTCCTCAAAATGGCCGAACCAGGCTGGTTCATGAAACTCATGATCCTCGGCGCCCAAGGCGTCTTCTTCAACAGCATGTTCCTCTCCTACCTCGTCTCCCCACGCACCTGCCACCGCTTCGTCGGCTACCTCGAAGAAGAAGCCGTTCTCACCTACTCCCTCGCCATCTCTGACCTCGAAAACGGCAAGCTCCCCCTCTGGACACACCCTAACTTCAAAGTCCCCGATATCGCGGTCGATTATTGGAAGATTCCCGAGGATAAACGCACGATGCGGGATTTGTTGTTGTATGTGAGGGCGGACGAGGCGAAACATAGAGAGGTCAATCATACCCTCGGGAATCTGGATCAGAATGAGGATCCGAATCCGTTTGTGAGTGAGTATAAGGATCCGAGTGTGCCGCATCCGGGGAAGGGGATTGAACATGTTAGACCTACTGGGTGGGAGAGGAAGGAGATTATCTGAGTGACTGATTGCTCTCTTTTGCGATGCATCCTGGACGGCGTTTTAGCGGGTTGCTGGGTGTTTGAATCTCTACTCTTGAGTTTGTGTTATTCTTGTTTGTTTATACCAGGGAGGGGCGTTTTGAAAATTGGGTTCTGCAAAGAAGTCATGGTGTTGGGGTTCGGGGATGACTTCTCTACTCTTTAGAATGGAGATTACATAGATTTGGCGTTGGTAACGAGAGAAACTCGTTGGTAGAGCGGACGAATGGTCCTTTTGTATACTTAATTGAAGACTTTTGCTACGACTCCCATCTTTCTTTAGAGTCCTCGAAGTCTCTTCGTATTCGATTCTATTTAGTACTCGGAGTCATGAGGGTTGTGTTCATTTCCGACATGATGACGGCTTTCGATCGCTTCGATTTAGGGTGTGGTAGTCGATACTAGCTCGTCCTGGCACGACGCGTTCCTGGATGTCAATACCAAGAGCTAAGTAATATCTTGAGCTTGTACCTGCGCAAGTACAGAATGAAGTGAGCTTGTTATATGTCAAGTCATATGTACCCCTCATTAGCCTCTTCGACTCCTCAGCCGTACATCTATCTCCTCCAAATTACAAGCTGCACATCAAAGGGGCATTCAGGGGCTTCGGCAACGTCGACTACAGAGCAAAAACAGTCTGGTTTCTCGTAATGATGGAAGCTACTGTACATATGTCACTATCGATAGACGGCTTCAAACCAGAAGGGTTGAAGGATATTGGTAAACAAAACATTGGACCAATTGAATTGGCTGAATAAATGCATTGTGGAGGAAGGAGATTAAGATTGGATTTCTTGCTCCACCATAGTCAGTCGCGTCGTGGGGTTGCCGGGAGCACACTATTTTGGTAAATGAGATTACATAGGAGAGATGCTACGTATGCTGCATCTCATTCCAAACATTTATTGATGCAATCCCTCTTTTCTGAACAGGTTCTTCTTCTTTTTGTCTCTTAAACGAAAAAAAGTATTGTATTCCTTCTAGAAACCGTCTAATGCTTGTTGATAAAACGCCATCAATATTGACGACCCGACGTTTCATCGCGATTGCATACCCCTGCTTTTGAAGCTCGCAGGGACCTTTCTTTCGATACACGACCTCCACAACAATCTGTATCACGAACTTCCACAGCAACGAGCCATCTTTATAGAAAAACACAAATCTGCGACGGTGTTTTGTTGTGGCCACAGGATTTGTTGACGATCCCCAAAAGTACGTGTTCGGAATACCAAAATAGGCCCAACGAGTGAAGGTGGCAGAGGAAGAGGAAGGAACAACCAACGCATAAACGCACCCACGGATCCTCGAAACCTCGAGTCTTCTTCACCGCAATCATGGCAACAACACCAGAACCAGTCCTCCATTCACAACCCTCATTCCGCAGAGATTCACCCTCACCATCTACATCCCCAACCCCGGCCATCACAGCCTGTCCAGAGCTCTCCCGCTGCGTCTCGACCGGCTCCGCATCCTCCCTTTTCACCGGCCACCGCTCAATGAGTATGAATATGGGCGGCCGTGAGTCGACGGCTTCGTCGGTCGGAAGCTCGATTTCGAGGTCGAGTTCTGCGAGTTATACGACGCGTCAGTCGATGGGTGGGCTGGAGAGGAGTAGTCGCAGAGGATACGTGCGGCCGCAGGGAACGAATTTCGCAAAATCGGCTCAGAGTAGGGAGAGTGTGTTGAGCTTGGGCAGTATTATGCATTTACAATATTACTTTGCACGAACGGGACTGCTTGACGGGAAAGGAGGACGTCTGGCGAAGAAGAAGGAGGGGAATAGGGGCACGCTTGATTTGAGTGCTCTTGATACCAGCTTTCTCAGTCCGAAGGTTGTGGGTAGTGATCATGATAGCTCGTATGCTAGTATGGGATCCTCGCCGGAGCTGTTGGCACAAGGACACAGTGGTATGATGGTAGAGAGTCCAACGCAAGAGGACGAATACTATAGTGATGAGGAGGATGAGGATCATCCGCATATGTTACCGCCGACTGTTAGCACGTATCAACATCGCGAGAAAGTCATTCCACGCCCGCCATCTCTCGAAGACCTCAAAGCAGATTTGAAAAAGGAGTTGGGAGAGGCGAGCAAAGTTTTGGCGGATGCAAAGGAGAACCATACCCCTACGCCACCGGCCAGTCCATCAAGTAACGAGGAGAGCCCAAAGTCTGAAGGTGGCAACCCCAATGGATGGTTCGAGATTGAGGGGATGCATATACTGGATATCATGACCTTGGCTATAAGGGCAGCGAAAGTATACTATACGGCACACGATCGACCCGGGAGATTAGCAGTCATCAAGTCCGAGCGGAATATACGATCAGAGCTGATGTCGGTGATGGAAGTGCTCAGAAAAATGGCTTCGCGGAATTTTGCAAATGGAATGCGAACCGAAGAGCGAGAGATAATGGAAAATTGGGTGTCAGGAGTCTACGACATGTTAGATCGAGAAGCCATCCTAGAAGCAGAAGAGATAAAACAACGAGCCAGCTGGACCTGGCTCTACGATGATTGGGAAGGAAAAGAAGGCGCCTCCTGGACCGGTCGAGAAGTAGAAAGAGAACTCGATTTCATGAAAACCATGGACCAAGATCCCGATGGAATTCCAGACTACACACCAGTCGAATCCGTCCTCTACGACGAAGAACTCCCCACCGAATTCCTCAAAGAATACCGCACGGGTCTCCGCCTCATCCAATTCCACAACACCCTCGTCAAGCGGAGCAAACGCAATTTCGGCGCCATCGATCGCTGGCATACGGATTTCCGCAAACCGTACCGTCCGGCGGAGAATCTGAGGTATTGGATCAAGGCGGCGGAGTTGAGGTGGGAGGTTAAATTGAAGGTTGATGTGCTGAAGGTTGTCACGGGCAATGATCGGGCTGCGCTGAAGGAGTTTGAGGATGCGATTTGGAAGTGGTGTAAATGTGTTCGGGAGGAGATTTCGGTGGAACTGAGGGTCTGAAGGGAGTTTGATGGCTTTTATGAATTTATGTTTAAGAAGGAGTGTGGGGGTAATGGGGAGAGGGGGTGTTGTACATAGTTTGTGTGGTGGAGTTTGTTGGCGTGGTGAGGTTGAGGGGTCTTGATGCTTGATTGTACAGCGATTGATGGTTGAGTTGGCGAGAATTTATACCCGGTTCGAGTTCGCTGTTGCTTTATGCTATTTTTTCTTCTGCCTTTTCAATAGCAGTTTTACTTCTGGTTTCATCAATGGTGTTTGTGAAGTTGCCCTTTTGTAAGGTTCAAGTTTCACCCACACCACACCCTGCGATAGAAGCCGCGTTCAACGAGGCACGTACTCATAGAACTTGTCGTCCTCTATTCGATGTACTAAGTTTTCATCCAGGCCGTTTATTGTATCATGACACGACATCCAGCGAAGACCATGACTTGACGATCAGAGGGTATTCGTAGATTTAATGCTTTCTTTGTGGGACGGGACGTTGGAAATTCATGGCTGCTTAGAGAGGAATGTCATGATTGGGGAGGGTGGGATGTATATTGAGGGTGGAAGGGCTTTGAGTTTTCAGTGATGTTTTCTGGGTCGATAATAGGGAAATCTGGTTATGTAAAGGAGATTGGTTTGGTGATGAGGTATACAGTTATGAACATCAAGAGAAGACTATGGTGTGTCAAGGAAGGATTTGTGTCTTTCATGTCTGCTCTATCTTTATATCGAACTTGACTATGGTTGATGCATGATTGTTTGGATGAATGATAGATCGGATCAAGATTAGTTGGTATATTTCACAATGTAGAGATTTTTCACCGAAATCTAAGCTGTCACCGAATTCACACCTACCCTCGTTCAACTTTTTGAATTGGCCTGTTGGATGTCAGACACATGAAAACGAGGTATTTAGTTGTGTTTGCTTTGCTTTGAAGAACTGCAATGCTTCAGTCTGAGGTAAAACCCTAGATTATATTGAAAGGCCCGACATGTTGCCTTTCTTGATGCCCTTTTATGTTGAGAAAAGAGTAGATGGATGGGGGTGGGTTTTATAGTGGGTAGTCCAGTGGTGAAGGGGGAGCCGGGAAAGAACGCGGAGAAGGATTCGGGTTAGTTGAAGGAAAGAGATGGGGGTATGGAAATGGTGGGTTATCAGTCCTGAGGAATCAAAACAATGAGTTTTGGAGAAAGAATTATCATGCTTTGTAGCCTTCTGATGTTTTTTCGTCAATCCCAAGAGAAGTCATAGTTGGTATATCTTTACTTCCTAAACCAACTCTTGTTTCTTACTATTAACCTGGAATTTAATTGATATCATTCGACCACCATATCATACAGGGCTAGAAGTGTTTAAATTGTATCCAACACCACTTGCTGGATGAACCACTTTGCGGGATACAGAGGAGGAATGGTTGTGTGTTGTGTCGGGTGACAATCATTGCAGTGGACAAAGGAGTCAGTATTTTAGTAAACGCTAGTTTCGATGACATACTTTCTTAAAATATATAACCTAGAATACAAATGTGAATCATTTTATAGAATGCGGTTGAGGTGTCACTACCGAAATTTGCGCTACCACCGAATCTTTTGACACGTTTTTTTTTTACTTAAACTCCTAGGTTACTAGGTTCTCGAGAGAAAGATAAGAGTATAATTTATGGGAATTCTGACACATAAATAACATAAAACATCTTTAGCTAGCTTAACAGTAAGAGACAGAGGTCAATGTTCTTGATAATGTTTATTTGTTGAAGTGGTGAGGTGGTATTTTATAGTGTGAGGGCTGAGTTTTGGTGCGTTGGAAGTGCGAGATGGAGAGGATGAGGAGGAGGATAAGATATTCCCGAAAGTGAATGAACCAGTAAATATCGTGACGCCGTAAATTAGTTTCTCACTCCTTAGGTCGGTAAAGAAACAACCCCGCTCATAGATCAGAGGTACATATCAAAGTTCAACTCACATTTTCAAGATTGCGCAGAATATTGCCTAGCGTCATGAAGAAACTCATACATACCCATTCAAGAAACTGTTGTAGAGTCTCACAAGATGAAACAAATTTCACATATTTGCTTATTCCATATACTCAAATCCTTCCCATGAATCAAAAGAACAGACAGTGAAATACCGTAGAGATGTGGTAAGACGTAATAAAGCTGAGTTTTGTAAAAGTTGAGATCAAATGAAAGGTTTCTGAATGACGCGGTGGTCTGCAAAACCGAGGGGTTGGTGTTGGAGCAGACATTGAAAACATACGTGCCACTTTGCGTTTAAGTGACTACTACTGTCAAAAAGAATAATTGCTGAATCCCAAATTTGATCCCGATAGACTAAACAAAGATTTCATGCAGATCGTGCTGCCGGAAACTAAGCTGCCACCGATTCCCATATCCACGTTTCGATAAACAATCCTCTTGTACTCGACAATCTTCTGCCTTTGTAATGTTCTCTGATATCTTTAAATACACTTCGTCCCAAGCGACCTCTAATGTAACTCAGGCTAACTTCCTCGGTCTTTCTGCTGCGACCTTGAACTCCCATTCTGCAATAGAGTTTCGATCAAGTGTCGAAAGAGGATGCATTTATTATTCGTCTGGTGTTGATTCTTGGCTTCAAATTGCGCGTGTCTTTGATGGTCCGTGAAATCGACGTCATGTGTATTATTGAATAGTTTAAAAAAAATCTAGAGTTCTTACTTCACATGGCTTATCTAGCTTTTAATTCCTCCACAAGCGTTTAATGCTCTCTTCTTAGGATGTATAGTATGCTATACTGTACACACTTTAGAAAATAAAGTGTTCAATTCACTGCATCCGTAGTCAGTGAAAATAATTAAACCTAAATCAAGATGTACTAAAGGAAGAAAGAGTATTATAAAAGGGACGTTGACCTTACCTAACTTTGAGGGACTAAGGGACACCAAAAACCTTATATGATTGCGGGGAGGTTATTGGGACGCTGAACATCTACGTCTCCCTTTACGATATTTTCTTTCCTTACTATGTAATTATTTGGCTTAAAATTCTTTTAGTATGTAACATAATTTCAAGGAAAATTTAGGGGATAACATTGCTGCCGAAAATAAACCTAGAACCGATTCTAGTATTTACACTTCAAGTCTACATTTCGAAAGACCTTTAGTTTCAAATCAGACTTCGCTTTACAAGTAATATTTAACAGACCCGCTGTAATCTTGACTTATAGTGTACTTTGGTGTAGCTTGCGTTGCTATAGTCTTGGGGTTATATGCTTGTATAGAGCGGCTTACAATTATGTGATTTCTTTACGATATTGAGGATAATATTGAAGCGGGTTCGTTTTGATATTTGATAAATGTTAACATATATTAAATATACTCGATATCATATATCCTGATTCTCCTAAAAAGTTGGAATAAAAGTTTATCCACGACCTATAAGTCACACTTATACTTTCCGAGTCAAAAGCATAGTTTAAGTGCCGGTACAATGGTCAATCGAGACTGACTGGAAATCCAGAATATAAATAGTGCAATCGGGTTATCGTGAGTAAGCTACACGACAAACTTGGTAGCGAAAAGTGCAGAGAAGTCCTGGAAATATTCGGATGGCATCGTTCGAGATATTTGATAATGTATTTAGCTGTAGTTACGCAGATACAAATCTTTTTACATAATCATAAAACGGAATCTTGAAGAAAGTACAACTCATTAGAGTAGGTACCAAAATCGGTAGTAAGCTGCTGCCGAAAACAAAGTTACTACCGATTCCCGTATCTATATTTCGAGAAGACTTTTGGCTTTACATCAGCTCATATTCACGAATATTTAACGTCCCAGAATCTCATTTGTTATAATTTTCTGTCGTAAAGAGAGACGCCGCATCTTACCTCCCTTTCCCCGCCCGGCATATAGCCTGTTTTTCCCACTCGATAAGACGCGTCTGATTTCAATTTCTCGAGGTCATGTCCTTATAAATGATGGCTTGGCAATGGGTTTTGTTACATAACTAAAATTTGGAAAATACTGTTGAAGAAATGGTAATGCAAAGAGTCTTCTTCAGAAAGATACGTAGAGATTTAGAATGCTTTAAACTATTCTAATCTTGCTCACATAGGTGAACTATCAAAATCGTCTGTAACTTACAGGTTTACTACCTTGACTACAAATAAAATTTACTGCTAACTAAAAGAGTAACAAAACTTCACTTAAAATAACTTACATTCAAAATTACATCAGGAAACTTACAAGCAAGTCTGGAAATGAGAAATACACAATAGGAAGAAGAATGAGCCATTAGGTATAGGTAACTTCCTCCCCTAAGCAACTGTATGTATTTTGAACTTTTGATAAAACTCATCAGGATGTCATTTAAAAAGAATCCCTTTTCATGTAGTAGTAACATACATCGGAGGGTAGTCTTGCTGCCGAAAATATTACTACTACCGACTCTGATAAGTTTCACGCTTCCAATAATTTGCAAAAGCCTGACTGGCCCCAAGTAGCTAGACTTAGCTTCGGCTATCGATATCAGGAAAATTTTATATCAAGTCTTTTTCCTAGACCGTAAATCTTGTAACACGATAACATTGTTTGTTCAAGTTGTCAAGTATGTTTACGTACTCACGGTCAATTGTAGTACCCGAGTGAAGATTTTATACTCATGTTTACTAGACTCTACTCCTTCTTCAAATTCGATGTTCAATTTGTACTCCTCTTCAGGCGTTAATTTCTCTCTCCTTAAAACGCACTTGTGAGAATGTTACTCTTCATGGTTTGCTATGAGACTTTTCTTCAATACTTACTAAATAAAGATACGTTCTTTAGGAGGAGTATCATGGTGAACAGAAATGATCGACGTAAACAGCCTTTTTCATTAAACATTTACGAGAATCAGAGATGTACTATTTCACTTCCAAAGCGCAAGTCAATAGCAATTCACAACCATGAGTTGCTGTAAATCGAAGCTTGGATTATTACGAGTACTGTTTAAATAGCAGGTCTAAACCCAGAAAGTCGATCAGAAATGCGCGAACTGAACGGAATGATATCCGGGAGATATCTAAAGCGGATGACCTAAAAGAAAATTGAATTCTAGAAACAGATCTAATTTTCAATGCTGATCGAGTATCTACGAGAAAGAAATATAATTGTGACACAGCTTTCTAGATGACAGTATACTCTCGCGACTAAAACTATTACCACTACCGATTCTCATGACATACACTTTGAAGTGAATATCGAATTTCGAAATACAAAATTACCACACTTGAAAGAATAAATTCTTACCTTTAGCTCAGACAGATTTTAGGGTAGGTAAATTTCCTTTCTTAGGCTGTCACTCGTTTTCACCAAATTCTTGGGGTTGTAGCTTAGCTATCTCTAGGAATACTCTTTAACAATTCAGGTATATACTACATTGTATTTATATCGTTGTATACCGAGACCCTACATCCTCTTAATCTTCTGTTAGGTAAACGACTTACCTTTATGATCTCAGAATTGACTAACCTTATTACGAAATCAATTGTAGTTTATTAATTTACATCGTTTACTACGAAGCCGCAGTATTTATAGTATTTAATTAACGTTATTTAGAAGAGGAGATTAAGATAGATTCACTTAGGTAGTAGGCTATGTACGAAACCGATGTACATTTACTTTTAAAGTGCGAATTAATTATAGCTTGGATTTGTGAAGTGCTAAAGATTAAGTTTAGAATGTCGGTAGATAGTCTATAAATAATACACCTGGACTTAAAAAGTCGATATTCGGCAAGAATTTCTACAGAAGGTGGGATGCTTCCTTCGAAGTATTGAATAGTCTAAGGAGTTTTGAATGTTGGAAGTAAGTATGATGTTTAGAAACATGAAATTTGCAACATTGTTAAACACTTACTTACAAGGAAGAACCAAAATCGTAACACAGCATTCATTCTAGCTTGAATTTTGTAGTTACTGTCGAAAACACTACCACTATCGATTCTTGTTAACTACATATACTTCGTCTTTCAAACCAAAACGAAACTCATCCTATTTAGACAAAAAGTGTCTCAATTACGAAAGTTAGCTAAACCGAACAAAGAATACTTCTTCTCAGACCGCAATTCGTCATCGCCAGCCATTTCGCGGAATCACTCAACATCTTTCATGCCTTGAGTGGATACTGACATCCCGACGATGGTTTTATTTGACTTTCTACTGAGATCTCGCGACTCTACTTCAAACTCATCTTCCATAATCCCGTTTGCTGCACGCTCAGTCCTGGGTTGTAATTCTTTCCTACGTTCCTACTATCAGGTTTCCACCTATAAATCAGTCCACAACTTATATAAGTATTCGTCAAATACCACATCTCACTCCACAACAACCCGCAGTTCTATGGTGTTCAACTACAAGCACTGTATTCCAATGAAATCAAAGCCAGCTTACATATTGGGAGATTGCTATCCAGAGAAGTTGTGCTACATAAACCTCGCGACTGATGAACTTCCTATTCAACAACACGGCAGAGTTAATCGCATATCATACCTGTGGAGGGAATTGGGTAGCACCCGAGCGAGGATGGTGTCTGAAGATACAAAAAGTAGACAATTGTTGCTGGTTTGATATTTACAGGCAGGAAATCAAAATGGTAACGTACACAGTACTCACTCCAGCAAAAGTGTGCTGTTGTTGCCGAAAATACTGCTTCTACCGAATCCATCCAAATCAAGATGTATTAGAAAATTGAATAAGCGTCTTGCATACGAAGGTTAAGAGAGGTGCGACAATGAAATTAAACATACTCACGTGTGCTCGAAACATGTCGCTAGTTTAGCACAACTCCCTGCGAGACAGACTTTCAATGTCGATTTTCCTAATACTTTAGTTAATATTATTGAGAATTCCCTACTAAGTGTTAAGTATGGAAGTTTAACTGGCAAACCAGATAGGATTTCTCCTTTGAAAACTATGGAAAACAAGAGATTGAACAGAAATCAATGGCCTTGAAAGCAATCTTGAGACATCTGAAGGCGAATTGAAGTACAAGTCAGACAGTCTTAACACTGTTAATAATTTATGAGTGACGATGCAAATATCTTTGAGTTGTCCAAAAAGGGGCGTAATTTGATAATAATTCCTCGTTCGATACTGTAGTTTGATAGAAAATGGTAAGAATACACCAAGACAACACATGAGACATATATTTCAAGAGTCGACTATTTCTTTGAGTTGAACAGCTCAAATCATCTGAATGCGAATATTTTATCGCTTATAGATCATGTGTGTATTCGGTCTCCAATAGATCAAAGCTGAGTCAGGAATGGTGTCTACTGGCTCATAGCATGCCTGGTAACACCAGCTCGCCCTATTTCGATCTCCAGCAAGACCTCCACCTCTTTAGCCAAGAGAAGTAATTCTCTTGACATTTGAAGTTCGAACGCGTCATGACCCAAATTCTCGTTATCTGAGTGCAAACTTCCTATACCATCAGTGATATAGACTGTAACCTTGCGTAGATTCGGAAATTTCGCCCGCTTTTTCTGCATCAAGGGCATCAGCCAGCACTGCTCCATCGTCATACAATCGCCGGATCGTTCTCTCACATAGATGACCCGCAATTCCTCAATGCTAGGCGGGAAACGACGGTAGAAGTTTTCATCTGGGATTTGGATAGGCCCGAACCTCGACAGGAAGAGGTGGTTGATGACAAGCATTTTTAGCGATTTCATAAAACGGAGATTCAAGGGCGTGAAGAACCAGGGGTCTAGGCGCGATTCTTCCAAGGAAGTACGCCTAGGGCAGAGCGTCAGAACGAGACTCTCTAAAGAATCTTCGTGACTGCTTATCAAGGAGGAGGTATGATTCAGATCAAGCTCAAAGTAAAAGTCTTCGGCGTCTTCGATAAAGTCGATTTCGTAGTGTAGACTTTTCAAACTTCGTGGGAAGGACAATATAGTCTCTAACACAAAGTTGTTGATATTGCAGTCTAACAGCCGCAGATTTTCTACGCTTGAAGTGGAGCGCCACGATGTTTTGCAAGACCCTGTAGTGTTTATATTCTGTAGACCATCCAAGACAAGCGTTTTGATGCGCGGAAGCCCGAATAACTCAACGATGTCAGCCAAGAGAGTACAATGTGTTGAAACGGCGACAATGTAGCGTCCGAGACTCGGATTTATATTGAGTGCGGCCAGTAATGCTTTTGGTCGATTGTTCTCCTCCTTTCCAATAGTCCGTTGGAGGGCTGGGGACCAATACAGGTCATTCTTTAGGAGACCTTCGAATCGTTTGCATACGCACATCAAGGTGTATATCATATTGCATCGTTTGAAAGATCGTACGGAAACGGAGCGGGTAAGATATGGCCATAACGCCGTCTTGATATCATCGTCGTTGACCCTCTGGAGCAAGGACGCTGGATGGTTGACTATCGTCAAAAGAAGTTCGTCTGGCAAGGAGAGAAGGTTGGCCATTTTGACTTCCAGAACTGATGTCGTATCTAAAATGCCAGAATAGGTTTTGCGCCTGATAGTATGGACGAAGAGGAAGTGGAATATCGATATTCGGATAGCTAATTGCTAGATGGGTTTGAATTGTAATTGGGTATCGTTTGTCGGCGTTTTTTGGTTTGAAAGAATAAGCGGTTGATCAATCTTCTACTGGGTTAGTAGGTAGAAAAATTGCCAGAAAGAAAAGTGGTCATGTTGGTCCTCATACCAAGCTAACATTTCTATTCCGTATTTTCGTTTGTTTGAACTTCGTGAGGATCTTAACAGCTCTGCAAGCTGAAATTGCTAGGAAAGCATGTGTCGTTTCGCATTCGGGATAGGGATGCTCAAAGCTGCGTTCGCTCACACCAATGTGATAACTTGAGTGCGAGCGAGGATGGATTTAACTGTTCATCTTAATTTTGGAATGTGCGTGAACGCGGAACAAACACAAACAGCATGGACGGATACCAACCTATAATGATCATGTGACATAATGTAGCCATAGTTGATGGTATTGCAATAGTTCAACAATATATTGGTAGATTTATTTCTGAAAGCTTACCACCTGAGCAGTTTCTTTCCAAATTGTTTCCAAATTCATTTTTCACAAGAAGGTTGATGGATTGGTCTTGATACTCCACTTACCACAAACTCCCCTGGAGGTTCCGGACGCACCTACATCTTTTCATACTTTGCAAGCGTATGATTGCAATAACTAAGATTGATCGAGTCATCAATATTTCTCGTCTCGACCAAAAAAAAGGTCCTGCGACTTAGTTTACTCAACCATAAGACCAACAAACCCGTTTGATGCCAATGCCAAGCGCGTTCATACCGGTCGATTCAAGATCCAGACGCACCCAGGAAACGGACGGAAATCATCTGAGATCTACTCAAGTAGGGCCTAATCTCCTGGCAAGAGCATTTCAGCGAGTTTAATCAGAGTTTTTGCACAAGAAAATATTTTGAGAAACTTTCATGTTGTTGATGTCTTTCTCCTCTTCTCTCGAGGTGTTGATGCTGGATCAGGAACAGAAGAGAGGAGAGAGAGCTGCACATCTCGACGCATTCATGACGTTATGCAAGCGGCTTTCGTACCGAAGGTCAAATGCTTACCATTTAGAGTTAGAAAAACATAGGAATCTGGTAAGAGAGAGATCGCTGATTTGGGGAAGAGGGCCGACATGCTTGGCAGGCTCCAACTCCCCCCTCATGAATTTCCCCGAGGCTTATCCGACCTGTCTGCTTCTGCTCTGCTTCCTTCACATCTTTTCTCCAACCTCAACAAATATCAATCTTCTTTATTCGCCACGCAACACTCTCCACATTCCGAGACCCTGGCCGCACACAATTACGAGTCGTATCTTTCACATGGCACTTTCTACCACTACAAGAGCGGCAAACCGATCATCATACCCTCTTCGGGGGGAAATGGTGTCTCCCCATCTTCAACCTCGCGCGTCGGACTGACAAGAAAAACCCCACAACTGACGCCCGCATCTCACTACTTTTGGATCCGCATCTCGACCGGACCCTTTACCCCATATTTCTCTCTGCCTTTTCCACTCTCCCCTTGCATTTCATGTCCAGACCCAGATATGGCTCCGTAGTCTGTCAGACGCCGACGGCTTTTGCAAGGAGATGGCGAACTTTGAATCGTGCCCATTGGTGAAGGGTGGCACCAATCAATCGAGGTGAACTTCTAACGGCTTTGGCTCGTTACATAGGTGCTGCTTCATGATCACACTAATGGAATCGAAATCGGCTGGTTTGATGATACAAGTACTACTTCAACCCACCCAAGGTAAGTGGGAAATCTATTCACTGTCTGGAAGTTTCAGCTGCTTTTAAAACTCCTCTGCATTTCCTCAGAAAGCCACCCCAGCCTTCTAGCTTTCCTCTCATTTATAAGTGCATTTATACCCTTTTGGTCTTATCAAAATTTCCTCAGAAACAGCTTGCAATCCTAGTTCTTAATCGAACCAGACTCAGAGACATAGTGAGTGAGTAGCGTCCCCCTACACCAAATTCTCTTATCTAACTACTTCTACAGAGGACAAATAGCAGCATCTCTGAACACTTTATACCATTAAAATGGCACCTTCTGCGACCGATATCTATGAAGAGAGGGATGGACAGGCCCTTGAAAGCCTGTCTGATAACATCGACGCGGTCAATGTCCTCAAGGCAGACTTGATTAAGGAAAAGAGCATGCATGAAAAGTCGGAATTCGATTCCGAGAAAGACAAGACAAAATTCCGTCAATATGAAGATGCTTGTGACAGGGTCAAGAATTTTTACCGCGAACAACACGAACGACAAACCGTTGCCTACAACTTGAAGGCACGTAATGATTTCAAGTTCAAGACAAGAGCAAGAATGTCTATCTGGGAAGCGATGGAAAAGCTCAACACATTGATTGATGAATCGGATCCTGATACTTCTCTGTCTCAAATCGAGCATTTACTCCAGTCGGCGGAAGCTATCCGAAGGGATGGAAAGCCTCGATGGATGCAATTGACTGGTTTGATCCACGATCTTGGCAAGCTTCTCTTCTTCTACGGGGCTGAAGGTCAATGGGATGTCGTTGGCGATACTTTTCCAGTTGGTTGCGCTTTCGACAAGAGGATCATCTACCCGGATACGTTCAAAGGAAACCCAGACTACAACCATGAGATCTATGGAACTAAAAACGGCATTTATACACCTGGCTGCGGTCTGGATAATATGATGCTCTCGTGGGGACATGACGAGTATCTATACCATATTGTCAAGGACCAGTCCACCTTGCCAGCTGAGGCTCTTGCTATGATCCGATACCACTCTTTTTACCCCTGGCACACTGGTGGTGCTTATCGAGAATTTATGGATGACCATGACTACGATATGCTTGCTGCGGTCAGGGCTTTTAACCCATATGATCTGTACAGCAAGAGTGACGACGTTCCAAGTGCCGAGGAGTTGAAGGTATATATACAAACACTCCATGTATTTGCTTTGTAGTACCGACACTAATTACTGTTCTAGCCATACTATATGGATCTCATTGATGAATACTTTCCCCAAAGAATCATCAACTGGTGAATGCTCATTGATACAATATATCTACCAAAAATATCCTCCCTCTCAAGGTAGATTCCAGAATCTCTCCTATTATGACTGACGAAATCCTTCATTGGGATGCGCCGAGAAGCGCTCGCTGAAAACAAAGGGTCGTTTCTTTTCTCTGCATCTTGAATGGCTCGTATCTTGCACGACCCGATGAGTTGGAATGGGATAACATAGCCGAAGGGTCGGCGGGTTGCTTGGAGTTGGCGTTTGGAGTGTAACCAGATCTGATCAATATTATAAGATCATGCAATGATAGGTCATCCGAAATTTTCGTCTCGCGTGTATGTAGGCCTCCATCCAATGCTGCAGGCAACCGCGTTATTCGCTTCCAATGATTCGGTTTGTTGGCCAACAGAAACGACAAACTGAGGATCCCATTATCAGCTGAAGAAACCAGTCGAAGGCATCCTCAACTCGAGAGTTGTGGCTTTAGAATGCGCCTGAATCGACCACAGCGTCCATGTAGAGATGTCAAGATTACGTTTCTCTTACCACGGTGAACATTGCACGACCAACAGAGGAAAACTCAGCATCTCAGCCTTTCAACGCACTGACTTGAAAGCCATCTTGTGACGAGTAAAGATTCCGATTCGGTACTTGGTGTAATGACAGGGGCTTCCCATGTCACTGGGTGTGCTTCTTTTCTGCTGACGGCGGCATTGAACGGCACGGATTATTTCCAGTGATCCGGGTACTTTGCTTTGACAATGGGGCATCAACGAGTTTGTTGAGTTGTATCAGAGAATCTCTAACTTTTCTCTCACTAAATAGATAATTCAATGTAGTTTAATTGAAAAGATGAAGTAGTGAGGTATTCTCATCACGTGTTTCCCCTTTCTTTTCCCGCCAGCCACAAAACCCTGACGATGATCGCCGTGACAATTAATTGACGTTACACTTACCAAAGTCTAATTTACAGAATTGGACTCGTTTGCGAGGCCTCGAACCGAGTGGTTGAAAATGTACAGGAAGTTGTGAAAAGACTTCCCCGAGTACCGTGCAGTGGAACATATATCGAATTCAATATGGTTCGTTGGCTGTGGGGAAGTAATACGTAGCAGTCTTATGTATGGAGTATGGATTGTCAAAGGCACAGGAACGCATCACCAGTTGTCCGCTTGACGGTTTTCGAAACGTTGGATTTGTGCTCCGGTGTATCACCAACAGATTCTTCCCTCTGTGAATCGTGTCTGCCATTCATCCTCCCCTCATTCTGAACCATTGCTATTGTCAAGTTTGTTGAATTGTCGCCCGCTGAATACCACTATTTACTTGCCACTTGTTGCTATTGTCAATTCGGTCGCTAGGTGTCTTGACACGCGCCGGAATTCTGCACCATAATCGCGTCGTTTCTGCAGCTAACCTAAGCTTGCAAAGAAGAGGGCTTGTCTAGTTTCCGCGGATACTTGATTCTAGATTTCCGGTCGACGAGGTTACAGATGTTTTGATTGTGTCACTGACTTCTTGTTTGATTGATATCCAGGGTCGTCGATCCCCCGGTCCATTTCGAGAGAAAGCCACTTTACATAAAGAGCTTGGAGAGCACGACGAGGGTTGCTACTTGCGAGGGTGTTGGAAGAACCAGATTGTGGCTGCGACTGCGAACGTGAAGAGGCATAATCCCTCCGTCCAGATTCTCTGCTGCCAGCAGCTTCAATATCAGTGCAAAAGAAACGACGTCAAGCAGCTTGAGCGATGCCAGCCTTTCGCGAAGCTCTGTCCGCCGCATCGCGATCAGACTTCTTTCCTTCCACACCCCTGCCGGTGCAGACGCAGCAACAACAGCATGCTGGGCCAACTCACCTCAAGAAATATTCTCAACCTCCCACGCCCGAACCCGAGAAGAACAATAGCCACCACGATCACCACCGCAACAATACCAGCAGCAACAATACCTCCCGCCAGGCACGCCGACCGTCACCAGGCCTCGCCGCACGATTAAAAGCGCTGGGCTTTGGCAGCAACTCATCCAAATCCAAAACACCCTCCCTCTCACCAGACGTCGGCCGCATCCCAGAAGATCAACTCCGACACCTCGACCACATCCACCGCGCACAATCCCTCAATTCTGGAGTTGTCCCACGCAGAGGCCGAGCCTGGAGCGGGGGAAGCGGCCACCTAACACCGCAGCTCACAGGCGGCAGCTTTCACGAACCATTCAGCATTGGCGAGGAAATTGCACGCGTTTTCGAGGGAGGCAGTCAAGAGGACTCCTCCGTCGCGGGCTCTGGCGACAGGATGGCGACGCGTGGCGACCTGGACACGCAGAAATACAGATTGCCGGAACACACGAATGGGAATGGGACGAAGGCTATGTCGGAGACGAAGAGGGCTCATTTCGAGAGAGAGCAGAGCATGCCTGATGAGTTAGAGATCCCGCCGCCGCCGATTTCGAAGGATCCCCCGACGGGTGCGACGACGCCTTCTGAGGCTTCGGGAGATGCGGCGTCGTATTTTAATCCGTTTGGGTTGCAGCGTACGGGGTCGATATATACGCTGTCGAGGGTCTCGTTTGCTAATCAGCTTGCTCAATTGACTTCTTTGCAGTTGCCTGATGCCGAGTCGCTGTCAACTAAGGTCTCTGCGATACCCAACTCCAAGTCGGCGTCGAAAGCGTTGATGGGAGCGGCGGAGCAGATACGGAGTTGGATACAAAAGGCGTCCGAGGTCATTAATGGCTTAGACGGGGACGACGATGTCGAGTGGGCAGCAGCGGGCGGGAGAGAGGGATTGGCAGAAGTCGACAATGCTATCTCACGTTTTGAGGAGCTCATCAATGTTTATGTCTCGGCGATTGAGTCGTTGCAGAACCGACCAGACATTGCTACGGTACCTGGCGAGGAACTCAAACGTGTTGTGCTACAAGTCGAGACGATATTGAAGGAATGGGAGAAGATCAGGAAGACTTTGAAGGGTGTCAAGAACTCGGTCGAGATTGCAATGGAGTGGGAAGAGCTTTGGAATACAGTGCTTGGAGACATTGGCAATGAGATGGATATTCTTTCACGATTAGTATTCGAGATGGAGGAGAAACGACACAAAACCCTATTGGAGGAAGCTGGTGGAGATCTCGATATTAACGAATTGAAGACCATAGTCGAAGAGACACCGCCTTCGAAGCGATCGCAGGCCAACAATCGATACAGCATAACTGCCTTCCCGATGAGTCCGGGCTCACCGAACACACCGACTACATCTATGGCTCCAGACGACTCGAGCTTGCTTGCTTTGTTTGCAAGAATGCAACCGTTACGAGCCTCGTTGGACTTTCTGCCCATGCGACTATCTTCTTTTCACAGTCGAGCCGACAACATATTTCCTACCGCTTGCGAGGAATTGGAAACAAGACGAGAATCGCTGGAGAAGAGTTATACGAGTCTTGAGAAAGATGCTCAGTCTTTACGACACGAAATTGGAGAAGACAAATGGGTTTTGATCTTCCGAGGTGCCAGCCGCAAGAATCAGAAAATGTACGAGTCAGTCGAACGAAGCGTGATGAAGCTTAAGGCAGCAGTTGAAACAGGCTTGCACTTGAATAACCCAGCTACTATGGGGAAACAGATTGAGAGCTACGAATCAAAGAAGACGCATTATGGTCCTGCTATTGAGCAGGTTCTGTTTATCATCGAGAATGGAGTCAAGGACCGGTCCACTGTTAATGGAGAGATTCTGCGGCTGCATTCTGATATGCAAGGCAAGTGGAATAATTTGAAAGAGCAGATGGCGGAGTTGGACGTGAGTCTTGAGGAAATTCAGGCAGATAAGAGGAATCAACAGCTTCGAGATTCAATCTCAAGTATGGTCTCGAATGATCGATCGACTATTGGAAGTTTCAACGATACTCCTGGAAGTTCACCTGCTTCCTCTGTCATCATGACTGGCTTAAATGGTGGACTGGATCCTCATACTCCGCTCAAGAACGGCAAGCTTCGCACAAAAGCGACTTCACGATCTAGTGAACGAAGAACTCCTACCGTTCCATCAGCACAACTACCTCAGCGAGCTGGTCTTACTCGTCTCTCAAATCAAACCCAGGCTTCAGTAGCACGCTCAACACCTTCTCCTAGATCCCTTAGCAGAGTTGGAAATTCAACCCCATCCCTAATTTCTAGACCTTCTGCATCGAGCTCCAACCTGGACGCCAGACCTCGTTGGAACGCCAGTGTAAATACCAAAGACACAATCATCGGCCATAACTTCAAGCCTTTGAGTTTAACAACACCGAGTCCACACGCCAAGACAACACCAACACTCGCAAATCGCTTGTCAAACTCCCAGGATTCAAAGATACCACTTCGCTCACCTCTCAGTCGAGATAACACCGCCTCACCCGCCCCCGAAACAACACCTTCTCGCACTTCCACCTCCCGTCTAGCATTCCGAAGTCACATCTCCAGTCCAGGACCCTACTCCCAACTCACCCTCTCGAAACCCCCGTCCGCTTCCCGCCCCAAAGTCCTACAATCTCAATCCTCCATGTCCGCCCTAACCAACTCCGCAACTAACCGACGTGCCTCTATGCAACCTCAATCCTCAGACCCAACGTCCTTCAGCAGCCCGCTGGCTAAACCAACTCGTCCTGCAAGTTCACTGGCGACGAATCGTCGGGTCAGTCTGCTGCCGCAGCCGAGAGGCAGGACTGGCTCGGGGGTCACGGGCAGGGAGAGTCCTGTAGCGGTTGCGGGCGCGGCGAATGCGATGAGGAGGGTTAGTGAGAATCGGGATGCGAAGAGGGAGGTGGGGAAGAAGGCTTGGAGGTGAACATATCTTGGGATCAATATTTTTGATATTGATGGTGGGGTCGAGTATAGGATATGAGAAAGCATTTTAGGGTGTGCATCTTACCATACCAGAAGGTGTTCGTTGGACTCCACAGCGATTTTATGTTGTTTCAGGACGCTAGACTGAAGAGGAAGTTGTTTTTTTTGGGCGCATTGGCGTATGTTAGCGTGCGATGGTTTTTTTTTTTTTTTTGAAATATGTTTTTGTTGGTCGAACGAGGGGCCGTGGGAACCGGTGTCTTTGTGGGTGTGGGTTTGGGGAGGGGGTTTGTATATATAGTGTGATTTGGAGAGGGGAGTATTGAAGAGAGACTGGAGTGGAGAGGGGGTTGAGTTGAGGTGTGGAAGGGGAAAGAAGCAAGGATGAGGGATGAGCTAGGGGATCGGATTGGGGAGAAAGAGATAGCATAGTGAAAAGAGAGGAATACTTTGTATGATAGCCTCGTACGTTGGTACGGTAATTCAGAAATTTGATACCCCATTTTTGAAGATGAAACGCTCTGTAGATCTGGTCGTCCTTTGTGAATGAGGCTCATCATGCTATTGAGAGTATTCAAGTCCATCACATTGACTGCAGTTTACCTTGCTTTTTGTTCGTAGAGGCGGTTTGTGAGAGGAAAGTTGGAGGTGATTTGGGACGCTCGCTTCAGGCAGTTTACCCCCTTTTGCATAGAGTCTTTACACACTGACGATGTACTTCAAGTCTGCTAAAATGCCTATTTATATGTAAATCTGAATGACTATAAAAGTCGAGAGTTTGTTAGAGACTGAGGATAGAATGCTGTGCCTTTGACTTAGGACACCTACTAATATATACCTTCAACTCGTCTATCTCTTAGAGACGATTTGGTAGCACGCAGAATTATCCACTTTGGTAGACACTCCCTTTGATGGCCAATCGATATTTACTTCTAATTTCCAACAAAAACCCCTCTGTGATTGACGCGTCTCGTCCATTATAACAACAGGTGCCATTGTGATTGGCCACGAGCGATACCTCGGTCTGTCCCAAGAAATGGCTCGTGCATCTGCATCAGCACCCAAATTTCGAGTCTCCCAAGAATTGATTCCTTGTCCACAACCTCGATCTTCTACGTACATATACGTTGTCATTTCTCTTGGGTTGGAATAGATGTACGTTTTTACGTAGGTTGCAAGCCGAGGTCATTGACTTCGCCGTATTCATGTTTATCATTTGCGTCTGGTTCTCAGCAGCTGTTGAGTTGGGACCGCAGCACGTCGAGGCGCGTTCATGTCTTGTCGCGGCAAATACAGTTGTTCCATACCCATAAGTTTTCAACATGGCTCGGTACCAGTCAATCAGTTATTTAAGTGTTTCGTTGTCTTCGTTCGATTGGTTTATGGTAGCATTTCCCGCATTTCGCGTGCCTGTTTCGTATCGCATCAGCGCGTCCCTGAGCATGGGTCAGCATATTGAGGCGGCCTGGGACTTATCGATAGCTGCTGAAAGTTGGCTCGGCGAATTGTTGGTCTTGACTGTTGTTAGTGCTGCTGTCAGATTCTTAGCTTTATTTTCATGTATCTTAAATCGTCTTTCTTAACCTCGTTTCAACCTCGTCGCCAAAAGGTGTATTTGGTGGAAAAGGTTAATCATGGAGACAATTCCCATTCCAGGGCCACCAGGCTTGCCGCTTCTCGGAAATATAGGGGACATCGATACAAAAAATATTGTTGGGAGTGTTGTTAGTTTAGCAGAGAAATATGGTAACTTGCATGTTCGCTACACATTTTCGAATCTAATTGCTGTTCAGGCGAAATCTACAGAATTAACGTCGGAGGTGTAAATCGAGTCATCATTTCCACTCAAGCGCTGATGGATGAGATATGTGACGAGAAGCGCTTTACCAAAGTGGTTGGTGGGGGAATCAAGGCACTCAGATACGCGGTCAATGATGGTTTGTTTACAGCTTATATGGATGAGCATAATTGGCAGGTAGCACATCGTACGCTTATGCCCGCGTTTGGCCCGTTATCGACCGCTGGTATGTTTGATGAGATGCATGATATTGCATCGCAGTTAGTGGCGAAATGGGCGCGTTTTGGGCCGGATGAGAGGATAGATGTTGGTGCTGATTTTACACGGTTGACTTTGGATACTATTGCGCTGTAGGTGCATTCAAACTCATGGTATAGTACAATTCTGACTCAAAATAGATGTTCTATGGATAAGAGATTCAACAGCTTCTACCGCGAAGATATGCATCCATTCGTCGAGACCATGGTCAGCGTTCTCGAAGAGTCGCAAACGAGGGGTAGTTTGCCGACAGTGCTCAATATGTTTAGACGTTCAGCTCAGAGAAAGTATGATGAGGAGATAGCTTGGATGAGAGGGATCTGTGAAGAGATGATCGCCCATCGACGGAAAAATCCTTTAGAGAAGAAAGATCTTTTGAATGCTATGATTCATGGGAAAGATCCCAAGACGGGTTGTTACATGACGGACGAGAGTATTGTTGATAATATTCTCACTTTTCTCGTCGCTGGTAAGTCATTACAGTTTCCCGTGCTTCTGCCAGCTTATCAAATGAATAGGCCACGAAACGACCTCCGGGCTTCTCTCCTTCGTGTTCTACCTCCTCATCAAAAACCCCGCCATCATGAACCTCGCTCGCGAAGAAGTAGACAAAGTCCTCGGTACCGGCCCAATTACACCACAACACATGAACCAATTCCCATACCTCGAAGCCATTCTAAAAGAAACATTGCGTCTGTATCCCACGGCGCCCGCTATCGCAATGGCTCCCGTGCCAGAAACCACGGAGTATCCGATTTTCCTGGCCGGAGGAAAGTATCAGCTTAATAAAGGAGATAATCTTCTTGCACTGCTGGTTAAAATCCAGAAGGATCCGCTGGCGTTTGGGGATGATGCTGAGGAGTGGAAGCCAGAGAGGATGTTGGAGGAGAATTTTGCTAAGTTGCCGCCGAATTCGTGGAAGGTAAGAGATCATCTCCTTTATTACATGTTGGCGGTTATTGACTGACCATCTTAGCCTTTTGGAAATGGAGCGCGTGGGTGTATTGGTCGGCCATTTGCTATGCAAGAAGCTATCTTGGCGACAGTGATTCTGATTCAAAATTTTGAATTCTCGCTGGACGATCCGAGTTATGAACTTCAGATAACGCACGCCCTGTCTATTAAGCCAAAGGGGTTTTACATGAGAGCTTCGTTGAGGGAAAAGTTGGATGCGACGGGGATAGAGAAGAAGATTCATGGAAATGGCTTGGCTTGTGAAAAGACAGGAAAGCTGGCGATTAACCACACAGTTGTTTCGAATGGAACCGAAAAGCACCCGCTGACCATTATATACGGTTCGAATTCAGGTACTTGTGAGGCTTTGGCGCAGAGTCTTGCAAGAGTTGCGGGAACTCGTGGGTTTGAAGTCCGTGTTGATCCTCTGGATTCAGCTACCGATGATGTTCCTAAAAGTCAGCCTTTGATTATCATATGTCCGAGTTATGAGGGTCAGCCGCCGGATAATGCTGCTCAGTTCTTTGGTTGGCTTGAAAAGTTGAAAGATGGGAAGAGCTTGCAGAATGTTGAGTTTACGGTGTTTGGCGTTGGGAATCGTGAGTCCAATGCCAAACAGACTTGTATCTTTTTCTGTGGCTGACAGGGCTGACACATTTCTCTTAGGCGACTGGACATCTACATTCCACAAAGTCCCGATGAATCTTGACAGATTACTTGCAGCGAATGGAGGTACTCGTATTGCAGCTCTCGGACTCGGTGATGTAGCTAAAGGAGACATTTTCAACGACTTCGATTACTGGCAGGACAACGTTCTGTGGCCTGCTATTCAAGGAAGTGGATCGAGTACGAAAAACGTAGTAGCTGAACTCGACCTCGAAATCGATACATCAGCTCGAAGCCAGACCCTCCGACAAGATCTTCAAGGCGCTGTAGTTCTCTCAAATAAGATATTGACCGCTCTCGGCGTACCAGAAAAACGACATATTGAGATCCAACTTCCGAAGGGAATGAACTACACAGCTGGAGAATACCTTGCTATTCTCCCTACCAACAGCCAGACGAACGTCCGAAGAGTGCTCAAACGCTTCGGACTACCAGCAGATGCCATGATCACAATCAGAAACGTAAACGCAGGAAGCACCTTACCAGCCACCCATCCAGTATCAGTCACAGACCTCCTAAGCTCTTACGTCGAACTAAACCAACCAGCTACAAAACGCGTAAGTCCTTTAGCCCCTCCTCCCTTGCACCCATCTAACACACTCAGAACATCCAAGTCCTCGCCTCCCTCCCCACAACCCCCTCAACCCGCACCGCTCTCCTCGCCCTTACAACAAATACCACAACGAAGAACACACCCCCACCCTCCCTCCTCACCCTCCTTGAAACCCACCCCACCCTCCCCATCCCCTTCCAAACCTACATCTCCCTCCTCCCTCCCCTCCGCACCCGTCAATACTCCATCTCCTCCTCTCCCCTCGCAACTCCAGACGTCGTCAGCATAACCTTCTCCATCCTACCCTCCGGCGTCGCTTCAACCTACCTCGCAACCCTCGAGCCAGACGATATAATGCACATCGCCGTCAAACCTACAATCCTGTTCACTCTCCCTGAACACATGGGGAAGACGCCCATCATCATGATCGGTGCAGGCGCCGGCATCGCACCATTCCTCGGGTTCTTGCAAGAACGCGCCGCCCTGCTCAATCGCAACTCAGAACTGAGCTTGGCGCCTGCGTGGTTATTCCTCGGATGTAGAGCGCCGGAGCAAGACGCGCTGTTTGCTGATGAACTTCGAGCGTATGAGGATGCGGGGGTGGTAAGGGTTTATTATGCGTACTCGCAGGAGGAGGGGAAGAGTAGGGGGTGTAGGTATGTGCAGGATAGGGTGTGGGCTGAACGGGGGGAGATTGGGGGGTTGATTAGGGGAGAGGGCAAGATTTTGGTTTGTGGGGGACAAGAGTTGGGGGAGGGTGTTAAGGGGGTTGTGAGGAGGATTTATGGGGAGGGGAGGAGGGGAGATGGGAAGGCAGATGGGATTGGAGAGGAGGATGTTGAGAGGTGGTTTGATGGGTTGAAGGGGAAAGGGAGGTGGGCTATGGATGTTTTTGATTAGGGTTTTAGTCGGGAGGTAAGGGCTAAAGGGCTTCTGTAGTAAATATTCTAGAGGGATCTAGAAATTAATAGATCGTAAATAGAACTTATAGATAGCGTGTTAATAAATCCCAACACAACAAACACACCCAATATTATATTAACTTAATTCAACAACCTTGCCATCTAGCCTCCCAATTTCCACTTCCATCAAGCTAAACCCACCTAAACAAACCCTTATAACTCACAACCCCCCACCTAGCGTAACAATATAAAATCCCCATTCATATCAGATTAAACCACAACCTTCACCGAAACTTCTCTTTAAGGTAAGTAGCTTCTGCTCAGATGCTCTCTGTCTTATTTATCTAGTTTTTGAAATCCTAGTAACGATTAACAGATCCAGATCCATTCTTTCCTTTGAAATATTCGGAGCTCGAGATCATTCGTCGAATATGTTGATGGGTAAATGTGTATGCAGAGCACCCCACGTCACGAGGTTCTATTTTGAAACCATGTAGTTGTGAAATGAAAGGTTCTAGATCGTGATGGCGGTGTGCAGTCTTGACTACGATGAGTTTTTGTTTTTGGAGCAGGATAGAATGTGGGGGTTGGTGGATGAGTGTGCGACGATAGGTGGTGTTGGAGGATGGACTGGACGGGTTCGTTCTAGATGGAGAGGAGGGGGGTTTGTTGTGTGGGGAGGGATGAGTGGGGTTTGATATTAGATTGTTAGATAGGTGGAATTCAGACGTGAGGGCATGTCAGGACCTATTGATTATTGATGGTTCGTTGGACCTGTGAGATTTCAAGGGGTGCATGTCTGTTGATATGATCTAGTTGGGTGTATTTTCCAGAGAAAGGTGCGCTGATTCAACCATTGCACAAAGGATTGAAGAATTCAAAATCTGTGTTGTTCTCCAATTCGGGTAGGTGGGTATATCATTTAATTCATCGTTCTCGCAGTAACTCCCAATAATAAGTAAATCAGCCATTTATCATAACACAAAAAATCATTAATCTTCTTCCCCCTTATACCACCTATCCAGCACCTTCCCATCCAACTCCATTCAAACCCCAAAAACACCCCTTACTCCCAAAATCCCCTCCAACCTAATACCGCCTATCATAACTCCCCCTCCCCTCCTCCCCCCTCACCCTCTCCCTCTCCACAACCCTCCTCGTCGTCCGCTCCCCCTCATACCCCACACTCTCCCTCTCCCGCCGCCCCGGCCCAACGCCAGGCACATATCTAAACGTCTCGTACTCCTCTCTCGGCGGGCTCGGCGCCGCTCGCTCTCTTATCCGCTCACGCTCGATATACACCTCCTCACCGCCTCTCGAACCATGTCTAGTATGCGAGCTCCGCGAGGTGCTCGCGTGCGAGCGCGGCGGTTTGGGTATATAGAGGTCTTCTTCGACGGAGACGAGTTCGATGCGCGGCGGGGGAGAAGGGGCCGCCGGCACGATGATGACTGGTGCTGGTGGTGGCGGGGAGGGTTTGGGGGGAGGAGTGAGCATTCTTGGGGGAGGAGAGGGAGAGCGTTGGCGCACGTATTCGACTGAGGGAGCGCGTTGGGTTTTGATTATTGTTTCGGTCATTTGGGTGCGGGATGTGCTGTGGGATTGGTGGTGGTGGTGTCGTTTCTTTGGGCGCGAGGCGAAGACGACGTCTTCTTCCCAGCGGGGTTTGGATTTTGCTGGGGCGTGTTAGTTGATGTTGATGATTGGGAAGTGAGTACTTACAGCCGAAACACATTTTGATGGTGATGTGAGTTTGATTCCTCGAGATTGTCCGAAAGTCGCACAAAATCTCCTGAGATCGAAGGTGGGTGTTGAAGATATACTCTCTACCCCTTTCCCTGGCACTACCCAATATCCGAATAACCTTTCAATTCCTGCCCAAACGTATCAAATGACTTGTCCAACAAGATCAATCCCAGCAGCCGTCGTATGCAATTCGTATCTCAATGAGTGCGAAACTCAAATCTCGAACCCTCTTCGTATGGCAAAGTACCACAATCGACACAAAAAAACCGTATACAAACCCACAAAGTGCAACCACACTTACCTTTATATCCACACCTCCATCTCACCTTCTCTACGTACTGCCAACTTTATTCGACATCCGGACCGTATTCCTTGGGCTGGACTCGTAAACCAAGGCAGATGACGATTTCTGCGCTTGCCGGGGGTGGAAAACGGGGTTCTTGCTGGGTGGCAGGGCGGAAAGGAAGCAGGGTGTGAGATAGGCTTTTCGGTTAGCGCGGGGTTGGTTACTGGGCATGGTTTGAGATGAAGGTTTACCGTAATCTGGTTATAATAACTTATTTGGGGTCACAGCTCGTAAATAAACCATATTTTCGTTAAGATTACCGTAAACCTCAGTAACTCGCTTCCTCCACCACCAATCCTCCTCCTCCCAGCCCAAAACAACACATCCTCGCCTCAACCGCGCACACCAGCGCGCTTAACCCACGATCTCCAACAAACAAGTGTTATCTTTCCGATCAAACTACTGGTAAATCCAACCAAATCTCATCCCCAGCCTCAAAACTTCGCCTCGTGAGGCGGAGACAAGGGATTCCTCGCTTGCGGCATTGACAACACTGATATAGAAAGGGGGTGCTATAATATAGAGGACTTAAAGTTTAAAAAAGCAAAGATTGAGAGTTGTGCCACTTATGTCATTGTGGGATGTGAAAGGTGTTTTAGTCTTTTTGGGAATCGGGTGTGAGGTTTGGATTTTGGTCCATTCTGCACTGGTGCTGTGATTGGCAAACTTTGGTATCCGATTCTAACTTCCATTGCGGGAAAGTAGAAATAGCTGTTCCCACTGGTATTGATAGGTTGCAAATCCTGTTGAAATGATATTCAGTATCATCATGCAGGATCAAGCTTGTGCGACTGCTTTCTGCGATTCATAACAGGAGAAACTCCTCCTCTTGAGCGTCTTCAGCAATATAGGTCTCCCCCAATTTCTCACGAAACAAAACACCCAATCTTTGAAATTTCCTTAGCTCTCCAGGCGTCTCGCTCCCACAAGCTACTAAAAGCAAGTAAGCCTCATCTCTAACCCGTAAAATCCAGGTATCAACATCATTTCCCGTCGAGGCACGCCTATGTTCCAGCTCCGAAAGTCCCGGGACAACACTCACGTCCAGAAAGCAATTAGAAGACAATGTTTTCGGTCGTCCGTCAATTACAATATCAACTAGAGGTTGGGAACCGAGGCCTGGTCCATACCATGACCAGCGGTCATTCATTTTCAAGCTCTTTGTGATCTTTGATCGTGTCAGAACACCAGCAACTTTAAGAAATCCGCCTACAACACCGCCGTAAGAGTCTTCGTCGTCCACATAGTCGATACGGTAATCTACGACGGTAATGTGATAAGGCCCAACCCCATTTTCCCCGGCCCCAAACCATCGAACGTTTCCATCGACACTCGCCCACGACCAAGAAGGTGCTCGATAACAATTTGGTCTTCCTCGCGGTACATTGTGGCCAATATCTATGGGCGCATGTGACCATAGCAGATCATCGAGAAGACTATTCTCCCAAACTCCTGCTATGTAGCGTCCGCCGATATGGTCATGTACTTCGGAGAACTTCCTTGCCAGACCAGAGATTGCAGGCAGTTTATCGCTAGAAACCGAAAGTAGTCTTGCAGAATAGTCCGTAGCGATGCATTGCCAAGCATCCCGAAAGCTGTTCAAAGGCGTGTCAAGGTCGTGTTTAGTGTTGAGTCTTATGGCACCGACATGAGCCATTTCGATTCCACTCTCTGTCTCGCTCCTGCATTGACACTCCCACACGAATTGATCGATGTTGCAGATTAGGACTCTGGATGATAGGACTCGTTCTTGTAAAGTCCAAGCTCGTCGATATAACGGCTCGTCCATGCATTCGCGGAATTGTCTAACAGGTCCCAAAGATACCTCTCCATTGTATTCTGGGGCCTCGAAAGAAGAGAGCCGTAACTTGACGCTTTTGCTTACGCTATCCGGCAATTTCCTTTTCAGTATACCACCATGAACGTTCGAGGAACTTGCAGCTGCTATCGTCAAGTATGATCTGCTGTAAACTTCAGCCATTCGTGATGATTCCTTTCGCCAATCCGCTCTCGCCTCTTCGTCTTTTCCTTGTAGGATGCATAACGCATCTATCCACAGGTATCGAACCCCTAATTTTCGAGCCATCAAAATTGCATCCTGAAAGGTGCGCGGTAATTCGTCGTAGACCAGGCCATTTTGTCTTGACGCTAGCGTAACCGCTGTTGTTGTGATGGATGGAGCAGTTGACTTTGAGCCCCAGCAATAACTTAATGCAATGTATCGACTCTCGTGGGGAACAATATTCGTTTCCGCAGTAATTATCAATCGAAGTGAGTCTTTACACGTGGTTGTGCCAACATCAATAAGTCTCGTTGGTAGGTTTTCGGGGGAGGTGTATTCTGTCATGCACTTCATTGGATCACATTTCATAATCCAACTCTGAATCCTGCTGAAACTGACGTCTGAACTTGCATCATCTGGGACTGTCTTTCGATGGAAAAGATGAGATATTGGAGATGCTGTAACGAAGGTTAGTTCACAGCCGATCAATCGATTCATAGCCGGCATGGCACTCACAAGGATCCACAGTCAGAGAAACCACTATATCGCAAGCAAGATTGTTAATATGTAGGTCAATCCTGAGACTCTTCTTTGCTCTGTCGAGACGAGATGGAGAATAGTCAGGGGCCGTGGCACTATTTTGTGACTTCTCGTCATCGACTTCGTAGTCGCCATCCAAGATTGCGATACGTATATCTGGAAATTGCAGCCGTCTGGTGTATGGATCAACACGGAGCCGGAGCCATTGCTCTTTTCCGAATGAGAACTTTCTCGCAGCGTGTGAAGTCAACTTCTCGGTCACAAAATCTCGCAAGAACATACAAAGGGGACAGAAAGTTTCCTTGCCAGATATTGATTTTTCTCCGCCCTTATACTCGAATCCGGAACTCGACCTCAATTGTGAAAAGGATATCGAGCGACACACTGCGCACAGTGGTTTGTCTTCTTCCCCACTCAAAAAACGCAGGTCATCAGGTAGCGAAATCTCATTTTCGCAGTCAGTCATTGTGGAAACTTATACAAGTGTTCGAGAGGCTGCCACGTATTTTGGTGAGAGGCTAACTGTTCTCCAAGTGAGTTTCTTCCTATGCATGCGGATTCGAAAAGAAGGGATTCCAAGATAGTGTAAAGACTGTCCGCAGGTCGAACAAGGTTGTGAGAGAAGCGTTTGCAGATGTAAGAAAGCGAGGCTCTCTTCTCGAATTGTGCCGCATGGAACTGGGAGAGAGTACATACGCACAGACCCTCTATTGTCGCGGCATCCTTTCTGAGACCCAGAATCTGAACCCCAAACTTCACTAGTAATTTTGGTCTTTGATGAAGCATATATGGACTTTCCTACGAGTGCACCTATTAAGGTTCGCTCCACCAAACTCGTGACTTGGGAATATTGTTTTGCTCAGTTGTTTGGGAGTAAGTAACATTATTTCGCGAACCTGCTGTGCCGGGTAAATATTCTGACACCTGGAGGTAGTCGTACGATTTGAGCAGAAACTGTTGCCTTCGCTGGGAGACAAAATTCGCAACCTTGGGAGTGTACCGAATACACCGCACGAAGCCTGTTAGATAACGAAGACTTCTGTTCTACGCTCTGCGAGGTGCTGACATGCTGACATGCCCAATGAGACATGCGTTGATGCCTTCGAAGAATTGTCTTGAAACGGGATAGAATTCTATCACAAATAATCTTGTCGCTTGCGCATCTCTCTCTGCGATCAGTGGCGCCCTCAATTCAGATATTCCAAATAAGGAGTGCATGGGCAGCATCGTTCCATTATCCTAATGCGATTGTTGCAGTGGCCTGTAAGTGGGTGGTTTGATGCTGTCGAACGCTGATTACTCAACTGGCATTTCCAATGCCTGCGTGTGTAGCGAAGAAAAGAATGATCCTGACTCAAGGAGAAAGACAAAAGCTTATCATATCATCCCGCCTGATATTCTTGAATCATCGACACCAAGTTCTGAACCCATCTACAGCCGAAAGTAAAGTAGCCTACTTGCAATAAGTTGAAGATGTCATTTTACGGAGACAACTACTCCTTGTATGCCGTGAGCAGAACCAGCCAAATTCAAAATACCCAGGGAATCGACTAACAGATCAATCAGGTTCCGGCAGCATGGTTTGTAGCATTCGTTCCACATGTGTACTCAACGACGTTCACATCGCGTTACGACAAAACGTCGCCACGAACCCATTTGCAGGAGATGGAGAAAGACCAAACCATTGACCAAGCCGTAAGCTTCCACTCCCACCGCCCTCAAGCAAAACAGATTAACAATCCCAATAGACAAAAGACAAACTAACCCGCGTAAACGGAGCAAAACAAAATGGCTTCGAGAACATCGGATTCTTCGCAGCTGCGGTCGTAGCAGGGAATGTAGCCGGACTTTCCGCAACGTCGCTCAATGGATTGTCCGCAGGATACGTCTTGAGTCGTATCTTGTACACCCTCATCTACATCAACAACACGAATCCAAAGTTCTCGGACTTGAGATCCGTTATGTGGTTGGTTGGAATCGGTCAAGTTGTTACTTTGTATGCGAAGGCTGGGAATATGTTGCGAGCTGGTTCGGTTTGAAATATCGGATCAGGTATGAGGGAAGAAGTGAAATATTGTTGGTGGTTGAGATGTTCGAACTTACGAGCTTGGAGGTTGCTTTGAAATACACTTATTAAAATTCTACTCGGTATGATGAAGGGCGTGATGTGATTGAGCACTCCACTAAATCAACCCCACAAAGCGGGCCCCTGCGACCTTTCATTGGCCACTATTGCTGAATTTGGTATATGGTGGACCCACTTACAAATCCGCGAACGACTACATTATGTTCCAACTTTCCGCATATAACGACTATAAGCTATATATAACCTGTCCCAGAAAACGCAGGAATCGACTTCATGTTCGCTTCTAGAAATCTTGTATGCAAAGCTTCTCTTCCCATTCTCAAATCTCTTCGGTCATCAATATTCCCCGCATCACAAATCCATTCAACCGGAAATACCTGGTTTCAACCTCAGAAAAACTATACAATGGCAACATCAAGTCTTCCTGAGAAGATGAAAGCTCTTACTCTAGAGAATGGGGTTTCGAAAATCCAAACTATTGCAACGCCTCCACTTCGACCCACGTATCTTCTTATTAAGGTGCATTCGGTTGCTCTTAATCCCACTGACTGTGAGTTTTCTCAGCATATGGCACGCTTCCAAACATACCAGACTATCAAGCAAGATTGTTGATGGCGTCACATTGTCTTGCCTTCTCGCAAGCAACCCCTCTTATCATATGCAAAGTAAACGTGTTAATTACCACCAGGGAAACACATCGCCGGCACCCGCGGCCACGGCCCCCTCGCCATAAGCGGCTGCGACTACGCCGGAACCATCCTTCAAGTCGGCAACGAAGTAACCAAATCATTTACCGTCGGCGAAAAAGTCTACGGCTGCGTCCACGGCTGCAACTTCAGCGAGATGTACGATGGTGTATTCGCCGAGTACGCCGCCGTCAAAGGCGACGTAGCCATGAAGCTCCCCTCGAACGTCAGTTTTGAAGACGCTTCCACCGTCGGTCTAGGAAGTATGACTGTCGCCCAAGGCCTGTTCCAAAAGGGCCTGGGCATTGGTCTTGAATTCCCCGGTGAAGGAGATGGAAAGGGTGAGTGGTTGTTGATTTACGGCGGAAGTACCGCGACTGGGACTTTGGGTATCCAATTCGCAAAGGCGGCGGGGTATAGAGTCATTACGACTGCTTCCCCTCGGAATTTCGAGTTAGTCAAGTCTCATGGCGCGGACGAGGTGTTCGACTATAACGACGCTCAATCGGCCTCAAAAATCCGCGAGCTCACGGCAAACAAGCTGAAATACGCTTGGGATACCAACGGCGACGACGCATCTGCTCAGTTCTGCGCCGACGCGCTTTCGAGCGACGAAGCGAAGAACTATGGAACGATCCTCGCTAATAAGTTTCCGAGGAGCGATGTGAAGTATACGCGGACTTTTATGTATACGATTTTTGGGGAGACGTTTGAGAAGGGGGGGCGGGTTTATGAGGGGAGCAGGGAGGATTTTGAGTTTGCGAAGAAGTGGGCGGCGTTGTCGGAGAGGATGTTGGCGGATGGAAAGCTGGTGCCGCATCCGGCGAAGGTTGGGAGTGGTGGGTTGGAGGGTGTTAGAGAGGGACTGGATGACTTGAAGAATGGGAGGGTCTCTGGCAAGAAGCTGGTGTACAATTTGGAGTGATGTAGATGCCTGCCTCAGCTGCGTCACTTTCAGTCGTGACTAGAGGTGGAAGACACTGAGCTTAATGTCCTTCTGCTTGTATTTAGAATATCACATAATATTAAGTCGATAGTAAGTGGTCAACCGTCAAATTTCGAAATTTCGATAATAACTTCTAAGCTTTTCCTACGGGTTCTCTGCGAAGCCTCACTTTCCATTTTCCTTGGAGTAGTAGCAAAATGACGACTTAGTCCTGTTCTACCCAACGACTTCACCTAGACGGCAAAAAAAAACATAATCGCTGATTATGTAAATTTACAGAGGTCAGCCGTCATTTAAATGAGCGTGAAACCCCATTTGAAAAAGAAGTCTCTCTGCTTCGCACGCCTGGAAGTGTCCGGTCCATGGATGGGATGAATCAGCCGATCAGTACAAATACCCACGAATCCTGAAGCAAGCAGAAGCTCACCGGCAGAATATCGACGAAGATTCCATATTACATGGCTAATAGCATCGAAGCATCGAAGCATTTCCATCTTCACCTGTAAGGCAATGATCCTGTGCTCTGATAACAATCAACTCACTCACAAGTATCGCATTGGCGAAGTATTCGCAGCTGGAATCGTAGCAACTTCCGATTTTCCAGACTACATATTCCCTTCGAAAGTATCCATCAGAAATCCGCCTCACATCATACGGTCGCTTACTCCTATAATTCAAGTCTTCACGCATTCACCTCACTTTCACCACCACATTCCCCACATTCACCAATGCACTTCTCTATATATTTCAATTCGGCATATTTGTCTTGACCAACCACCTCTCAAAGATCCGCGTTGAACCTAGCCTACGGGAAGGAGTAGACAGTGGTAGGGATGGGTAATGGTTGAGGTATGTATTTTTTGGTTTTCGTCATTGTGCTCGATCTCAAATTTTGGTAGGAGTTTTAAGGATTTGGTTTCAAGTTGGGGGTGGTAGTATTTTGGACTCCTTATTTTTTTGGGTAAATCGATCTAAATAGGGTTACTTGTCGTCTTCTTTCGTTATTTTTGATCATCTGTGACGAACGCTCTGAAGGACTTGAGCGTCACAGATTTTTTTCGGAAATTTCAAGTCCGTTGTTTACCAGCCGTTTTAGACTTTGTGATAGATGTAGCCGTCCAGCGAGCCGAATAGCTCATCTAGATGGAGTGTGCTCTGAATCCAAAAAGCACAGTATAGCTCTTAGATCAACAAGCTAGCTACCAATGGCGGATCGTGGATCACCCTCACCATCTCAGACTGTTTTGCCATTGCAGTATACTGATCCCCTCGGAATTGAATGCTGCCATCACCAAATACAGGGAGTTTAAAGCTTCAAAGGTCGTGACACAGCATTCACAACTCTCACAATTCACAGAATGTAACCGCACCTCAAAAGAAAGAAAACATCGATTTAATCACATCAGTAACATCATGGAAAATCCATTCATTCTTTTCTGTAAGCCGAAATTCCTACCAGCTTGCCTACATAATACAACCCCTCTCACTTTCGTACTCATGACATCAAACCCAGACATCAGTATTTCGACAAGACAACTACCAAGATCATACACACTAATCTCTGTACGCCGCACTGAGCCAGAGATATACGAATCATCTACAAGAATTGATAAAGAATAACTTTAAACAGAATCAACGAAACCAGAATAAAGATGGGTCTATTCAAAAGATCAAAACCAACTCCAGATCTAACCGCCGCAGGAAGTAGTAGTACTTCCACCTCTGGAAATACGGGAACAAATCAGGATACGAATGCATCAACATCAAATCTCTCCACCACTACAACACTGGTCGCAAGAGAACAAGACTCTCCTCAACCAAGCCGGAATCTCAAAAGTATCCCGGCACGTCTGATTGGCAAGGATTATCTGAAAAAGAAAGATCCAGAATATGATGCAAAGCTCAATGCTCTCCTGGAGCGAATTGAAAAGAACTACGTCCCCAAACCGATACCGCCGAGACCGTTGCCATCAAAGAATCGGCATTGGGAACAAGATCCGCTATACCTACTATTTGGGCCGCCTAGGGCTCAAGCTGCAATGGAGGAAAGATATGAGAGAAGACAGCGTGTGTATGACTATCATCAACAGAGAGAGACATGGGCGATGAATGATTTAAGAGATATGAGTCTGAGCCAGTGGCGAGCGAAGCATGACTGCTGAAGTGGATTTATTGGAAGGGAAATTTAGGCTGGTAGATGTATCTCGGCTTTAGGAAAACTTTTCATTTGCCGGGAAGTAGTCCTATTTAGCGAAAGGCTTTATTTTATACAGAAATAACAGGTGGTTACTAAACGCGCTACTGAATCCTGTGCTTTGGTTGCAGTAGAGCATCGTGTTTTGATGTGGCTTCACCTTTTCGCAAAGATGGGATGGAGTCCCTCGACGTTTAGGAGCCTACGAGAGAACCCCACCTTAAAGCGACTGAAGATCATATTGCAGCCAATGATACGTTAGTTCAATGCTTTCTTATGTCGAAAGGGCGCGTGTAAAACTTCCACGTGACCCTTTTCGCTTCGTGTATAGATTGATCAACGGGATGTTAACATATTTACGAAGTGTCTTTATGCCTGGTCTACCTTCTGATTCTCAGACAGTAATCAATTAGAACTTAGAAGAAGTTGAATTTTTGCAATATGGAATAATCCTTTGACAAAAGGGCTGCCGTTCTAGGCAGCAGCCGTAAACAGGCCACCCATTACGTTGTCACTTTTCGCCTTTTTATACAACCTGAATAGCCCTCACTCACTAAGAAAACATCAGCACCAAGACTTCTAAGTCAAACTTACAAACATGACAACTCCACCACCCTTCAAAGCAGCAATCTTAATGAACGCCGTCCCCGCCGAATCCACTCCCCTCCTCGACGATGCCTTCAAAACCACCTTCGCAACCTGCATCACGCAGGCCAGTCCCGATGCACAAGTCGATTCCTTCGACCCCATAGAAGCCCAAGTCTACCCCGAGGCTGGCGAATACGATTTAATAGTTCTAAGCGGCGGAACCGCAGACGCCATGGCGAAAGATATTACCTGGATCCTAAAACTGCAAGATTTCCTACGGACGACAGTGGAGAGGTGTCCGAGTCAGAAGATAGTCGGAATTTGTTGGGGTCACCAGACTATTAATATCGCGTTTGGAGGGACGGTTGGGGATAGCGATCATGCAGAGGTTTGTACTTCCTCGAGCAAGTTCTACATTTGCTAACCTCATCCTTCAGATTGGAGTATATCCAGTCACCCTAACACCCAACGGCCAAACTTTCTTCACCACCTCCCTCCCCTCAGAAACTCACTACAACATCCACCAATTTCACGAGCGCGAAGTCAAGACTCGGGGAAAAGGTTTCATCGCATTAGCAGAAAACAACCAGTGTTTCGTCAACGCTGCCAATACCATTTTAACGCTGCAAGGTCATCCTGAGATGAGCGTTGAGTTGTCGAAGATGTTGTTGGAGGATGTACCGAAGTATTTGGATGTTGAGGAGGTGGAGAGGAAGGCGTTGGAGGATAGGGTTGAGAGAGAGCATGATGGGATGGCGATTTGGAAGAGGATTGTGAGGTGGACTGGAGAGGTGTAGGAGGTGATAAGCTTGAAGCTTGATGAACTTCCCTTCAGGCGGGTGAGGTGGCTAATGCGGCAGCCAAGCGAGCGAGATTAGGGGGAACTGCACTTGACAGTCTAGTTCATTGTCTAGCTGCTCTGCTTGGTGTGAGTTTCGTCAGTTATCTCACACAAGTAAATTAATGTTTAGACTTGAGTCTTTATCTGATGTGCAAAATTCATTGAGTGTTCAATTCGAAAGTTCATTGGGTGTCAAACTTTCATTCAACAGCCATGGTACTGTATATCGACAAGTGTATCACTCACAACATATCACCATTCCACTGACATAATCAAATAAAGCACAAGAGAGTAATTCATAGGTAATACGTATCCTAAGTCTGCGACTCTACACCCAATGCTTTCATCTATTCAACACCCCTCTCCCCTCTCCCTTCTTCCCTCTTCGCCCAACCCCAGCCCAACCCTCAACGAATCTCAATATCAATCCTCGCAATGCCCGTCAATTCCTCCACGAAGTCTCTCCCCACCCCCCTCCGACTCATACCAAACCCTGCCCCGAACACCCGACCCAGTCACTACATCCTCAAACGACCCATCAGAAATCTCATCATCAAGACTATTCGGAAATTGCAGATCCTCCATGAGAACATCACCTAGAGAATCTTGATTGATACTGCATTGACTCCATTCTATCCGATCGCGCTTAGCCTTAACTGACGGAAAGTGAAGCGTATCAGAGCAAGATGTGCCGTCAAATGTCTCCGGAAGTGGTGAGGTTGATTCTACACTATCAGGCAATGGAGTCGCGTTAAGCATCTCAACATCGCCGTCAGCGTCGACATTTCGGATCGTGCCATCTCGAACCACTAATCTGATCCTGGGCTCTAGATTCCGCCCATCATTGATTCTCCAGACCTTCGTGATACCAGACTTGCTAAACGCCCAGATCGTCATATCTGGACCAGCATCAATGGCAAGATCAGTAACACCTTGACACTTCCCAACTTCCTGTCCGGTGATCTTAACTGGCCAGGTACTTCTTGCAAGGAGATCAGGGTCAGGATCCTGAGTGTTGTTATTCCACTCTTGAGCGCCATTTTGCGGCCACCAGTCCAACCAGTCCCAGTTCTGAACATCCTTTGATGTGTCTGGAGGTGTACATAGTGGTCGGCCAGATTGATTGGCATGGTTTTCCGCAGTGAATATGTCGGCGGGGACTGAAAACAACCATACACTTTGCTGTTGCTCCGAGCCAAAGACAGCAACGACTCTGACACCCCACTTCAAATCTGAGCCACTTGTATAGACAAGAGGACTACCCATATTTTCAGGTCCATTGAACCATATTTTGCGCAACAATTTGGTTGGCCCACCGACAGGTGCATCACTCCCCAGACATAGTAGTCCAGTCACAGGGTCTGTGAACAGTATGTGGTAACCATCACTGAGTGGCATGGCACGATAATGATCCGAAAGCTCAGTCCTCCCAAACCCAGCTCGACCGGCTGAAGCATTGCCAGAAATTCTCGTCGCAAAAGGCTGTCGATTCCAGGCACTTTGACTATTCCCACCAACACTAGTAGCTCTACCAAGTTTCTCCCACAAGATGCTGTTTCGATTTCGTCTACCAAAAGCACGTTCGGCTAAAGCAGGTTGCTCGCTAGGCCGAGCTGCACTGCTGATAAGTCGTAGCTTTTTGGCAGAATCGACGCTTCGTCTTGGTGGCAGGAAATACAGGTAGTCACTAGGAGCTGTGAGAGGGAACCATCTATTCAAATCCTGTCCTGTCAATGCATCAACCCAATGGAGTTCTATCCCAGACGAACAACCAAACGCGACACAACGTCGCTGAGGACATATCGCTACCGAGCGAGGCGGATCATCATCAGAGCAAAGATTTCGGTAAAGTGAGCGAGGACCAGTCTCAATTGGCATACCCGTTTCACCTAAATTGAGCTCTCTGTGAGGTGGTAAAATGCTTTTCAATCTACTATTTTGGCGGAGCTTTCCTGCTCGAGGAAGCGAAGGATGGCGAGAACTCGGGCCAGCAGTTTGTGAGGAACTAGGCATATCACCTTGAAAAACATCCAGCCACTCAGAGTCGTTAGCCGGAGCAAAGCTTGTGCCCGATGTCGCTATTCCAGGGAAAACAAACGGTGGCTCCGTGGATGGTATGCCGCCATTGAAAATCGATGCGGAACTATTGAGTGATATGCGATCCAGAAACGAAGTACCCTTAGGACCGTCTGCCAACAAAGATTCCTTCCCATGCGGTTTAGAGCTCTCTGAGTGCCCAATTCGCTCTGCGTTAGGTTGCGAAGCTCCTGCTTGCTGGCGGTTCAATGTAGTGATGTCGCATACCAATCCCATTCGACCTTCCAGAAGAATGGCTATGGCATATCTCCTCGAAGATGTATCCATGCTGCAAGCTAGAACTCGGTGCGGACAAATAATACCTGTGACCGGTCGCAGGCTTCCGGGACTGACATTATTCGGCGTGTCGCTACGGGAAGCTGAGCGATTCAGCTCGTATATGTAGACCAAACAGCCGTTGGCTGCCATGAGAAATCGGCCGCAGTTGCTTACGGTAAAGACTGTGCCAACAGAATCCGTTCCTTGGTAGTGTAATGCAACTTCGGTAAAATCAATCATTGAAATTTCAGTAAAAGTGGCGTTGCTAGACGCGTTCGTTGGGTCTTCATCGGTGGTCAATCCATTGCCAGTCCATGCAGGGCCAAGCGCACATTCCCTTGAAAGTCGTTTACTGATGAGCCATTCGTCGTTGGTTTTAGTGTTACTATCAAGAACGTGGTTGGCTGTTATCTCTTGAAGTATGCTGCTAGAGAAACCTCCCCGTCTAATCATTGTCTCTAGCAGTGATCGTTCCAAGCTAGCCATAAGCCATGTTCTGCAAGTATGCCGGGCTGTGTGGAAGTCGGCTGGCGATAAGTTGTAGTATAGCTGTTGGAGGATCTCAGTGGGCAGTGAAACTGCAATTGACTGCGGTGGCGCTGGTGTCTTTTGAGTTTCATGGCCGTATTCATCATGCGCTGGATCATGATCATATGGTACGTTGTCGTCCGCCTGTTCGTCGGAATCTGACAATTCATCCTCATCGGTTTCATTGTCTGGCTTTTTGATCGGTTCTGGGGGCGAAGAGGTACTGTGATCGCTGAAAGTAGAGAAAAGGGTAAATGGAGGAACAAGAGAAGCTTGCCGGCTAACAAAATCCGAGTTGCTGCGCGATACGCTGCCAGAAAAACTAGCAGAGCTGATTGGCGAGTTCAAAACCTCTGAAAGAGTTTGGCAAAGTGGTTCATGAGGACAAGGTTCTAGCAGATCATCGTCCATAATTGCTGACGGAGCGGTTGGATCATCGTGAAAGGTGCTACTTCGACTGACTCGTCGTTTGATAGCATGCGTATCAACATCAAGCGTCGCGTTGCTGAGTCTTATTCTCGAATCCGCACGAGCGAGAGGATCTGATATCCGAGGACTTCTTTCCAAAGTTCTCCCGCGTTCGGGTTCGGGCTTTTTGTCTACTTCAGTCACTTGGACCGCGGCGCTCGTTTGTGCTGAGGGAGGGGGTTTCGTCTTCGAAGTCGACTCGGCGGGAGGAGTCAATTCGAGAAAGGTATTCTGGCGTGGCAGTGGCTTTGTAGCGATTGGTGGTAGGCTTTCATGGACATCTACCGTAGAATCTACTGTGCCAGATCAGTTCTCTAGTAGTGGCTGATATGTAGTCGCATAAGGAAGACATACCTTCATCGCACTGCGCATTGATATCAGGCCATTGCATGGTAGGTTCTGGCCGAGATGCAGCATCGCTGACAGTCATAACGTGAGTCGTCGGGGATTCGAAGACTGAGGTAACGATAGCGGGAGAATTGATATTGGTTGAAGATATAGGTACAGAATCGGGATCTGCAACACCTCTGGAGAGGAGGATTTGAGAAGACGTGTTGTCGACAGCCCCCGAAGAGGAGGCTATGTGGCTAATGAGTGTAGAGTGATAGGAAACGACCGTCATAAGGAAATAATAAAGACGAGGGCTTCGGGACTGCGAACCGGAACCTGTATATCATAAGCAATCTATAAGAAAAAATATAACGAATGTCATGGGCGCCTCCCGCAATTAGGATAGTTGCGGAGAAGAACAACTCATTAAGCTATTTTCAGGAGGAAACTCGAGAATCGAGAGTCCTGGACGTGATTGACTTTCGAATATATTTAAGGAAGGTACATAGGGGTATAGAGGTAATTACAAGTTCCGAAAGATGTACTTCGCCGTAACGCGGAAAGACCGACCCAATAAACAAATTTTGTTGATAACAGTGATCATCTACCCATGATATTGATAGCATTGAACAAATTCCATATCCTTGCCACCTCAAGCCCTTATACATTAGCATCCCCGTTGTCCCGCCATATATGTGTGTCGCCTAAACTGAGCGAACTTGAAGTGCTTTCTTGCTGATCCAGAGGAGTGGGATCGCCATTATTGGCGTCGTCTGCCTTGTTGATCCACAGTTTTTCGAGACTGATGACCATTAGAATGATACAAATCATGGTTGAAAAGGATAACAGTGAATTACTTACGGGACCGTCAAACTTGGGTTGACAAACTTTAATCCTTTCTCTCGGTCCTCGTCAAGAGTCAAACTTCTTCGGCGCATGCGCCCAGGAGGATGGTCAATTCCAACATTCTCATCAGCGATGTTGACATCAACGTCATCGTCTCGCCGTATACTTCGGAGAGCAATAAATTTGGTCAGTGGTTCGTATGTACTTCCAAAGTAGTAACTGTACCATATCGTGAAAGGTATCAAGGGAACCACTAGGGCAGCTGCTGTGAAGGCGGAGTTCAAAGCAATCAACCCAGCCATTACGAGCTGGAATACGCCAAGACCAACGAGTAAACGGTAGCAGATCATTGGCCATGCTTTTCCAGTTGCATGCTGTGGATGATCCATGGCATAGAGCAGTTGGTATTTGTACGTAAAATAGCCAAAGACGAAGTATACTAGTCCAAATGTGACCACCATGTACCCGGATGGCAAGATACTGTATACAAAACACAAAATCCAGATTAGGATTGCAGAGGGCAGGTAGAACCCATACTTAAAGATGGGCGGCTGTACCAACTCAGCATAGTCCCTAGGTGTGCGCGACCCCAAGAGCATGATTGGATACAACGAAACGCTGCCAAATTCCAAAAGTCTGAAGGGCAGGAGACCAACACTCTGGAGTAGAATAAAATTGGTATAGAAGTTGCCTAGAGACTGTACAGAGTTGGCTAGAGTGTATGCAAGTTGTGTTGTATCCCTCGAAAACTCTTGGAGTGCAGGCCAGAAACGACTGGCAGTACCAAAAATCGTAAAGACCAAGAACACGTTAAAAAACGTGAAAAAGAAGTTTTTTGAAATTACTGACAACTCAACGTCGCCTTGGGAAATCATTCCTTGCAGGTTTGCCAAATAATCGTATAGGAACGGGACAGCAACATTGAGTAAAGAAACAACCAACGTAGGTAGTCCTGTCTGCACCAACGACTTGATCGTGGAATGACTTTCGAGTACATCGGCGAGCCCCTTCCATACTTGTTGAATGGAGCACAGATCTAGCAGTCCTGCCAAAGCAGCAACTGGTATTAACCAGAAAATGGTGAGCAGTAGAATGAATACTGTTATGGTCCAAGACCGCAGCATTCGGCTCGACCGAGGCAGATAAGTGTTTGGCCACACAATATCAGTAGGTGCTGGAGCTAGTTTAGCTTGGAGTTGCATAGGTTCTGGATCTAGGAGAGCTTGGACAGCCATTTGGCAAGCAGGAATCGAGTCCATGGTGACAAAAGCGACAGGTGTTGCTTTATACTCTTTCTTTCTGGCGTCGGTAATTTTGTCGTCCAACTTTCGAAGCTCTTCTTCATAATAGTCGATAGCATCCACTTTTCGGCTCTGCAACCTCAGCAATCCGTACCAGATGCGTGTAGTAGGTCGAGGTTGTTCGTATGCCATGATGTGAGCGCCAAGCAAGTTGTCTCGCTCACGGTGCTCTTCTCCATCCTCAGTGTCCTCAGAATTTGGCTCTGGCCGTGGCATGGGCGACTGGGTGGTTTTCCGACCAATGTGGACAGTCCAGGCCTCCTCTAGACTTCTCAAGACATAAGCTCGTCGATCCAACAAATCATCCAGAGCCTTCCAGTCACGACAAAGCGTCACATTTTCGACCTTCCCAATCTCAAGCTTTTCCAGGAACTCCTTAATATTATCCTCCGATCTTAATTCCTTGGGGATTCCGGAAAGCTGAATTGTTCGATCTGTAATCGTTGATTGGCTTCCAAGATAGTCTTGCCTAACACGAATGATGCGCTGAGTCTGCCGAGTAATAAAGTACAACGCAAGTCCAGTAAAGAAGTAGGTGAAAACAAGGTATGCCCACAAATAGTGGTGGTTTTCCTCGTCTTTTCTGTTCAAGGCAGCAGACCCATCCTGATCAAAGCTTTTCCCATCCTCCATATATAATTGTGCCGGCCGCCAAAGGGCCCCCTGGTATAATTCGTGAGGAAGGCGCGGTGTTACAAGTTTGGAATATCGCTTGTTTATTGGGGCAAGGATACCGCAAGTGATGAGAAACATGACCCCGAAAAGTTTGATGGACATCTTGAAAAAGGACAAGAACTTGACAGAGTTAGTCCTTTGTATTTCACAGATGCTCTAGACTCTCGAAACTCACAACATAGGCGTCAAGTCCTGCAGAAGCCAGGACCTGCTCTTCTGTAACTTTGTACAGCACTGGCATCCATCCCAGAAAGCTATCCGGAAGCTCAGGCAAGGCTTCAGCGGCATGCAACTGGCGCTTCCTCGCGGCATAGAGAGTTTTCCATCTTGGTCTTAGAAACTAGACACAGTCAATATCAGTCAACATGCTCAAACGATGGTCAGGGCACATTACGCAGAAACCAATGAAAGCAGAAACCCCCAAGACGAGAGACAAGGCGCCCTGTACTAATATATCCTGCTGCCCGTTCGTAGGTTGGGTCGCGTCGGGTCTCCGCGTACAATCCTTCGCCATGGTTGAGGCTTGCGGTAGCATCTTGAAATCTGTGAGTGTTCAAAACTCAACGAACATAGTTATCGAGCATGATGGATGTTGCGATCAGAATGTGTTGGCGCAACAGGAGCCCAGACGATTACGATCCCCTGAAAGAAATGACGCTGCTTGATGTCAAACCTACCGGCGCTTGGATCATTTTAGCTTCAGCCACATTGGGTCGCCACATCTGTTGCATGAAGCTCTGACCACCCAGTTCCTTCAACACAACAACAACTCTGATCTTTCCTACAGTTCACACAATCTCATCAGCAATCATGGTTTAGTTGACGATTTTCTTCTCATACATCTCTATGTCTCTCATGTGTCCATTTCGTATATTTCAAGGATGGAGAATGATGTTTTTACCCGCCGAAAGCTAGAGGAGTGGTTCGAGAAGTCTCCTGTTACACCTTCTGCCTCTTTTGAGTGTTCCACGCCTGCTTATTCTTCGACAATCGCTGCTCAGTCTCTTGGTGACGACATCGAAAGAGAAACATCTGACATTCCGGTTTCGAATGCAGATGGAACCCTTCAGGAAACCAGGACCATACTGGGAAACGGCACTGTTTTTATCGAAGGGCAGTTGAAAGAGGAACTTCCGATTTGTGAGATTGACAAGGTTTGCTAGCCGAGAAGAACTACTTTCTTTCTTTCTAATCTGTTGAAGTTACAAGATGAGTTGCGATCGCGACTGTTCGCCGCGGATTTTTCTTTTCAAATCGACGAGGATCTTCTCGCGGATGAGGATAGTATGTACACCCGCAACACAAACGACTGGCAGCTCGCAATGAGTTCGTATCAGCAGTCCCGATGACTGATTTTGTGCTCATTAAAGACACCCCTATATATCTGGGCTCTCTATACAAGTGGAGTAAATCTTTCTTGGAATCATTGAAGGTTGTCGAGTACTCAAAAGCCACTCACCAAACCAAGTACTATTCGGTCAGCGCGAGGTCTAGTCGCTTTGATGTCCGGTTGTATTTTCTCATCCAGGACGCCCCGAATGTAGGGCAAAGTAGTTTCTTGCCGCAGGCGGAGGTTATGTATCTGCCTAACACAGCTTTACATGGAGCATGGGAAAGGTAGGACTTGCTTTTTATGTTGTATGTCTCACTAACTTTGGCTGCAAGGCTTGTTTTCGATGACGGCCACAAGTCGAATCTTGTATGGAAAATAACTAACATGAGTGAGGTTGCCTTCAGTTACGCTAGCGTTGTGTCTGATGTGCGACAGTTCGTTCAATGAAGCAATCAGGGACGGAGAAGACGTGCAGAGACCGGGTTGTGCTCCTTTTCGGTCGCACAGGAACCGGCAAAAGCACTCTCTGTCAATCTATCGCCCAGAAACTTTCGATCCGACTGTCTTCGGATTACACAAAGACGCGAATGATACAAATCAAGACATCCACGTTGCTTTCTAAGTATTTCAGCGAGAGTGCTAGAATTGTTGACGATATTTGCACCACGCTTGCGGTACTTTGCAAGGACGAGCCCTGCGAATTCAACTGTGTTCTAATTGACGAAGTTGAGTCGTTGACTATGTCGAGACAGAGAGGTTGCCTTAATGGAGAATCACAGGATACATTGAGGGCGACAAATGCGCTTTTGACGGGGCTTGATCGACTAAAAGTTTATTCCAACATACTGTTCCTCTGCACATCCAATATGCCGGAGCTGATGGACTCCGCCTTCCTTAACAGATGCAGTCTTCAGATGGTCATCGAGCCCCCTGGGATGGAGTCACGATATGCAATTCTCCGTGGTGAGTTGCAGAGGCTGATCCGCATTAATGCCATCAACCATCAAGGACAAATACCATCACTCTCAGATGCTAGACAAGAAGACAATGCAGGAACGGATGGCGTTGGTTGTCGATTATTGGACATAGTGAAGCATATTGGCAAGATAGTCGCTGTATCTCCTGAGGGACAGGAAAATAGCGCAAGGTTTCTGTCTCAGCTCCCGCAGGAAGCCATTGAACTCTACCTCCGTGATCAATACTGCAGCTTGCAGATGGCGTTTTCCTTTATGGAGCGCTTCCTCAAGATTGATCATCTCCGCACTCCCGAAACTCGCAGCATTAGCAAGGCTGATCTAGTCTGTAGTGGATGTGACAAGTCCAGAAGAAGAGAAGATCCAGTTTACAATACGGCTCTTAAAATAGCACAAAGCCGAGATGGCACTGGAAAACGCCAACTAGAAATATATACCGCTGGTGATGAAGCTGAGGTACTCGAAGACTTGTGGAACTTTTTAGAAGGGAGACGCAAAAAGACTCGAGTGATAACAACAGCAAGAGAAATCACCACACCATCATTGGAAACCCATATTCAAACCGACAACTTACAAGAGGAGAGTGCGTGTAGGTTCGGCGATACGGCTGAGCACACTAAACTCAAAAGATGACCCGGAGAATGATAACACAATTCTGTGCCATGAAGAGAATAGTACTTGGGATAAGGCACACCACCGTAAGAGCGAGAATTGTGAAGTTCCTTAACCATTCACTAACAAAGACAGGAGCGCTGGAGCTGCGACCGGAGCTTTTCCTCCGGCATGATGATCAATTACAGAATGTGAGCCACATATACGTTTTCACCCAAGAGCCACCCACGTTGACTGATTACAGTAGCAAACAAATTTATAGCTCGGCAAAGCTTTATCCTGAAAAAAAGTCCAGCGACACAACCGTACGGGAATGCTCATAAATAATCAATGTGGGGCACATGAGGCATGTTTACGACTTCTTTTCCACATCTCGGTATTCGCTGACAACAGGCGAAGGCATCTTGCAATAATATGACTTCACCAAGGGGGGCGAGTGGGGAGGTAGCGTAATGCCGAGCCGTTGCTGTCTCTCAATCTAAGTTTCGACTTCTGATACCTTCATTTTCCCCGCTATTGTCGAATTAATAGATTCATGACCATATTTGAACCTGTCTGTCAAATTTACGTCGAATAAGCAGTTCGCAGTCATTGTCCTACGTTGGGCATCATAAACAGTGAAGACAGGCTGACCTGATCTAGACTCATGTCATCGTTCATATCACGTCCCACTGCATTCCTGCTATCGTTCCATGCAATGCAATGGAATGCCAAGAAGAACTGCAGAATCGGAAAAGGGTAAGCTGCAGTCAAGATGCCAGCGGTACAGTGCGACAAACCCAGCAGAGTGGATGGAATTCAGGCTGCAGACCAATGATTAATGATGTTGATTGCGATATGAGATGCTCGGCCCAACAGTGCGGGAGGCGTGCATACAGATTTGTCGACGACAGCTTTTTATATTGAAGTTTGCGCCAAGGTAAGCGTTCCTTAGGTGTGTTGGAAGACAGAGAGGCCAATAAACAGCCACCCGCAAACATATCCTCGGAAACAGTCGGCCCAGAACTGGGTCTCTTGAATTGTGCTTTTATCCGCTGATGCTTCGTTTTTGATATCAACGGGAGACGTGGCCATGAACTGGATAACGGCCAAGTAGTTGCGACAGAGTTCTTAGGTGAGGGTGTCCTCCTGGTTTCCACTCGATCTAGCACGCCTTGGGTTCCTGGTTGGTGAGTGGCTCCGGTTAGCAGCCTTGAGATTCTCTTGCGAACGGGTTGCTGTGTTGTTTGAAGATTCGCCATGAAGATTCGCCCATGCAAGCATGTTGAGGTGTGGCTGAAGCGACAAGAATAATCTTGAAATGGTTTGAGGGAATTATCATTGGCAGTCACCATCTGCCTATCTATCGCAACAGCGGAACATTCTTTCCTTACCAGCTTTGTCTTGGACCCTAGGTACAGAGCATCATATCAACATACCACTATGTTACAAGATTATTTAGCATAAAGTCACTGCGCAGTGGTACGAGTACAACCGTAGGTACTTGGTACTTGGTACTTCCGCGGTGCACCATATTGACATGCGAATTGGTTTGCCATGACCGCAAATGCCGTTCTGTACGACTGTTGCATCAGGCATTTCTTGATTGCCATTTGCCATCTGCATCTACAGACCACGTACTCCGTAGGCTTCTCCTGCGGTTCTTCTGGACTCGCTTTTTCTCGCCTGGACCATGAAGTCCTGGCGGGTGACAGGGGCGATGCCTTCTGCCGACGCCATCTTAGCCAAACCGGGAAGCGAGCAGCGTTCCGTTCCTGACGTAGCAAGCAACGTTTGGGTCCACAACTTGGAATGTTTTGCTCCGGAGGACGAGGTGAATTTCTTGTTACCTCACTGGTACAAGCGTCGATATCTCATCCAGAATGCAAGAAAGCGCCGAGTCATAAATAAACAGATGATCACGATGGTGTAACAGGAGCAAAGTGCCATATGTCCGCGACCGACATGTTGTACTGTATTCTGGAATATATGTAGCTTGTCCAACACATGTAAAAAAAAGTTGGAATCACATCGAGAAAGATCGAGAAGATTCAACCTTATATAAGCGATAATTCACTCTTCCTCTCACATATCATAAATCAATTAATACTAGCTCGCTTCAGCATTCTGAAACGGGATCTACACCAACCAGAGACCCGACTGATCAAGCTTTGAGGCATTGTTCTAGAGGAGTCGTCGGCGCCGCAGCTCCTTTGCACCAACGTCACAGCGGTTGGCAACAGAGCACTCGGAAAACTATACAAACCTTGGTTGCCTCCCACCTCAACATTTCGCAACTTTGCAACTCTTCCTCCGTGGGCCCATGATTGCGCGATTCCGGCTATCCATCCTACGAGTCTTCCTTTTTTCTGTTCTGCGAGCTGGTCTTGAACATCCACCAGTGCATCTACTACCATGACGGTCTTTGTGGTGTCCCTGTAAGTACTCGGACTTCCTCATCCTAATTCTCAGCTTCACTTTTCCTACTTGGCCACCAAGAGGAACTTAGTTTCTAGCACCAAAGTCCAGCAGAAAAATCTTTACATTTCTTTGCGAATCCTGTAACACGAATGCGATGGAGCTGCACTATTTTCTCTGCAGCTTCGAGCGCATTGATCCATGCAGCCTTGTTGGCGGCGCCTTGCATATTTTCTGTTACTCAGAACAACGTACTGATTGAACTCTGTCTACAGCTTTCTCCCGAACACTATCAACTTCTCACTACCTACTTCGACCGCTACTACTCCTCCGAACAACCAGGCTCCGCCTCGACCACAACGTCCAATCCGCGCGCTCACTCGAACGAATACCAAGGTCGATGTTTTAGAAACACCCAGTCTTTTTAACCAGCGCGACATTACACCTCCCGACACTCCGATCGCAGAAGACAACCATGTCGATTTCTTCTCGCAGGGAGATGCCAATAAATTCAACATCCACCACCCAAAGCAGCCGGGCCCAAAATCTATTCTTGCGCCCAGTGATCCGCATTCGCCAGCATGGGGAACAGGTAGACTCTTCACCCAACCCCGATCGCGCGCAAGCTCTCCTCCTCCAGCAGACATATTGAAGCACAATAAGACTGCAGAGAAGGCCGCTGCACTCGGTCGGGCTGGAATCCGTCAGCCTCAACTTGAGGGACGGAGTGAAAGTCACGACCGTGTATTTGCTCATGCTAATTGGAATGTGGTGCCTGCAGATCAAGGAAACGGCGGACTTCGAAATGCTGTCGCAGCTGCGGAACGAAGCGGATGTTTGGATGACAAGATTTGGGTTGGAACCTTGGGAATGCCTACGGACGCTCTAGAAGATACGCAGCAGAAGCAAGATATTGAGGATCGTTTGGCTACGGAACACGACTCGTTGACAGTATTTTGCAAGGATTCAGATTTCGATGGCCATTACACGCATTACTGCAAGCAGATCCTCTGGCCGGTATTCCATTACCAAATCCCAGATAACCCAAAAAGCAAAGCTTACGAGGACCACTCGTGGGTCTACTACGTCAAAGTCAATCAAGCGTTTGCCGATAAAATTGTTGCAAACTGGAAACGCGGAGATGTGATCTGGATTCACGACTACCATCTTCTGTTGGTGCCAAATATGATCCGAAAGAAGCTGCCCGATGCGAAGATTGGTTTCTTCCTTCACGTTGCGTTTCCATCGTCTGAGGTCTTCCGCTGCTTGGCTGTGCGGAAGGAACTTCTCGAGGGAATGTTGGGTGCCAATCTTATCGGATTTCAAATTCACGAGTATGCGCGCCATTTCCTTCAAACTTGCAGCCGACTCCTCTGCGTCGAGGCCACGAATGATGGAGTTCAACTCGAGGAGCGTTTCGTTGATGTTATTGATACCGCCATCGGTATTGATCCAGTCGCTTTGGAAACGAGTCGCGCAGATCCAGCTGTTGCGGAATGGTTGAATACTATGCAAGAGCGATATCGAGGGAAGAAATTGATCGTTGCACGAGACAAATTGGATTACGTCCGAGGTGTCCGCCAAAAGTTGTTGGCTTACGAACTATTTTTGAATAAACATCCGGAATGGAGAGACAAAGTGGTAATGATTCAAGTTGCGACATCTACCACTGAGCAAGCTGAGCTCGATGCGACCGTATCTGACATTGTCACGAGAGTAAATTCTTCCTGGGCGAATCTTGCATATCAGCCACTTGTCTACCTCAAGCAAGATATCAGTTACCCGCAGTATCTGGCTTTACTTACGGTCGCCGATGCTCTAATGGTTGCAAGTCAGCGAGAAGGTATGAATTTGACTTGTCACGAATATCTATTCTGTCAAGATGGCAAATTTGCCGGCCATAATAAGAATGGTTCGCTCATCCTGAGCGAGTTCACCGGTAGTGCTTCTGTCTTTGGGGGTAACGAACTCTCGGTCAATCCATGGGATTACAGACAATGCGCAGACGCCATATTCAAAGCTTTGGTTATGCAAGACCAGGAGAAAGAGCAACGATGGTCAAAGTTATACGAAGCTGTGATGCATCATACAGCTGAGCACTGGTTCACCACTTTCCTAGCAAGGCTTGATAAAGTATATGACGAACAATATCGTCGAGATACAACCTCGATACCTCGTCTCTCTATTAATGCTTTGAGCCAGTCATACAAGAAGTCACAGCGACGTCTGTTTATGCTTGACTACGAGGGAACTCTCGCTTCCTGGGGCTCACCACACGATATCATTCTCACAAGTCCACAGGTAAGTTGCATTCTCACACGTGATTTAATCAGGTGCTTATATTACTAGCGTACACTTGATGTTTTGAACGATGTCCTCGCTGATGAGCGTAATACCGTCTACGTGATGTCAGGCCGTCAACCGGAAGAACTTGATCGTCTGTTCAAGCGAGTTCCAAACCTTGGACTCATCGCTGAAAATGGCTGCTTTATCAAAAAGTTTGGCGCTTCAGAGTGGACTGAACAAGCCAACCTAGAAAAGATGCACGATTGGCAGGATTCAGTCGAGGGCATCATGCAATATTATCACGAACGTACCCCTGGGTCTTGGATCGAGCGCCGCCATTGCAGTTTGATTTTCCATTATAAAAGTTGCGAGGATCCAGAATCCGCGAGTCGTCAAGCTGGTGATTGTGCAAGCCATATCAATGATGCTTGTGAGGAGCAGAGAGTTAAGGCTATTCCAACCGAACGTAAGCAATTTTATCTCTCTCATACGAAATTTCTTCTAACAAACCTCTAGATGCTGTCATCGTCGCACCAATCGACTGGTCTAAAGGCACCGCAGCTACACAGATCTACGAACAAATCGAGGCATCAGGAGATGCAAACGTTGATTTCCTGACCGTCATGGGTGATGGTCGTGATGATGAGGTTATCTTCCGTTGGGCAAATGAGCTCGAGAGGCAGAAGAAAGTAAAACATGTGACTACCGTTAGTCTAGGCGCCCACAACACCGAGGCTGGCTACACTCTGACACAAGGCGTTACTGGTATGTTTATATGCTCGCTATATTTTGATCGCCGATTAATTATCATCCAGGAGTTTTGACCGTTTTGCAAAAGCTAGGACAGCTTTCATGATATCCCGTCCGTCCGTCCCTTTGAAATTAAATCTTAAGGGTTTGCGAGATTCGAATGCAAGATCATATACACGCACACCCCGCTCCATCTTTCTACTAGCGATCGTTTGTAGCGCCTTTCTTCTTTCCTCATTCTGGGAGTTTTTGGCTGGTACATTTTCTTCTCGGAGGATACTTAGGGGAGGAAACAGAGCGCCACTGTAACGCAGGTTTTGGTAGATTATTTGGGGGAAACACAGGATGTATGAGAAGATGAGATGAGATGAGATACCTAAATGCATGGAGACCTTGGGAAACTTTTTTTGAAACTTTTTTTTTTGTAGAATAGACGATAGGTAGAATGCCACAATTTTACCGTCGGTCAGATGTTTCGTTTCATCACGTCCACTCACTTCTCTGGCGTAGGTGGAAATTGTATGTCTTACGGGTCGCGGCCCGCACCCAAATTCCCCACACCCTGTCAAATGTCCAACCCCACAATCCGCCCTGCGCACTACGTCACACTACTGCTTAGCGCCACTCACGGTGGTCCAATGGCTTTGATGTGCAGGCTGGGATTGTAAACCTGGTTTTTCTTTGTGATGGAAGAGCTGGAAATAGCAATATACAAGGGGGCTTTGTTGAGTTTTATAATGGGGTTGTCACTCATATCACGCCTGGGCTTTGTTCGGATGGCTTTGCTTATTATGGGATGAGTCCCGAGAGAACAAAGGAATACGAAGATCGTCGACGTGCTTGAGTTTTTGTCTAAGGAGATTTGACAAAGACCTTGTTTATTGTTGGAGTGACTGAAGCAGGTTTAGGGGTTCTTTGAGGGGAGGGGATATTAGGACTTGAGGTCCCCCGTGGGGATTTGAGGGATACAGATATGATTTAACACGATACGAAACGAAACGAAACGACAAGAAAGATTAACGAAAACGAGATAAGAGGATTTCAATTCTGGAAATTGAAAACATATACCAACGAACGAACGAAGTACTAACGAACGGCGAACAATCACGAAACGAATGCCCACTCACACCCTCAAAATGCACATCCCATCCCCATTCTTCCTCCTCCTCCTCACCGGCGCCCTCGCCATGCCGAAAATCGTCACCATAACATCAATCATCACGATTCCTCTCCCAACAGCCACTCTCCCTCCAATATCTATCCCAACGAACATACCAGTGCCGAATCCAGGCAAAGCAGTTATCCCAGGCACCTCCACGGGATCTACCTCTTACACAGATGAGAATATTTTTCAACAGGATGTACTCGCTGCGCATAATTTTTATCGAAGACAGCATAATGCGAGTGCGCTGGTGTGGAATGATACTAGTGCGAAGGTGGCGGGGAGTTGGGTTAAGGGGTGTGCGTTTAAGCATTCGGTATGTCCTTTTTCCCCTTGTCTTTTCCCCCTTTTAACCTCATACCCTCCTCTTTCCCTCCCAAAATCAAATACTAACACATATCCAGAACGGCGCCCTAGGCGAAAACCTCGTCGCCGGCCCCCCCAACGCGACATCCGCCATCGACCTCTGGGGCCAAGAGCGACAGCTCTTTAACTTCAAATCCGGCGGTTTCTCCGCCGAAACAGGACATTTCACGCAGCTGGTCTGGAAAGACACTACATCTGTCGGCTGTGCGGTTAAGAATTGTAAGGGCTTGGGCTGGTATACGGTTTGTGAGTATTGGCCGAGAGGCAATGTCGGGTTTCAGGGGGAGGACGAGGATAGGTTTTATAGGAGTAATGTGCAGGGGCAGGTGCAGGGGGATGAAGGGGATACGGCTGTGGAAAATGCGGCGGTGTTGGCTGCGGAGGGGACGAGTGGTGTTGCGGGGGTGGGAGGGACGACGACGAGTGGAAGTGCGGTTACGCCGACGGAGACGGGGAAGAGTGAGGGGGGAAGGTATGTTTGATTTGATCTCTTTAATCATTTTTCCCTTTCTGCTGGTCAGGAATCTCACTATCCAACCACCCTCACCTTTTTACACCACCTTTCTTCCTCCTCCTTTCAACCACAACAAACTAACCTCACACCTTAGAACCACACCAACCCTCGGTCTTCTTGTAACGGTCACAATAGCGATGTTGTTACTCTGAGCGAATTGCGTGCAGCGATGGAGGAAATAGCTGTTTGAATGGAGTTCCGAGCGAGCGTTTGAATTCTTCTTTGTAGATATTTAGATGGATACCCTTTGTGTATAGTTATGTGGATATGAAATTTACGATTTAAACCTAAATTATATTATAGTTTTATGATTTTTAAGGGGAGTTACGGATGTTTTACTTTCCTTCTAGAGTCTTTATCCCCTACTACCCCTCTATAAAACCTTTAAATCTTCTATATCTTATTTCTACTTCTAGCCTAATACTAATTCTTATCTTCTCGCTTTTATTAGTATAGAAATAAAGAAGTATAAATAGAGATAACTTACTATTAATATACTATATTTTTTATTTTATTAATAGACTATATATATTATGTTCTAGTTTTATATATATATATTTTTTTTAGTAAGTCTTAGTAGATAGATATTAAGTAGAAGAATAGCTATAAGTAGTAAAAAATAATATACTAGTATATAGAATCTATAATTATATTAGTTATTCTTTTACTTTTAAAGATAGATAGATAACTTTTAACTAAGAATAGAAGAAATTAGAGTATATACTATCTAGAACCCTCTATTAAATTTTAGGGAAAATCTATTTATTAGAATATAGTTAAGAATAAAGAAGTTCTAAGAGGGTTTCGGCGTAAGAGTACTTAAATAGCGGTTACTAGAGTCGTTATTAATAACTTTTTAACTTTTGTTAATAAATCAGCTCAACCTTGATGACTATGCGTCGAAATCAAGCGTGTTGCGGTATACTCACTTTCAAATTCACTAATGTTCGTAATTGCATTTCGCATTAGTGGTAGCTGAATTAGCCAATCTCACTGTTAGTGAGGTAGACGCTGTAGGAAAGATCCGCTGAATTAGCATGATAAGAATCGGCTGTTCATCTAATAACATAAGATTAAACAGTGGTATATAATACCATCTCTCTTCCTTTCTTTTCGATCTGTAGTAACTTATATGTCACACAATACTGGATCCGACCGTGCAAGACATAGCTTATTAGAGGGGTAGAAAGGCATATTCAAGAATGAAAAATCACTTGAAGTGCGTTATGGAAGGCATCACAAGGTCTGTCTCCTTCAACACAATATCTGAGCCCAGCTGACTTTCAGACAGGAACTTTGACGATGCTACTTACTCTGATTTGACTATCACCTGCGGTGTGAGATCTTGGAAAGTCCACCGTGTGATCGTCTGTCCGCAGTCGAAGGTCCTAAATGCTGCTTGCAAGCCAGGATTCAAAGTTGTAGCTCTTGTCCAATTTCATTCCCCCAAACTAACGTTGATAGGAGGCAGAGACTGGAGTTATTCATCTCGATGATGACGATCCTGTGATGGTCGAGACAATGTTAAGATTCTTCTATACTGGTTTCATTACTCGACCCCCGGATGCGCTCCCTTGATGACACACCTTGAGCGCATACGAGATGCAATGGCAGTTTACATCTTAGCTGATATGTACGATGCGGCAGGATTGTTGGAGAGAGCAAGGGGAGATTTTCGCTATGACCTGACTAAGGTTGGCCTCGATTATGGCCTGTGGGTTGCTGACCTCGAAGAAGAAGAAGAGAAGGAGGAAGTAGAAGAAGAAGAAGAAGAACAACAATTCACAGCCCGAGTAAGAATACTTAGAAGAAGAGAAGAGAAACTTATGTGTTCTGTGATCTCGGAAATCTACAACTCGCCTGGACACATCGATCCCCTCAAAGCCGACACCGTCGAGCTCTTCGATAGAAGCTTTGCAGAAATGCTACAAGGACCTAACGCAGACCTCGGGAGAACAGCCATGCTACAGCTGCCTGAATTCTCTTTGGATATGATGGTCTCACTTGCCGCATACCGCAGATTCTGAGGAATTTAACGATTAGGGAAATGTTCTTGACATGGTGGGGATCAGGTCACTCATGTACCTTTTCTGAACTGCAATCATGATTGGGAGGACTAAGAATTGATCAGATGCCGATGATGGGGTAGGGTAACCAAGATGGGGATATGGGAAAAGATGGGATATGGTGGATGATAGCCTGTTACTGTACTGCGAATGGCAAATGGGTAGCATGACAATTATTTGACCTCTACTGTTTTCTTGATAAGTCTCGCCAAGTATGTATAGATACAACATCGTGTCACTTGAATTAGTAAGTGATCAGTAGGGTATTCATCCGCGAAAATTGATCAAGTTATTGGCATGAAGCTTAGCACGTCCTTCGTTCCTTCCCAACTTTGACCGAAATGGGCATATGCGTCTCAACGAATTTCACTTTCCTTCTGTTACCTTCTGTTTGCATTGGTTCTGATGACAACATCAAACATCTTTACAAAGCCTCAAGATTTGGCACAGCAGTGAAAAGGTAAAAAAGCCTCTTCCTCTTTGTTTGACTTATGATGCTGCTGCTGCAATTATCGCACGTTCGACCAAGAAGAAATTCCCAATAAAGAACAAGAATGAAGTAATGAAGTTGCATGAGAGCTCGGTTCACAAATTTCATCAGAACTGCTACTTATTAGAATGAATTTCTGCTAACTTTGGGGGCTGGCTGGGTTTGAATTTCGCACCAGGTTCACAGCTGCTTCACCGACTAGAGAACCAATCCTCACGGTTAGTGTGTGGCTGAGTTGTTCGAAGAGAAGCTCAATAACTTGAACAGCTATTTTCTGCTTTATAAATACTACATGCAGAGCAATCTCAATTCTGCACATGCATTCTCTGAACATTGTTCATCGAACAAGTCAAAGTCATTTCGAGAAGTCAAGACAACACACCCTTTCGCTATTCTCTTTCAACAATAACAAAAGCAGATATGGGTCAGCAAGCATCCAGGGTACCGGCCAAGAAACAGGTCCAAAACACCAAGACAACAGCGGAGATACAGGCCAGAAAAGAAGAAGGTTACTTGGCGACAAAGTCACAAACATCACCCAAGGAGTCGAAGGCACCCGACTTCAAGTAAAAACCTTCTCAACGACTCTTGAACATACAGCTAACAGAACGCAGGAACCCAGCACAGCTCGTCACTCTGTATGCTTCTAAGAGTGCTAATGACAAAAAGTTACTTGTTCACAAGGACTTCGTGTGCCGCTACTCTCCAGTTCTGAATGCGGCATTGAATGGACTCTTTCTCGAAGGCGAAACCCAAAGTTATAAACTTAGCACAACGGACGTTGTGCTAGACATCCTTGTCCAATGGTTGTACACACAAAAAATTGAAGTCGATCAATTTGAGCCGCACCCGGTCATTCATCATTACTATGATCTAGAGCCCTTAACGTGGGCTTGGATCTTGGGCGATGAGCTCATCATGCCTTCGTTCCAGAACGAATGTATGAAAGCGATGATAGCCATCAAAAAGTACAAGTCTGTTATTCTCCCAGACTGCTTTGCAATTTGGAACGCGACTTCTGGAGGCAGTCCGCTACGGGTTGATTTAGTACATTGTGTTTTTCTTACGTGGGGAATTGTCGACAAGAAGCTCGGGACGGAAGAAGGAAAGATTACGTACTTTGAACCAAGTTTCATACCACCAGAAATGATGGTAGCTATGTTTGAGGAGGCGAGGTCTGTGATATCTGCTACTCAGGCCAGAAAACTCAATCTAGAGACCTCTATTGAGCAGTTCAAGGTCAGGGAAAGAAAATGATGGTGGGAAAATGGCTACGAATCACGGGTCGATGAGACAGGTTCGCAACCGGGATTGAGCTCTTTTGATGGGCCGTTACTACCCAGGCCTTTGAGTATCTTTGGGGCGATGTTTAGGGGTCAATTGACAGGATAGTAGACGCGCGATACCAATCACAAGAATAAGAGAGATATTGAATAAAAATTAACTATTCTTGCATTTTTAAGATAGCATACTCTTGGGCTAAGTGTAAAGTGAAATGGGAATCTTCGACGTAAGTGGAGAGAGCTTAGCTTTTGTTCTATCTAAGGTGTATACAAGCCCTTTCCTCTAATTACAACCGGCGACACGAGAGTTTATTTCTGATGCAGATGCGCACTTAACCTTGCTTCAAGCACAAGTGGATCATGAGGTCGCTAAGCAATTTAATTCAGTCTAATTTCACGCCCATCCGTACTGAAAAGTTTCATAAACTAGATGGTATGGAATCCCACATGAACTATTTCATAAAGTTCACCGATATCATCACTTGATAGATGAATATCTACCAGTATAGGCTGACTGGCTTAATTAGTAGTGAATTCTATAACAGCCTCGGAGAAGCTTCATTTCTACGAACAAGTGAGCGGACTAGTGTGTGGCGGAGTCAAACCTATTGTCTCTTAACAGATGTGTAGGTATAAGTTGCCAACTATTTTGCTTCCTATGTGATGTAAACCTTCTTTGCAGAATAATTTTTGTCGTTTAGCCAGTGATAGTAAAACTCTTTACCACTTTATACCTCTAACAAACACAAAACGATAACCTCAACTTCCCATTCTACAACAACACTCAGGCGGCAATGGGTCAACAAACGTCCAGAGAAATGCCTCCAGAAGAGGTGCACCCAAAACACCCGACGGAGGCTGAGATGAATGGACCAGATTTCGAGTAAGTAAGCAGTTAATCATTCCTGAACGTAGACTAAACATGTTATAGTCTCAATGATGTTGTCGCTCTGTATGCCTCCGAGAGGCTTGATGCCAAGACATTCCTCGTCTCTAAAGAATTCGCATCTCGCTATTCCCCGGTCCTGAGCGCGATGATCAATGAACCCTTCCCCGAAAAAGAAAACGTCCCTGAATATTGGAGTATTATTGAAGATAAAAGTCGGGAGGGCGTCAGTCAGGAAAGCGAAAACCTCGAGAGCGAAAGCCAAGCAGGCGACAATCAAGTAGGCAGCAATGAAGAAGGCGAGAGTAAACGCATACGCCATGTGTACATTCTTGGCATCGCCGAAGACGTTCTAGATATTCTCGTCCAATGGATCCACACGCAAAAAATCGACCCCGATCAATTCAAAGAGGATAACGAGGGTTTCCGAGAGATGGAACCCTTGATCCGCGCTTGGATCTACGGTGACGAGCTTCGAATGCCCGCGTTTCAAAACTCTTGCATGGAAGTCATGATCAAGGTCAAGAAAGAGTCGAGACTTGTGATACTGCCAGATTTGTTCGATGTTTGGGAGAAGACTAGAAAGGGGAGTCCTCTTCGTAGATATGTGGTTGATGTTGTTCTGCTAATTTATAGAATTGGTGGAGATGATTACTTGAAGGCTGATGGGTCTGTGGTGACATATAGACCTCATATGATTCCGACGGAGATGATGGTGGCTATGTTTGAGAGGGCGAGAACACTTATTTCGCCTGAACGAAGCGGACGGCTGAATAGGGAGGCGTCTGTTAAGCATTACAAGGTCTCGGAGAGGAATTGACGAGTCGAAACACTGGCCGTGGATATTTGGCGTATAAGATGGGATGCCAGTATACATTGATGGCTTCTGATGGGTCACGATTAGCAAGGATTGTAGGATTGATGACTAGTGGTTGATTGGTAAAATATTGGACTTGTCTTATGAAAATGAAGAATGAGGGGGATGTTGAATAGGAAAAGCTTATTCTGGCATCAAGTAGCTTTTGTTTGGCTGGTTGCCGGCTAGGAATTAACCACAGAAATGAGAAATTCAGACAAAGAACATAACTTCAAGCATCCTCTACCCTCGTGCACAAACAATTAGATATAAAGAGGGAAAATTGATAGGAAAAATTACATTGATCGACAAAGAACACGCTCTGCAACGTTGTGATATGTAAGACACCGATTCAAATACGGAACTATGGTTTGCCATTTCCGGAGTATGACTCTTTTATGTTTCCTGCAGTAGAGTAATTCTTACGACTTTAGCGTTTCTCACCATGACTTGTCTAAGAAAGCATAAGAGCTTTTGTGGTTTACTGGACACAAGTTTCAGCATTGGTAGCTAGCTGAAATGTGCTCGACTACCTATACTAGAATCAAATCAACTTTTTGCTAACCAACGGTTTTCACTTATCTTTTAGAGTTCTGGGAACAACCTAGTCTAAGAAGGTTCTTTTCACTATATAAATAGCTACGGTAGTTAATTTTTCGAGTGCGGTTTGTTATATACGACGTATCGATTGTTAGTTTAGTCGCCTACCATGTAGCTGTAAGATAGAGTCAGACCGTCTTTGCTGCGTGTCATTTTACATGAATACAGCCATACATTCGAAGAAGAGTGGGAATTTTCTGCAAGAACTTCATGATTTGGAGTGGTCAAATACTTACTCCAGGGGATTGCAGGACGGGGGAGTGCGTTAGTGAGAAAATGGGTCACCAACCTGGGTTAGGTTGATGAGTGAAACCTGGAATTGGCACACTCGACAATAATGTCTCAACTTCGTCGAGGCTTTGTGTAGTTTATATGTTATTATAGTTTGTTACTTAATCGTAAAGAAAGAAGGCGATGATTACGTTTCCAAGCGATTGCGTGTTAGCAAACCGCTCTATTTAGACCACAAATCAGCCTTCTCTTTATTAGTTCGATCAATGTTATATGCAAACGATCATAGCGGAAAGTCTCTATAGGCATCATAAATCCATGTACGACAGTGATGGCTTTATCACAAATAGCCTTTGAGACTTCTTGACATAGCCACAGCTAGCACCTGATGACAATGAAATTAGCCCGGAGATAAACATGAGCGAAGTTGGAGGATTCTCATGTGACTATGTGGTAAGCTGTATCATTTCAAAACAATGACAGTGAAATTTTAGACTCGTTGTTTCATTATATTGGTGGATTGGTGGTGAAAATACAGTGAACAGGGGTTTGGGGCTGGTGTTCAGCTGGAACTCAGACCATTTACCCACTGGAACAGTAAAATCAGCAAAGAATAGAATCCATTAAGTTGTTATTTTGTCAAAAGTTCGTGAACTGAATTGTGAAATGTTAATTCAGTTTAAACTTAGTTAGTTTTGCCCAAGTTAGCGAACCTTTGGGTTAAAGATAGTTGGTGAAGTAGAACTGAAAAGGGCAGAGGGGATTGTATAAAAGTGATGATTCAATCGGTCTAGTAGCTTTATTCTGTCATCCTTAATACTTGAACATCACACCCAACCAACGAGAACCAGTATCAACAAATACAGTCGCTTAGTTAAGATACATCCCTCAGACAGTAGTATGACTCAAGATCAAACCCAAAATGTCGAGAACATGTCTCGAGAGGACTATGTCAGCCTTATGGAGACGTTGACGCCGGGGTATGTTCCTCCAGATGAAGAAGTTAGTACTAGCGCTCCGCAAGACCAAGATCATAGCCATGCTGTCGACGATGCACACAGTCTCAATCGTCGCCAGCAGCAGAACCAGAACCAGTACGCAACCTCTATGCAAGACAAGGAGAAGCAGATGGCCTCGGAATCGCAGCCAAGGCAGGCAAAATTATTGGGTGAATCACAACTGGATGAACAAGACGTATCCATGGAAGATTTCCAGATTTCTCATGAGAGTCAGAAGGAAGACCTGGGAGAAGCAGCCAAAGATGATAATCAAATAAGCCCAAACTCGCCTGCAGATCGGCACAATGGTTTAAAGACACCAGACTTTCAGGGACAAAACAAGACCTCAGACAGCCATCCAAATTTCGATAAGGACTCATACCATCTATTTACCTCAGAGGATAAACGTCAGATGGATACCGACTCGAATTATGAACCAGATTCAGAAAACCAAACTGCAGACGAACATGTCAACAGACAAGACCTCGCACTCAACAATCTCGAAGTTTCGGAAGGAAGCCAACGTCAATCTCTGCACACTACCTCCAAGACCAAAAAGCTGTTGAATTCTCATTCTGAACCAAAGTCAAAGTACTTAAACGTGGATCCAAAAATGACTGGACCAGAATCATTCATGAGCAACTTTGCAAGGTATGGGAAGAAGCAACCTCAAAGACTTCCTCGAAAACCAGAAAATAAATCAGAGGCTGCAAAATTAGCCAACGCAGACCCCACCGAGCAGGTAGTCCTCCGTGTCATCGGTCTTGAAGGCCGCGACAAAGACATTTCGATCAACAAATCAGTCGCTACTCACTACTCACCAGTTCTCCGCCGCGCATTCAACTACACCCCTAGCAATCCCCAAAAAATCAAAAAAGTCTACCAAATAGCAAAAACGACCGAGGACGCAGTTCTTACCCTCAAGAGGTGGATGTTGACCGAAGACAAATCGCTTCCTCTTCCTCCTCCATCCAACACTCCTCACGACCCCAACGACGAATTGCCTACGCTAGTCTTGGTATACTTCCTGGCCAAGAAATTGGAGATTGAGAGACTCCAAAGGGTTGCCTTCGTCAGGTTCCATAACTGTGTGAAAGAGAAAAGAGATCTGCCGGCGATTATTCCAAAATGGCTATGGGAGGACACAAAGGAAGGAGATATGCTGAGAGAATCCGTGTTGAACATGTGTACGGATGGCACTGTGAACATGCCGCCGGAGATATTTGGAGATGGGTACTTTCCGCCCGAGTTGGTGGCGGAACTTGTGGGAAGACAAGGGAGATTACGGAAGAAAGATTCAGAAAAACGGATCGTTGGCCGGTCTAGAGGTGCCTCGAGCAAGAAACGATAAGATTGGACAGGTATAAGTTGGGATAGAAGATTCTTATCAGGTAGGAAGCTTGTGGATTATTTGTCTTTCTGTAGATGCCTGATGACTATGATGCTCTTCGAATTTGGGAAGAGATGAACACACTCTTCACCAAGAAGAGAATCCGCTTATCGGTGGCTACTCGCCAAAACAATGATGATTTTGGATACATTGTGATAGTTAAGTAGCAAAAACAATATATCTCTTGAAATCCTCCAGTGCCTCGAAGAATTTTACGCATGTTGTGCAATTCACTGTTTGGGTCCTCTTTTTTACACCATTTAGTCCTCTATAGGCTGACCATAACTGATATCAATCCGAAGTTGTATCATAAGTATGTTTTTGTTCCCCTATAACTTCAAGTATATATCCTGTTCAGCCTAGTTGTTGCGAGACTTAGTTGTCTTTGACCAAAATAAACAAATGTTTATGTTGAAAGTAAGGAATACTTAAATATTTGTTGCCATTCACTTTTTCAAACATTGCGAAGTCGGGTATTGGGGTAAGGTCATAAATCTTGGCCCTACTTTACAACTATAAGTTTAGGGATTCTGTTCTCCCAACTTTTAATCCTACTTCCTACTTCCACCTTCTCACGTAGTCTTGCTACGACTTCAACTCTCCTCAGCCCTAAGTCTTTGAACCGCTTAGAAGAGAATACGATATGATAAATAAGAGTCAGTTAAATAAGAAAACCGAGAAACTAGCACCTGCTACCCCAGAGCCAAATAAGATGGCAAAGAAGGATTCCGCACCACCTGTTGCAAATGGTTCCCCAAAAGTCACCCTCGAGTATGTTCGTACCTATATGTCATTTTGTATAAGTGGTTCATCTTCCTAACTCAATTAAGAGGAGCAGATGTGTTCGTAAAGATTGCGGTCAAAACCAATAATGATCCAAAAATTTGGAATGTACAAAGGGCTTTTCCGATGTTCCATTCACTTGTTATGAGAGATCATTTCAACAATCAGCGCAGACCAAATAGGAACGAAATATATTAGGTGGATTCTCGCGCGTAGATAGTTGAAATACTGGTCAAATGGCTCTATTCTGCCGAGTTGTTCTCAGACGTTTTGGACGTAAAAGAAGAAAATCTGTTAAATCTAGCTTTTAGGGTTTGCCATTTAAACCTCTTAGCCGAGAAAGTTGAAAGTGCACTTTTGAGGCATCAGTGTATTTATACTCTACACAAAACCCTGACCCACACGGGCAACTCACTAAGATTTACTTGATAGTTCTAACTTTGGCCCTGTTTACTTAGAACTAAAAGCTTCGATTATGGTTATTCTAATAGGTTAGTTAATTGTAAGGACACTTAAAGAATTAACCCATTTATAATCTAAACAAGAATAGATTCAATATATACCTAGTATAAACCCTGGAGAAAAACGAGAACGGAAAAAACACAGTTCTGAGTGAACAGGGCCTTACCGTGAACGAGAACTTGAAGTCTCTAGTACAAGTTCTCGTTCTTGTTTTAATCCTCAATAACAGATGTTTTCTACTATAATTAAGAATATTATTATTTTTTTAGCTAAGGTACATCCTATATTATCGGAACACCTTACTTCACGAAAATGTTTAAAGAGATTTTGTTTCTAACAAATTGAAAAATTCAAACGAACCATCGGTAGAATTCGAGTTTCTAGCTTTTTTTTCAAAAAATAAGTACAAGAGCAAGGCTCTCGAAGATCTAACTTATTTATACACGAAAGAAACTTAGATTGATTGTGACCGTGGTGCTACCCTAGTATGAAACCGAGACTTGAGAAAAACCTCAGGTTAGAATGAATTGGGTCTCAGACGTTAATACCTCCCTACGCGAAAGTGTAATCTCGTACACACGAGGTTAAATGACGTTACATACACTTTTGATGTCTACCACGAGTACACCAATAACACGCTCGATTTCGATGAAACCCGAATTGCGACATCGGGCCTACACAGCAGGATGTGTTGGTACACAGAGATGGTGAAGATGGGTCATGACTGTACAAACTCGAAGATGCGTAGTAATCAGATTGGGCACTTGCCATCGGGTGTGGCGATATGAGCCAAATTGCTTCTATCCGGATAGAGTAAAGACAAAATCAAGTAGCTTTGGAAAGAAGCTGAATATTGAGAAGTAAGACTATCAATTCAGAGTGTTGCCAAGTTGTGGGCAAATAATAGCGATACAGTCAGCGGTAGTTTATTCATAGGCTATGATAATCCTCCTCAGGGGCCGGATGGCTGGCACAAATCGTTGTTTCAAAAACCTCTTTTTATTTGATTTATGTCAAAGTCTACGGCAGATTATCAATGGACTTTCCATTAGTTCCATTAGTCTCCGCCTCTGAGTACTTTTTGATATCTACTGGAGTAACCTTTGTATTCCAGCCGAAAGTGTCCTCAATCTTACCCTGTTGGATACCTTTAAGAGTGGAGAGAACCTTGACACAGATTGGACCTGGCTCTTCTGAGTCCGCCTTGATATATTCGGTTGTGACATCGCGAGAAGTTCTTGTAATGGACTTGATTGGAACAAGAGCAGCGGCTGTTCCTGCGGCAAAGACCTCGGAGAACTCAGGTAGCTCTTCGTATTTGATCTAAACAGAGGAGTTAGTAACTAATGAAACTTGAGCGTTAAAGAGTGATCTACCGGCCGAATCTCAACTTCCCATCCGTTCTTTTTGGCAATCTGAAGACAACTGTCGCTGGTAATACTTCTGATGACATTTTTGCTGTCTGGAACAACAACTGTAATTTTTTCTCCATCCTTCTTGACACCAATAAAACCAGATGTGGAAAACTCATCAATTTCACTCCTGGTCTTGCTGTCAAGGTGTAGTGTAATTCCGTAACCTTCATTTCTGGCCTTCTCACTCCATCTTAGTACTGGAGCATAATTACCTCCGACCTTTGCGCTTCCTGTTCCATCAGGTGCAGCACGATCGAAGTCTTCTAGAATAAGTGCCTTGACTGGATGTACCCCATGGTATACACCGACGGGTAAAACATAGACACAGAACATATATTCCTCAGGAGGGTTCAACCCCAACTGGGCGGAAGATCCGAATATAAGAGGACGAATGTACATAGCAGCACCGGTCTCGTGTGGAGGTACATATTCGGCATTGAGAGATACAGCAGCATGAACAGCTTCCATGAATATGTTTTCAGGAACGGGTGGGACCGAAATAAAAGAGGATGAATGCTGCATACGAGCGGCATTGTCTTTCGGGCGGAAGATGGTTATATTGTCATCTGGAGTTCGGAATGCCTTAAGACCCTCATATGCTTGTTGGCCATAGTTCAAGGCTGGTGCCATCCCATGTAGGCGGAGGAAAGGGTCCGTTATGAACTTTGGTGACGACCATTCTCCTGTCTTGACGCTGTAATGGGACTCGATATGGCCATTGACTGGGTTGGTCTATTGTCAGTAATAGATATGATCGGATGGCGGGGTGTTGAAGCTATACCTTCTCGGACTTTGAAGCCAATATCACTCCAGTCAATTGAGCTTACTGGTGGTGGTGGGAAAGACATGATTGTGATTTTGGAGGAAGTGGGAAACTACCGGATTATTTGGACCTTTAAATGAGGAGATGCGGTGACTCTCAATACTAATACGAGGTAGTGCTGAGGTGAGTTGTTTCGTCGGACAGACATTTGGTAATTTTTATTTTCTGCGAGGTCGGAACAAGAGGCGTGCATTTAGTAATCGCAACATGCAGACGGGTTCAGCGGGGTCGATTGCAGGGGTATGCGCGACACGCGAACATCGCCCCTGAAGGATGGTCCCGCCGTATTTTGGGACCAGGTCCCGGCCTTCGCCATCCTTAGGTAATTCTTGGGTCGCTGAACTGATCAAAATGAAACGATAATAACACTCGACAGTATTTGTCGCACTTTCCTTAAATTCGTCGCTCTCGTCAATTCTCTTAAGTATATGATCCTTTAATTACTAGTTTCGTCTTTGCGGTTCTTCTTTGTTCATTGAATTATATCCTATTCGCGACGTGGATATTGCGCCTCCGCCGGTAGAACAGCTTCACAGTAAGCATATTCGAGAAGCTCCATTGCTCACAACAAAAACCGCAAGAATGCCTCGAAAACAGCACTTATCGTTCCTGATGGCTATAGCCTTTTGCGCTTTCCTAGGAATCACGTTCGTGCTATCATCTCGAAAAGAGACGGACGGGCCTGTCACAGCGGAATTTGCTGCCGCAAACCAGCAAGCGCTGAGCGTCAGCGATGGAATACTGAAGGGAGAGAACAAGGCAGCAAAGATCGAAAATGCCACATTGAAGTAAGATTCAGCGTAACTCTTACCCGATTTGTGCTAATGCTCGAACGTAGAGCAGAACTGGGCAACGCCTCTTGGAAACTCCTACATACGATGATGGCAAAATTCCCCGACAAGCCTACCGACGAAGACAGCGCGGCCTTGAAATCCTACATTCATCTCTTTGCACGGTTGTACCCATGTGGAGATTGTGCGCGACATTTCCAGAAGATATTACAGAAGTTCCCACCCCAGGTAGCAACACGATCCACAGCTGCGGCTTGGGCATGTCATGTCCATAATGAGGTCAATAAGAGGCTGAAGAAGCCTATATTTGATTGCTCCAATATTGGGGATTTCTATGACTGTGGGTGTGCAGAAGATCCAGTGGAAGGGAAAGAAAAAGGGAAAAAGGACTCTTTTACGCCGTTGACCTTAAGTGAGAACGAAGGGTAAGTCCTCAAAACTGTTGGAACTTTTATTAATCCTAACATATAGCAGCTTAACTCGTGGAGGGTGAAACACTACACCACTGTATTATTCTGGATGTTTATGAGCAATTGATGGCCAGCTGGAATTTAAACACAGCACATATACCAAGGAGTTAGAAGGAGTTGTGGGCATTTTGAGGATTGAATGAATGGGATCCTACTTCCCATAATATAGCAATAGCAGCTAAAATGTACTCATATATTTATCTATCTATTTTTCTGTTTGAAATCGGTGATCGAGTGATATGGACTGCCAGCTAATCTAGGGACGCATCGGGTCACGTGCTAGCCTTACCTGCGCGGCTTCGCGTCTGAGTTGCCTGCAGCTTGAACATCCAAAGCTCAATCGACGACAACAGCTCCATCAAGTTCTACCAAGCTTCCAACCTACCAATTCTACATCCCATCGAATCTCATCGAGCTCTTTATATACCAAGACAGCAAATATGGAGTTTGGAAACTCAGGAATGCTGAACGAGGGTACTGTTTACTTTTACCTCATGTTGCTATTGCAGGATAGCTAATATGGCCCACAGATGGAATCCATGTTGATATGGACCGCCTAAAGAAGGGCGAAGTCAAGTATTACAGCTGCCTCCCTTATATCGAGTATTGCTAACATGTGTATAGCTTGGGAACTTCGATGTGCGCCTGCACCCAACGTGCATCAACAGAATCATAGCTAACTTTGCTTCAGCATGGCCATCAACTTCAAAGACGGTGTCATTCTGGGTATGTTGGTCCAAAGCTTATAGCACTTGGTTCGCAGACTCATTTGGTTCAATAGGCGCGGACAGTAGAACAACTACCGGAGCATACATCGCAAACCGAGTGACAGACAAGCTCACACAAGTCCACGATACAATCTGGTGTTGTCGGTCAGGGTCGGCGGCAGATACACAAGCGGTCGCGGATATTGTTCATTACCAGTTGGGGATGTATGCCATTCAGAATGGTCGACCACCAACCACACAAACAGCCGCTGCAATGTTTCAGGAGTTGTGCTATGAGAATAAGGATCGGCTGAGGTAGGGTTTACGGGTTGATATGGGTTGTACAATTGCTGATTGGTGCTAGTGCTGGCTTGATCATTGCTGGATGGGATGAAAGACACGGAGGCCAGGTTTACTCAATACCACTCGGAGGCTCGTTACACAAGCAGTCATATGCCATTGGAGGATCTGGCTCAACATACATCTACGGATACTGCGACGCCAACTGGAAAGAAGGAATGGATGAGGAGACGGCGGTCAACTTTGTCAAAGGCGCATTACAAGAGGCTATCAAATGGGATGGAAGCTCAGGAGGAGTGATCAGAATGGTGGTCTTGACCAAGAAGGGGGCTAATCGCCATCTATATCTGCCAGATACCGATTACACAGTCCGTCACGAATAGGCAAAATGTACAATTAGGAAAGAGCATTAATGGCATGGTGTTCGAGGCGCATTTTCCGGTATTTCTACAGGGTTACAATAGCGGTCAAGCAGCACAAACATTCCCAGAAAGGTAGCGGTGTAGGGCGGAAGGAATGCATGCGTGCGCTGAAGATGTCGTGATATTGGTGAAGAAAGTTGAGGCCAGAAGTTTTGACCAGGCGAGTTGAGGCAGCGGTACCAGAACGATAATGTGGGTGTTAGTGTCGACTGCTGACTGCATTGATCTTCCATCCACGGTCGCACAACACAAGATCCCGGACTGGACATTCAACAAGCGGTTGAAGCTTCATCTGCCTTTCTTCTCCAACTTCAGAATTCGGCCAAGGAAAGCGCCTGCCTCATAAACCAGGAGTGCGCCTCGTGTCAGTGCCTGCAATCCTTACTCGTGGAAGGTCCGGTACAGAGCGCAAGTAGCACAACATCTACCAACAAAGCTCCAATAGAAAGTAATCATGATTTCTTAGCCAGATCTGAAAATACCCGTGTCCGCGTCCGCGACTATCCCAGCCGTATTTCTTGGGGCTTGCAGTTGAGTCGAGATTCCCCGAAAATTAATATATCTTTTGAGCCGACCGACAACTTTATTCTCTCTTACAAGACTCACTCCTGGTGCGATTTCAGCGGCCACCTAATCGCTGCCGATCAGCTACTGACATCTTGTACACTTCCTCGTCCTCCTATTCGTGTGTGCGGATCGAACGGGGGGGTTCTTCGTCGTCATCTTGCGCTTCGGGAGAGCTTGAGTTGCTGCTAAGCGGCAACTTTTCTTGCTGGTTTCTGGACCCTTGGCTCGTGCAGTGGATCCAGGTTTAGTCGTGCGGTCCGTCGTGCCAGACCAGAAGACATCTTCTACAACACCACCACGTCGAACTTCACGATATCGGCCACCATCGCGTCGATTGCTCTCTCGCGTTCGCAGCAGGCTTGCGCACACTTCATCTTCACGTTTGGAACTAGGAATGCTGCAGGTAAGCAAAGCTCTTCTCTCGCTCGTTCGATAAGCCTCGTGGGGGTACAACAATTCGATGTCATGTAATTCACGCATGGCTGTGCGTTTCAAAGATTCGTGAGGCTACGACAGCGCATAGGGGTTTGCGCGGCTCGACACACATGTGCTTTCGACGCGTGAATTGCTCAACTCTCTCCTTCGCCTTGTGGAGGTTTATATATCTGTCACCGCTCGCTGCCAGCCTCGAGCCACTGCTTTTGCAGCTGTCTGATAAAGCTATCCCTCCCTCCCCTCACCCTTCGCACAATGAGCAATCCTCGCATCATTCACGAATCCGTACTATTTACTTGATTCTGCAACGTGCTGCCCACCACCTACGTGTCTACCACCACTTATGAAATACACGCTGATAATACCCCGCAGCATATCTCTCCGTTGATACACATAGTAGCCTGATATGGCCGCGGTGATCAGCGATTTCGGAAGTGAATTTGGAACCGACTCCTCTCGGTCCCACTACCATCGCGGTTTGAAGAACATGCGAAGCAATTCTGGCCACCTGCGTGCTTCAGCCGAATCGCCATACCGATCTTCCTCTCGAGCCGAGCCTCCTCCAAGCCCTCGATTTCAACCGCATAACTCGCCAGGAACCGTAGAAGCAGTTCCATCAAACACACATAGACGGGCGGCTCATCATGAGTCTGGGCCAGAAATAGTAGACGCGCCGATGGAGAAGAAAGAGCAGCAGCCGTCGCCACCATCGAGCTCGAGTCCAAACCCGAATTCGTATTCCAACCCGCGCTTTTCCAGCCAGGAAAACATACAGAAATCATACCCTCAATCCGGCGCTTCCCCATTCTCGGAGAATCCAGCTACAAAGTATCATTCGCCTCATAGCACATCAGAAGATGCAGCACAGCCCCTAGAAAGGGCTGCAAGGTCCCTGGACGATGTTAAAGGTTATACTGGTGATACAATCAAAGTGCGGGATCTGGCTCACATCCAGAGCTTCGCAACAGAGGAGTTTTTAACAAGGGGGAGACCCGGAAGACGGAGAGCTACGGACGACTCCACCGTCAAATATGAGATAAGCGGGATGCCAATCGCAGACGTTATAGAAATGGTTGCAGGACTTCTGACCAAAATAACCACTACCAACGACCAGCAACACGAGAACTTACACAGGCCATTATCGTCTGGAGAAGGGGGCAGCAATCTCAGTGGACTGTCATCTAGTGTCTTGGCATTCCATGGGAAGAACGTCCCCAGCATCACCATTTTAAGTTACTTGAGCCGTATACACAAGTACTGCCCGACAACATATGAAGTCTTTCTTAGTTTATTGGTATATTTCGATCGTATGACACACCATGTCAACGAAGCTCCTATGCAAGCTCTAAGACGGGGCTCGACAATAGACCAGGACACCTCCAGACCATCTTCTAATTATTCTGCTGAAGGTTCAGACTTAGCCGATAGTCCACCTGCCACATCTAAGAGTGTTCCGGAGTTGGACTCGGATTTTCACAAAGCCCAGTACACTCACTCAGCGGCAGCCCCGGAGCCTAGTTCTGCTGCATTCCCGCTTTCCCATTTCTTTGTTGTGGACAGTTTTAATATCCATCGACTTGTGATTGCAGGTGTTACATGTGCTAGCAAGTTCTTTTCGGATGTATTTTACACCAATTCAAGATATGCAAAGGTAATCTTCTCTCATTGTAACCATTGACATTTTTACTAACATAAATTGTTAGGTTGGCGGTCTGCCACTTGCGGAACTGAATCATTTGGAGCTTCAATTTCTTCTTTTGAACGATTTCAGACTCTCGGTTCCTGTGGAAGAGCTCGAAGCTTATGGTACTATGCTAGTAGAGTTTTATGCTCGAGAAGTTATTGCTCAACGAAAGAGTTCTTTGTCAGCAACCTCCGATATGGCGTATCCAGACGAACCACGAAACCCACCTTCGCCATGAACAGCGAACGAGGGCTATTTACCATGATCTTTTTGCGATCCAATTACTCGCCAGGGGCGGTTGTTGAGAACGATGAATGCAACGTGGGATATGGATAGGATTCGGTTGATGAATTTATGTTTATTGTGGCATTTTTCATACCCGAGCGCTCTCCCACGACTTAACGAAACAATATAATAGAATCTTTGTCCCGACTCAATCGACCTCCCAACCAAATTACACCTACCACCCCCTATCCTCAATAAACGCCTCTTACAATACATGCGATGTTTTTGTTAACTGCCAACTTCGGATACCAAATACGTATTAGCGGAACGAACACTTACCGAATTCCAAACGCCCCTGCTTCATGTGTCTCCAGCATTTAGCGAATTCATCATCTCTTTTTACATCCTAACGTTTCTGATTTTGATTGCCGAATTAAGGATGTGAAATCCGATTGGGAAAGCCGAATTTTCGCGGCCTTTGTCCATTGAATTCGCCATTGGGGTAGGGAATTCGGTTCCCATGGATGGATTACGACAGTATATGGATAGACTTGGTCGGCGTTGGGTATGCGTGTGCTTCCTTGGCGAGGGCGTTTAGATGGAATTGTTTAGGGAACCCTCTTCCGTGCGCTTTTTCTCTTCTTTTTTTCATTGTTCGATTCTTTTGGTCTGGGTATGTAGGTTGTGAAATGCGTTTTAAATCGGGGGTGTGCGGATGGATTAGGGGAAAGGCATGGGGTTAGTGGGAGGGGTGGTGGACTGGCTGGGGCGGTTGAGGGGATAAGCGTTTAAGGGTTCAAGGGTTCGAGGGTTTGAGGATGGATATAGGATAGAGGTGGGAATGAATGTTGAATGGCATGCATATTTGAAACCAATCATTATAATACCAGATATGTCTAGGTTCTACTTTCTTTCTGGGGGGTGGTGATTTGAGTGTCTCTGAAGATCCTTTCTTGTCGACTCAAATGGTTGGAAGTTTTGACGATTGGCTCGATGGTGAATCTGACACCCTGGGCACCTTGAGACTGGGCGAAGGCTTAGAGGATCAGCCAATAGACGTTCCACTCAAAGGAGAAGTTTACGGTGGACTTGGCTTTGCTTACGCTTGTTCACGCCGGTCTTGCTTATGGGTGGAACTTTGGTTATCTCTTGAATGGTAATTTGCCAGTGATTTGCCCAAACTAGAAGTGAGGGAAATCAATCAATGTTCTAGCCTTGCTATACTTTCTGTTGCGCTATATGTGACCCTGTGATGTACAAAACGTTCAAGATGACACAAGTTTCTTTTTCTTTTTGGATCTTCAACTCTTGCTGGCTAGAGAAAAAATAGTGTCGTCAAGAACATTATAAGTTTATGAATATGTGGCCAAGTTATAGACTGCTAAATGTGCTCCGCAACCTCCTGTTTCCTTCTTCTTTGTTCACCATTAGCAATATACCGAGCTCTTTCTATCGCTGCGAACCTACATCCTCACTCCCAGAAGAACTCTCAGCTCCACTCTCACCAGAAGAAATGGTAACTACAGTACTCTCACGAGCCGTCCCCAAACGCGCAGTACTCTGCTCATCAACAACAGTACCCTCTTCCTCGCCATCTTCATCATCCACAACATCCCCATCAATACCCTCCATCCTCCTTACAAACTCCTCCTGCAACTTCCTCAACCACCCCAGCATAACAGCCCCCTCCATCGGACTATCAAGCGCCTGTTTCAGCGTCTCCCTTAGACTAAGCACCAACTTCCTACGTTTAGCAATAGCTACAGCCTTTGAGGATTTGCGTTTCGCTTCGACTTGTTCGTCTAAGGCGTTGGTGACGCGCTCTGCGACTTCGAGGACTAGTGGTGGGAGATCAAGGATCTTGGCGAGGGCGAGGCCGTAGTGTTCGTCTTTGACGAAGGAGGAGCGGACTTTGTAGAGCATGGTTATGGTGTTTGCTTCGGAGGTGTCGACGGCTAGGTGTTGGTTTACTACGCCGGGGCGGTGTTGCATTATTTGTGCTGGGCTTGTGAGCAATAGATAGGCTAAAAGAAGTATCGACAGAACATACCAAGCTCACGGAAGTGTGTAACAAACCATATCAAGGCTTTGCTTTCTACGAGAGTCTCCGCGATGCTCAGAGCAATTGCCAGACCATCTCTGGTGCTAGTACCCCGTCCGAGTTCATCAATTATTGCAAGACTATGTTCGTCGATACTTCTATGAAGAGAAGCTGTTCAGCAAAATCCAATGAATGAAATCCAATGGCATACCTTAAAATAAAAGCCGTTTCCCTCATCTCGGATGCAAACGTAGAGATATTAGCCTCGATACTGTCGTCCACCGAGACTCGTGCGAAGAGCTGGCGAACGATACGGAAACGAGCGAATTGAGCAGGCACAAAGCTCCCGGTTTGGGCCATCACACACATCAATGCAATGGAACGGATGTATGTACTTTTCCCACTCATGTTGCAGCCTGTTATAATTTGAAAGCGTGTCTGGTTGGTTGCATAGACGTCGTTTGGTATGTAGTCGCCTTTACTTACCTACGAAGATTATTAATATGAATGGTCAAAGGAAATAGGATCCTACCTTCTCCTTGACTGGATGACGGCCAGCTTCGATCATAAGACAGTCGCCAATCTCAGGTTTTACATAGTCATTGGCAATCGCCGAGTGTGCAAAAGCAGCAATCATATCGAGTACTGCTATACTCTCGCATACCTTGAAAAGACTGGAGATCTCTCCCCTGATATCATCTAGCAAATTTTGAATAGTTTGATCACTTGTCAAAACTACTTCAGCATGGGAGTCTGAGATGCGCTGGTTGAGTTTCATTAGGTCTAAAGTTTGGCATTCGATGAAATCCTTCTTCCGAAATCGATTTATCAAGATTTCTGGTATGGGCTTGTCATCAAAATCGCTCGCTAAAACTCTCAGATAGAACTGTCGAGAATTTTCGTATCTTGTTTCTGCGTTCATTTCGTATGATTCTTGAAATAATTAGCCAGCACAGATAACGAATATTTTTAGACATACGGTTGATCTCGCTAACATGCTGGTAAACATCTTCGGTAGCTTCTTTGAATGTCTGCCGAGCCACGTCGAGAAAGCCACTGACACCAGACTATGGAAAACGGTAAGTTTTACATCTATTCGCCCGCTGAGAAGTCATACCTTGACGGCGTACGTCCGCTGATTCCGTAAGTCTAATGGAGATTTCTGGTAGCTAACATCATCATTTATGACATCCTTTATCAATTGAACAGTGTAGTCGAGGTTTGCTGGGTTGCAATACTTCTGGATCTCAGCCAGAAGCTCCGAGCGAGCTCCTGCCAGTATTTCAAAGAACTTTGGAGCTGTCTCGACGAAGTTTTTCAGCATTAGGATGTTATTGATCGATTGCTCAGAGTGTCGAGGATCAGGTTGCGTAGGAACAATAATGAGCTACGACCGTTAGTCGAGTACCTGGCCGTTGGAAAAGGGATTATGCCAGTGTCAACAACTTCTCTATATCTAGCAAGCCTTTCAAATCTAGACATTGTCAGATTATAATTCTCATTTGTATTGAATAACGTACTCTGCCTCGTCTGGTAGAACATATCATCATTCGCCATAAGCTCGTCAACAGCGTTGTAACGTTTGCGAAGAATATCAGGCTGGGTGGATGGTTGTAGAATCAGACTCCGAAGATGTCGAGAACCCATGGGAGTAAGTGCTTCATTCATCAGACCAAAGAGACAGTGCTTCGACTTGGCATTTTGTATATTCTGAATAAGTTCCAAGGCTTGAATCGTAGAAAGATCAATCATCATGGATCCCTCCGATGGCTGGTAATTGATTCGAAGAGAATGAAATGCGAAAGTAACCGACATCTTCAGCTCTACGTACTTCAAGGCCTGCAACAGAAACATCGTCAGACACAAGAGAGGGATGCTGTAATAGATGATCGCAGCCTACCGCAGAGAAACAGCATGTTGCAAAGTAGTTACCTCCAATAGCTACTTTCAACGCCTCTAGGTCCTGAGGAAAGGCCAACTGCTGAATGAACTCGAGCCCTGACGTTTCTGACCAATACTTACGGTCAACACCTACAAGTCTAGCACCGATGACATTCTCCTCAACAATCTTGTACATCTTTGACATGATATTCGGAGGAGCGGCGGTTGCCACAATGAGAATCTCGGTGGGTTCAAAGACATTGAGCTTGTTAATCGTACGGGCGTAGAATTGATTGTCACATATTTGACTAAGAACAGCCTCACCAGTGGTGGTGTTTACAAAAGCAAGACCGACAGTGGGAGTAATCCCCCGACCCTCGCTGATGGCGCAAATGATCTGTTGAGAATCGCCGCCTCCAAAGACAGAGCCTGATCGAGAGCTTCTGCGGGTTCCAGGTCTAGCTGTTCCCGGGCGCGTGGTACTTGGACGACTCGTACCTGGACGGTATGTGGAGGGCACCTGCGAAGAGATCGTGTATCCATATTGGTTGGTAGAAGCACTGTAACTATTGGATGTTGATGGTCGAGGATTCGACATCATGGTTGATCTCTAAAGGTTTTGATCAGTGCTGAGAGTTAGTGTAGTATCAAAATCTAGTCATATCAACAATCTGATGTGGTAGAAGTATATCAGAAATTCCCGTCAATCCATGGAAAATCGAGCGGGGATCAATTCGTCTGATGTGATGAGTGAAGAAGATTGAGAAGACGTTGAAACAAGCAGGTGGGGAATGGCAGGTGTGGGCACGGACCATGTGGACATGTGCAAGGCTGATAACCCTGGAGAAATTTATTTTTGTGAATCGCAAACTTCCAAAAGATAATAGCGACATTTATTTGTATGCCAAACGATAATTCATAGACACAATTCTCTAGAAATAGAATATACCGTGTCTTTAATCCTTTTCAAACCAACTGCTTCGAGAGAAATCTAGACTTATACTGCCGACGCTGTTATGTCGACCGTTCTACCCCCACCAAGCAAGCGGCAGAGGACCGATGCTGCTGAGAAGGCGCGCTTGCAACAAGACATTGAGGAAATTCCAAGTGATGCCGGAAGTTTGAGACTTCAGTTCTATGACGAGACTACTGGATTGCCGATCGGTAATGGACCAGTTCTGGTGCCAGTTGCAGACGCGACTCCCAAAAATCTCGAGCTTCTCTTAAACACTTTGCAAGGTCATGTTAGTACACAATCTGACTGCACGGATTTCAAGTGACTATGAACCAGCCGCTGACATTGCAAAGGATCCTTCCGAATACATACCTTACCGCTTTACCCTTCCAGTCCCAGACAAAAAGACATCCGAAACGAATACGACTGCCTTTCCAGCCAACATATACAAAACCCTGATTACTCCAGGCTTAATTAGTACGGAAGAGGTTCAAAACATATCAGCCGCGCCGCAAGCGGTCTTCAGAGTTCAGGCAGTGTCGAGATGTGCTTCTTCAATACCAGGTCATGGAGAGGCTATACTTGCAACCCAATTTTCACCGAGGACGTCCGCGAGAATGGTCAGTGGGAGTGGAGATCATACCGCTAGGATATGGGACTGCGATACGGGAACTCCAGTACATACTCTGAAAGGTCATACTAGTTGGGTTCTTGCTGTCAGTTGGTCTTCGGATGACTCGCGAATTGTGACAGGGAGTATGGATAACACAGTACGAATGTGGGACCCGAAAACAGGCAAGCAAGTCGGCAACACAATGAAAGGGCATACAAAGTGGATAACGAGTATAGCCTGGGAGCCATATCACGCTCAAAGGCCTGGAGAACCTAGATTTGCTTCTGCTTCCAAGGACTCAACAGTTCGGGTCTGGTCAGCCAACCAGCAAACGATCGACCTGGTACTAAGTGGCCATAAAGGTTCAGTATCTTGCGTAAAATGGGGTGGAACAGGTTTCATTTATACCGCATGTCACGACAAGACCGTAAAAGTGTGGAATGCCAAAGACGGAACACTGGCTCACACGCTAAACTCTCACGCTCACTGGGTAAATCATCTAGCGTTGTCTACAGATTTTGTCATCAGAACAGCCTTTCATGATCATACAGGCAAAATTCCGGGTACCGATGAGGAGAAAGTTGCCAAGGCAAAGGAAAGATTTCTGAAGGCTGCTACAATTCAGGGAGAGGTCGTCGAGAGACTCGTATCTGCAAGCGATGATTTCACAATGTATCTTTGGGATCCAGCAAAGGGAACGAAACCTGTGGCAAGACTGTTAGGTCACCAAAAGCAAGTCAATCATGTTACTTTCTCTCCTGATGGACTTCTGATTGCATCCTCTGGATTTGACAACCACACAAAGGTATGGAATGCAAGGGATGGAAAGTTCATAAATACACTTAGGGGACATGTGGCCCCTGTATATATGTGTGCATTTAGTCCTGACTCGAGGTTGCTGGTAACGGGTAGTAAAGACACCACATTAAAAGTGTGGGATATGCGGACCCATAAGCTGGCTGTTGGTAAGCTTCCCTTCTCGTCTGACCAATTTGCAAACATCTAACTCTTGTTCTAGATTTACCAGGTCATAAGGATGAAGTGTATGCAGTTGATTGGAGTCCTGATGGACAGAAAGTGGGAAGTGGTGGAAAAGATAAAGCTGTGCGGATATGGAGACACTAAAGTAGTTACCAATCCCAAAAAGATTTTCTATGTTTAAACATCTAACCAATGTTCTCGCTTTTGAGCTGAGTTGTCTTCTGTGATCGATTTTCATAACCTTCGCATGTTCCCCTTGCTTTTAGAAGTACAATGACATGAAGTTCGTCAATGGATCTGGATGGAGGCAACTCTCAAACTACAATCAAGCAATCCCGCATCGAGATCCCGCTTATTGTCGCGGTCAATACAACGGGAGGCGGTTGTGAAATATTTCTAAGATTCATTGATTATCTTCTCACTATCTTACAACTATCACCAGAATCTCCTCAACAAAGGTTGATCTTTTGCAGCTATTACATATCTCCAAATTGAGCATTCCGGTCATATTATCACCAATGAAAACATCCAACCGTATCCCCTCACAAAGATATTGTAAAATGCGTAGGTTGTTGGGTATGTACAATGTCGAAGATTGATCGTTGCCCCGTCTATAAAACCCTTTATCGCCCAGATTTTCCGCAAGGTTCATCGCTGAGTTCAAAAGTCAGACCCGGAATTATCTGTCTAATGTCAACAGCATGTTTGCAAAGCCTAGAAACCTTTCTTAGTTAAGCCCCTCGGAACTCGAAAGCGGGGTTTCAAAGGATCAAAGCTTACCCGAGTCAATCTAGTAATTATAATTATAATACCGATCCATATTCGGCATAACCGCATTCAAAGCCTTCGGGTCAACCTTCGATTTGACCGCACGCATCATCTCGAACAACATCTCTTTGGGAATAGGTGGTGGTGGTTCCTCCATGTAAACAGAAGCCGGGAGAAAGACAACAGCTTTGTCGATGAAGTACTGACGAGACGGACCGCCCTTCTTGTAATGATCATAGATCCATCCGAAGATCTCCACAGGGAGATAGTTGTAAAGATCAATCGCCGCGTCGAACCAATCAAAGCATTGCTTCCTTAATAGTTTGATCTCCATCTGATTTGCAAGGGTGACCAATTTCAGACGCCGCATCATCTCGAAGCCGACTTTGTCCTTTGGCATGTGCTTTTTAGTCGGAGGGTTTACTTGAGCCGTCGTGAGGAAAATGGCGAGGAGTTTGACGGTGTCTACTTCCCAGTCTGGAAATACCAGTTCGTCGTGTTTTGCGAACCAGATACGCATAGGTGCTGAGTGGAAGGTGGCGTAGACTTTCAGCATTGGGAATTTTTTGAGGTTCTTGCCTGTGCCGGCGATTAAGGTCACTGTTTCTTTGGTGGTTCTGAGGGGGTTAGGTGAGATGGCTTGCTGATAGGTAGGAGATGGCTTACTCGGGAGTGATCAATGGACCAAGTGGACTTGGAGAGGGTTTCTTGAAGGGGTTCATGTTGAGTTGATGGGGGGATCTTGAGAGATCGAGGGTAAGGGATGGTGGAATGAGAGGCAGGAGTTGAAAACGGGAGCTTTGAAAGAGTGTGATGTGGAATTTTGGGTTGTAGATAGAAAATGGATCAGCGTGTAGCCAGATCTGTGTATTTGAAGATTAACCTGCTGACGTAGCCTCCAAATTTAGTATGTGTAGCACAAGTGAATAGTGGTCAGCGCCATTATTTCCATTCCCTCTTGAAATTAGAATCCTCCTAGGTGTATTGTCAACCCAAAACTTGGTGGAGTAGGTATCAGAAAACTATGAATGATCTCATATCCAGAATACGAAAAACAGATTCATCTATGTGTACTATTCTATGGTGTGGAATACTTTTTACGCTTGTAAGTACCTCCCGTTGACGTCGGCGCCATGATTCGGCAAATTTTGGCACAATAACTTTACTCTTGGCTTGTACGGAAAAGGACTCCAAACTTAATTGGAGGCTTATATTTCATTCCAAGTTTTTTAATTATGTCCTTGTCCTTCAATGTCTTAAGAAAGGACCTCCGACTCTGAATCTCAGGTACTATATTTGGTAAGCCCCAAATTTTGGCCCATCTCCGACGTGACAATTGGGTTGTGTTTCATGCATATCTTGAGTGTAGAGGGTACTTTTTGTTCTTGTCTTTGAACTCGTTACAAAAAAGTATCTGACTCTAACTGCTAGGTACTATCTCCGATAAGTACACAATCCCAGATCATATTTGAATTGTCACCTGGTTGTAATGAATTCGTACTTTGAAATTAGGAGGACGTTGTTTGACTTTTTACTTTTCCACCTGTATTCTCGTCTCTGACTCTCTTACATCAAGAAGACTTGATCTGGGTCATAAAGTTCAAGGTTCTGTCAATCCATATTTCATTATCTAGCATACATCTTGATGTAAACAGTCGCTTATTGCAGTCTCACAAACTCTTCAACTCCCGCTATAGCTATCTTCGTCCAATCCATTAAAGTTGCTATCTTACAAGTGTTACGGACTCGATCTATTGTTATGACAAATCAAACCACCAAATTTTGTAATTGACGACTCAACTCAATGACACAAAAAACCAACGATCTCCAACATAGCATCAACCGCTTCTCATTGAACACATCTTGAGCAATACTCTCTTCAGCTGTGAACCTAAAACAGACTGTCTGTACATATATGCTTTAGAGTCTGTAGTCAGTAACAAAATCTATCTTCTTCTCTGGTTCTTCATGCTTACAATCGTTTTTATAACATCTCAAACATAAAATCTCTCTAGATGGTAGGAAGGGTCTAAGCAGCCTATTACATTTTGTATATCCTTTTGCCCCACCATGGTGGCCATCATCTCCATCAACATTGTCTTAGAGAACTTCTCGCAACGAGCGCTAGTAAAGAATGTAGCAGGCAACTGGCAGCATAATTCCAAGAAGTACGAACGAAGTGAGCTTCCCGGACTCGTTCCTTTCCAAATTCGAGGAAACTCTTCAATTGCAATAACGCTGAATCTCCTCGAAATCTGATGGATTACATAGAGGGATTGGTTCATTAGGCTTGTAACTCCCAAGTCACGAGCCATAAGCCACAATCTGACATACTTGCTGATGGTCTTGCCGGCATCTTCTTTTTCCACAGTAGGGGTTGTCAATTGTGCAGTGTAGACCCACTGAACAAATATCGCAATAATATCGTATGCATTCTCCGGCCAACATATTTCGTGTTGTTGGTTTTGGATGGCTTGCTTTTTGAATATCTCACGTATGAAAGGCGAGTGGTGCGAGAGAAAGACTCTCTGGACTTTCCATGATGCAGTGGTTTTGTTCGATTTCGATCCAGCATAGATGATGGCGACCTGTCGTGATGCACTTTTGATGTCAGCCAGAGGTGCTGGGGACGAGAAGACTTTACAAGAGTAGCTTACTGGGGAGTAAACTCAGAGAGAGAGGGAGGGGGAGGTGGAAGCGCCCACGGCTTTTCTTCAGCCTTTTTAGTCTCTGCCTCCTTCCTAGGCCTGAGTGGCGTAGGTATCTTTTTAGGATTTGGATCATTCTTGGAATTGAAATCACCCATCATGGTAGCTCTCGTAAGCTATCGGTGATGTTTTGCACAGAAAAGTTGGAACCTCTGGCATGGAACGAAGAAGTAGGTGCGCGGAAAGTACATGGATGAAATGAAAATTTCGCGACGAATGACGAGAATTACAATGTGGGGATTAGTCTGAGATTTGAATTTAGTAGTACGTGCACTGCTTGTTTGCCGCACCATTTGAATACTAAAGAAAGTGAATGGGAAAGCTCAGGATCCTGCTTTTCTGTTTTCGCAGAATCCTCTAGCAGATGGAAAAATATTACATACCTTCTTAAGGCCAAGTTAACTTGAGCGACCTTGACAAATACCTTTTCGGATAGCCATAAGAGTCCTGCAGCTGATAATTGGACGAAGAAGTTTTTGAGCTTACCAGCAACCCCCAACAATCCCTTTTCACTTTCAAGAAGAATGACCTTCCTGCGCCATTCGAAAGGCATCGCACACCACATCATCATATAATAGAATGCACGCAAATGTTTCCGTCCACGTACTACGAATGATGATAAAAGCCTGCTGACTCTACCAGAGATATCAAGAAACGCTTTGAGTCGTATGTTGAAAGATTTCGTTCATCATCTGTTAAAATATCTTGGATTTAGAAAGAATGTTCTCACGAAAGTTCAGTTCCAGCATATTCATATAAGACGATCAATTTGCAGTCTAATGTAGCCCACCGATAGACATACGTTTGAAGCTTGATAGGTTTAAAATTTATAGATATCACGGTAGTTGACCTTCAAGACTTTGCTGAATCGGTATCTGAATTATTCGAGGGAGGAAGACAAGAATCCATTTGCCCAAAATCTTGCACAAGCCAAATTTGCAAAAAATAACATGAACTGCACTCTAAATATCATCCTTTCCGGAAGTGTTATACAGTAAATCCTGGATCTCAGTCCCTTGCCCTCTCATATTGCCATTGCAGCTCTTCCATTGTGTAGGGCCCCGGGAAAGCTCGCCAAGTAGTATTTCTGGAACTCTGGTTGCAATGTGCATGACCTGATTGTATTCCTAGCAGAGTTAACCAGTTTTCGCAGTTATTCGATGCTAGATGAGAAACTTACCGGAGAAACACACCCCAAAAGTTCCTCATGCATAGTACTTTGCCATTTGCTCACCAGGATCCTTGACTGCGTCTTTTTGTTCCTCAGCCACGGCCAGCATCTCGATCAGCATTTCCTTGGGAAAGTCTTCCGGGTCCTTCTGGAGCTTTTTGCCTTTTACGCTGGTAAATTTATCAAGAAAGTATTGGCGAAGAGCGCTTCCTTTGCTAGTGTTTTTCCAGACCAAGTTCAGCTGTGCTGTGTTATAGACCTTGTATTGAGTCTCGAGTTGGTGGATAAGGTAAATGCTTTGATTCTTTAATGCGGCAATCTTAAGTTGATCAGCGACAATCCAGAGGTCGCAATAATTTTTGATAATGCCTGCGAATTCGTCCTTTTGAATTTTAGGAGGAGTCCTTAATTGGGGGACAAGTAGCCATTGAACCAACAGTTGGATAACCTCGGTTCTGTAACCTTGAAATAAAAAGAACATGTTCTGTTTAGCCCTGTGTTGATTCAAGAAATGCTCTCTCAAGACAGAAGAGTAATGATCGGGAACGATGACCTGTAGTGACCACCGAACCTGCTTTTGGTTGATTCCACAGGCAATGGTGGCCATCATTCTGGAGTTACTTTACAGCATCAGCATAAGGATCACCCGAAAACTAGGTGGAAACATACGACGGATTAATGTTCGGTCCACTACCTGGATGGGGAGGAGCTGCCGGGGCTTTCTCTTCGGTCATTTTCTTCGATCCTGCTGAGGCCGGGGCTGCCTTGTCGACTTTTTTATCAAACTTGCTCTTGTTTATCATATCAGGTGTGTCGGTTTTTGTTCAACTCAAAGAACCAGTTCGTTGTATAGAGAAGGTGGATTAAGATGTAGGGGTCGGAGTTCGGACCCAAATACTTAAGACGGTGGCAGAGGTAAGCAGATTTCAAGGTTGGCAGAAAGAAAGAAAGGGTAGAGACTGGCATTTCTTGTTTTAGGGCAAGATTTACGTCCTGCCCTATTCTCCGGCTTCGGGGCTGCCTAAAAAGTGAATGGCAGTAAGTGATATAGTTATCCTATCTTCAATCTAAGAGTTAATTGATATTCGTCAGACATAATCTACTGCAGTGCAGCCTATTTATTGAAGAGGTAGGTTTCAAGAATTGTGGAAGCTATCCCACTAATAGATATACGAAATGTTTCTGCTCCGAGTATTAGAATGTATCGTAACAGAGATTAGTTTTTAATTTCCTCGGGTGGCAACGAGATGGTTCACAATTCCAAGACAAAATTTTTTGAGCTTGAACATTTTCTTGAAAGCTAGATTGCTTTTTCTCGAGGATAGCTCCCTTATAATTTGAAATATGAATAGTTTGGTCTACTGATATCTACAAGATATAGACCAAAGTAACTGTCTGTCCTGAATGTGTTTGATTGCAACATTACAAACTGATATTCTGCTGCCGTCGACTATCCTAAGAACAAGCATCTCTAACTACCAAGCAGCAACTCCTTACAAACGGATCTTCTGGCTTCATCTCTCTACACCAATATCCTTCGAAACAACTCAGCACTTGATCTAAACGATATTCTCGTTGGAAGACTATATTTCTCAAAGCTCCTCTTCGACTTCCACCTCCCCAACACGGTCAGCAGCCAACTCCTTCTTCATAGCCGCCAAGGAAGCTTCAAGATCTTCTTCATATTCCCCTTCCGAGTCCTCCATCGGTTCTTCATCTACATTCTCATCTTCTGTCAAATCCTCTTCCGCCATAGGCCATCCATCCACGTTTTCATCGTCCGTTATCTCCTCCTCTGCCATGGGTTCCCCATCGACATTCTCGTCCTCCATCATCTCATCCTCCCCCTTCTCCATCTCCACAATCTCCTCATGCATCTCCATGACACTATCATCGCCCACCGCAGACTTTCTCTTCTTCATGGCCAGCCTATAAGTCAATGCTTCATCCTCCCCATCACTCTCACTATCATGACAAATTCTTCGCTTATACCCACGCGCATTCGTATTATCTTCCCAAAAGGTCTCTTCAGGCTCGTTATCCCGCTGTCCACATATATCGTCCTCTCCATGACAGTGCGCGAAACAAGTCCACTCACGATCTGGACTCTGTTGTCTCGGGTCTTCCATGTACTTCTTCTGAGCCAGCAACCGCTCTATGAGATCAGCAAAGAGGTCAGACATATCTCGACACATGTCTTGAATGACCTTGATCTCGTCTCTGTCCAGTTTGAAGATTGGATTCCATCTTACTGTGTAGTGCTGATGCTTTAACCCCTCCTTTTTAGCTTTTCGTTGGAAAAGTTTGCGCTCCGTGTTGATGGCTGTTTTGCGGTTACGGTAGAAGGCATATAAAAAGAGGTGATGAACGAACTTGCGGAGTCCCGAGCCGGCGAACGTGTTATTATAGACTTTGACCAGGAGGTCAGTGTCGATGTATTTGTCGAATGTATGGGACGTGAGGCGCATCATATCCATGGTAGCATCCATTAAGTTCCTATGGTCTATTTTCTCAGCAAAAATATAGAAGTCGTAAAGGTCGTTGAGGTATTGCTGGGTGTTTCCCGTTGGGATATTCTTGCGGTAGAGATATCCGGCAAAAAATGTCATGGTTGCCGGTGTCTCGTCCTGCAGCCAAATCTCTTGTGTCTGAGTTTCTTTGTATGGTCCCGAGAATGCTAATTCGAAGAATCTTGTGTCCTGAAGGAGGGTCTTGTGGATGGAATACTTTGTTTTTTCGGGCCCGACGAAGAGGGTAACAATGTCACCTGTAAGGGCATTGGGTCAGGTTAGTATGAGGGATGTTGATTACGGAATGAGATGACTTGCTCTTCTAATGGTAAATCGTCAATCGGAGGCATGACTGTGGTTTTTATCTAGCGGATACAGAATGTAAACAACGACTGCTGTCAAAGAGATCGTAGACGATGGCTTCAAGACACCTGCAGGTGCGATGTGTTACAGACTTGTCTTGCAAATTGAAGAGACTTGGAGTTGAAACGCGACTTGCAGTACCTGGGCTTGAGACGAAGAAGTAGCTAATGCAAATCTGTGCGAACGATACAAAGGTTGCGCAATTGATCGACGAAAATGTGATGATGTCCACAGAAACTTGAAGATTTAAAGAGAAGAAAAGGACTGGGGGATTCAACGTGTGTCCCAAACAGTCTCGGTTGGTGAACACCGAGAAACAAAGCTGAAAACCCAATGACAATAGGAGACCTACGATAGGTTACTTGGGTCCTCTCAGAATCACACCAGAACTTTCCACAAGATGATTCACTTCAACATCCCACGGATCAGGCTCACCACTATTGAGTAGACTGTGGCTAATACGCCTATTCTTTCTTCAGCTATGGCCGGCCACCGTCGGCACGTCTCATGGTTTTTTCCCGGTTCTTATATGTATCTCCGCCGTCACACACAGATCATCTAGGGATGCAACCCCTCCAGACCACAGATTAGTTATTTATGCATGATGAAACGACTGTTTTCAATAATCTCAATAAGCTAGCCAATATATGATGAGCATGATTGCTAGTAGTTTGCCGGAGGGCTGGGGATCAAAAATATGGTAGTGGTTGCGCGTTGATATCACGTGACGGTCCCCCCTTTTGCTCTCGGGACTTGGGGAGGAAATATGCGACGGGAATTATATTATGGTTTCGCTGGGTGAGAATGTATACGATTGATCAGTACAGGTGGGTTTTGCGTCAAAATCATGCAGGGAGTCAATTCTCCGAAGGTGGTGATGGCGCCGCCCACCTCAAGTCACTTCGAGAAGAACAATGTTATACAAAAAGAATGAAAAAAACAAAGTTCATATTCTGCATCTGCGTGTTCTATTTTAACTGTGAGACTACATTTAATACAAGCTTTTTATTGTAGACGTTCATTGCAAGTGTACAGTGGAATCATCATTGCTATTGTATTTGAATTCCAAAAGCTTCCTCCCGGGTGCAGAGCCAACATTCTCCGGAATAATCCCGAACTCTTATGCTGATAAGCCTAGGTCCCCCTGCTGCAAAATCATGGCTCTCACGTAGTTATTTGGAAGTACAATTCAAGTGACTTCTACTAACTGGCAGATTTTGCTTATGCCAGCCTCAAGACACAACGCCTAGACCTGCAATTTGAAGATTAAAGCACCCATCTGGAGTTGCTTTGCTGATACAGTCAATTGATGCTGTTTTTGAACATAAAGAAGTGGAATGTCTAGACGAATGTAGAGTGAAAAGAACAGAACGGAAGCATTCTGTTCTGCAGAGACTCTTTCAACATTCCGCTAAATGCGCGAAGTCCTCCACGGCCTCAAATCTCAGCAACCATTCTCTCCAGAAGCAGCTATACCCTTTTCAATCCTTATACCAGACCCTTTGCCCTTCTCAAAGATGTTGCTGCCTTCTCCCAGTCTTGGGATATTCCTTCTTCTTGTGCTTGTTATAATATTGTGTCCAACAGTCGAGTAGATTACCCAATGCTAAATTATAGAAGCTCAAGGTCTGACATGACATGTGCTGAAATAGCGCCAGCATGATTTGTCTGTCCGTGTGACTTTTGGCTCCATGTGGTGTGTGTATTCGATTCTTTGTAAAAATATGCTTCCCGCGCCCAAGATATTTGATAGAAATATAGCAGATGTTAAAAGCTTTTCTAGCTTGCAAGGTCTTATTCTCCTCATTTCCATGCAGTAGGTTCGACTTCGCAAGCCTCCATTATTTATTAGGGCCGGAATAAGAGGTGGTAGCTTTTGGAAAGAACGATGCTAGTTCCAGTCAACGACGTGCAAGAAGTTGAATCCTCTTGCAGATTAGTTTTTAATTCCACGGCATTCTTTTGTCGTTATTTTAAGAGCGCGCTGGTTGGTAGTCGGGGAAACCAGGAGGAGGAAGGAGGAGGTGGGCGAGGTGCCTTGTGCTGCGCAATCTTTTTTTCACTCGGCCAGTTCAATAAGCGCTCTTCTGTATGATGAACACTTACAAGATCAGAGCTCAATTGTATCCGCCAATTTCCAAACCCAGAAGTGACCTTCTATGCTTTCTAGTATCTACTCATAAACGCTCCCGCTTTTGATAAAGAGCTTGCCCAAGATCTGTGGGCAACGACTGATCCGGCAAACCTGCGTTCATTATCTGCAGCCAGTGGCATTTTGTAAATCATGTACTTGACACTTCTGCAAATCGTAGGAAGGGAAAGGGCGAGGAGGAGGTATGGTGTCGACTGGAGTGAGTGTTAAGATAGCCCTCGACTGTATGCTATTCTTTGGTGTACTTAATGAGCCATGCTCATGGAGGAGAGGGGATTTGGCAGTGGGCTGCTTCTCTGTATCATCTATAGACATGCTCGCCGTGGTATGTTTGGAATCGACCTGGACGTCGGACAGTATTAGCTATTGGTAGTTGATATGCGAATAGCGCCAATGCTCGATAGCAAGATCACTAGAGCTCCATGCGGAGACACTAAGAGACATTGGCAGTTCTCTCGACATTTTTTCGAGGTGTTGTCAGTCTAGGGTCGCACACTTAGCTGGAAGCTCTTTCCTTTGTTTGCATGTTGCCTTGCCGCTGAGTTTGCCACCACGCTGTATACGCCACGAGCCCCAAGCCCTAGCTGTGTTTCCCCCTCAATACACCCTAGTAGACCGTGCTAACCAAGAAAAGTTGCAGGGACGATGGTAAACAATACCAAAGCTACACTTGAACAGCTCTTTCTGCCATGGTGATGTTCCTTCGCTAGACTTCCTGTCTTGGAGCAGTCCAGTTCTTTGTTCGAAACTCTATAATTTGACGTGCCCGACTCTACTCGCAGATGGCCTCACTGGTATGGGCTTTCGCGGCCGATCCAATGATATGGAATAACGCCATCTCTGTTATCACCACTTGCGTATGCGCTGGTAAAAACCACCACGGATGGCTCACCAGGATCTGGTCATCGCTCTCCAGTGATTCCGCCTGGTCCTAGTACGCCCTCAGTCAGCAGAGCATGAGATAACCAGAAAGCGCTCATGGAGACTCACTAGTTGGGACACTTAAGACGCTCCAGTAGATTGATGGTTGAATGGTAGCATTTTGGCGGCAGTAAGAATTGGTAGAAGGCAGATTTAATATCGTAGGGAGAACTGAAAGGGGGAATTCCATAGATAAAGAGTGCGTGCTGAAAAGCCACAGTGACGTACAAAAGATCAACACCCCGAATAATGTCAATGTATGTAGGGCTCAGAACCATAACTTAAACCAGCGAGAAAGACTTGCAATAACGTCGACTTCTGTTCGGTTAACATCTTGGCAGAATGCGTTCCCAGATTAAATGAAGCAGACACTTCAAACACTTGGATTTGATACAGTGGCAGGTACAGCTCTTACTCGCTTGAAGGAAATCCGAGTGATTTTATCAATTGTTATTTACATCATACAATGAAGCTAATCTGAAAAGAAATATTCAACACCCCAAAATCTCAAGGTGTGCATCCATTATCCTCAATCAAATCTAAGCGCTATCCAAAACCCCATCAACCAACTAACAGTTTCTACTAGGTTTATGAGTTTAAGACGGGTTTCCGGTGCTTGTGCGTCCAGAAAAACCGCTACTTCTGAAACTCCATCCTCGGTCAAAGGTTAGGCGCGGGCTTTGTCAAATTGGTGGCAATTGGCGGATCAAATATCGAACTCTGTAGCTTCCGGCATTCTCCAATTGATCCTTCTAGTCCAGAATATGAATCATCAAAGACCTCCATAAGAGCTTTTCCACCACCATAGCTGCTTCTCCTTCTAATGCGAGGCCCTACTATTCCCGCTCTAGACCACTAGAACGGATTCTGAGGTATGTTTCTCTCGCTCTGGGCATAACACGAGGCACCAACTCGTCCGTGGTGGTGGAATTTGCAACGCAATGGATCATCAGGAGACATACGACCATGCTTCTCCCACGGGCGCCACGCGTCATTCTTCAAAGTGTATTGCCAGGTGATCGAAAAATCGGTGAACAGATCCACGTTGTCTCGCGTCAGAGTGTGTAGCTGAGGGATATGATCTCTGCCAATATTGACGCCTTCTGCATCCGCATCTCCCAGTGTCTCGGAGTCAACGATGAATTTGCCGACGAGTACCTCAACATATAGCTCCCGAAGGAGGGATTTCGCCTTGGTCATGGCGTAGACTCGGTTAATCACCATAGCTATCTTGGTGGGAGAAAAGAGGTTGCTCGCAACTCCAATCTGTATTTCTGCATAGAGTTAGTATGATTTACGTGTCATTGACCATAGAGCCATGGGCTAGATGTATGGACGAATCTCGCCTGCTACCAAGAATAGGAGTTCATAAAAGACAACGAAGTGAAATATTACTTACGGTCCATGACTCGGTTCATTAACTCGTAGATCTCCATTCGTTCAGCCTCAAAATAGATGTTTTGGAGCTCGTGCATTGGAAGATTGGCCGCAACTCGTTTGTGGAAGATCCAAGCTTTCAAGTGGTCGTAGGTGGAAGGACTATCTGCATAGATTACCACGGGTTTCTTTTTCGTACCGTAGCCCTCCAAGTCGATCATTCTTCCGAGCCACTCAGAGGTTGAGACCAGTGTATCCTTTGGGAAACTGAGGATCTTAGTATGGGTTCCGGTCATCACCTGCACGATAGTTCTGTGGGCGGATCTGCAGGTCAGTTTTTGCTAATACTGTCGTTGATTGGATGCAGCTCACGAGTTGTTAACAGTACTAGCTTTGGTTTTTTTGGCCTTTGCTGGACCGGCTATTGCAATATGCGCATTGTGCATTGAGCCGGATACAAGTGTAGGCAAATCTTGGGGATTTTGGTTGGGAAAGTCGGTTTGATTAGAGTTATTATTCATCTTGTGAATATAGCGATTATAGCAATAGCAACGGGGGTGAGAATGTGTGCAGAGACGTTCGAGGCCAGTCCAAAAGGCCCAAAAGTTTCAGAATGCTTTGAAGTCAATAAACAAAAGTGTGTCTGGTCTCGACGCGTGTAGGGGTCCTGGTCGGCTAAAATTTACCCAAGCCAGCCCTTCTGGACTTCAACTTCGCCTCGTTGTCCCAGAAGCTTCTAGCCTTCACACATACTCCAGTATTAGCTCTGCAAAAAATCTTAATCTGGGCTGACCTGTTCGCTACAACAATATATTCAACGGTGGTACCATCGAGTATCATTGACAGGCATCAAACACAGCAGTACAGTGAAAGATGAGATCTACGATGCCGCCAACAGTAAGTTCCTTTTCTTCAGATTCTCATTGTGCTGAGAGTCAACGAGAATATCCTTTTCGCGCGTTTTACTGATCTCACCAGACCCCAAAGACTGAGGACGATGGAATGTCAATGGCACTTGTGCTTGCTATGCCGTCTGAGACGAAGTTGTTCACGTGGGTTTCCTCTTTCTTTTTTACAGTATAAAGGAGCTGATGATTTGATTGTAGTAGCCTGGGTTTTCAGATGTCCACCTTCAAGGTCAGCGAATATCCTAACCAGCGCTTCTATTCCGTCCACAAGAACCTTCTTACGCAGATCGGGGGAAAGTTGAAAAAGCAAGCCAAGGATCTCAGACAAAGCCAACTGATCGAAATTCCCAACGTTGATCCTCAGATCTTTGGCTTCTTGGTGGATTATCTTTACAGAGACACGGTCCAAACTGTCAAGATTGACTCCAACAGCATCGAACAACACACAACACTTACGAATCTCTGTGTCTACTACGCATTCCTTGAACGTATGCAAGTTCGATACAAGTTGCTGAACAAAGTCATGGACAGCATCCAGGACGGGTTTTGCATCACCGGTACAATGCCAGACCCCGAATTTTGTAAGAGTATATTCGCAAATACCACGCCTGACTCCCAACTTCGCAAGTTCGGTGTGGCATGCGCAGCCGCTGGATTCTTACAATCAAATACGACTTCCGAGCAACTTGTCGCATTTCTCAAGGACGAGGAATTTGCTTATGGATTTTTGGATGCTCTTCGCTGGTTGGACCGTGACGTCGACCCTCGGGTCAGAGAAGTAGTTCAAGGTTTGGCTTTTGACGGCAACGAAAACTTTCATGCTGGATTACCACCATGCATCTTTCATATCCATGGACCTGCTCCAAGTGAGAGAAAGGCAAGAGCTACCAAAGATAAGCAACTGGCAAAGATGGAGAGTGGAAAGTCCGCGAATGAAAAGGCAGTGGTTAGAGAGATGGAGAAATGTCATTTGTCTCGTTGATGTCCACAATATATCGCCTGTTGAAGCTCGTTCTGAGATGATTTGATCGTCGCAGAGGCACATCATCTTGCGTACAGTTGGACACATAGCATGCAGTCTCTTGGCTATAAACACTGTGATGCGAAGTGGTTTCGGGGTAGATAAAGATTCTGCGGTTACCTGTATTTGAAATAGATTAAAACTCCGAAGGGCTGAAGTTGCACCGGATTTCTACAAAAAAGATCTCTTTCAGGTCCTGGAAGTTTAGCTTAAGATCATAGATACACGAGTTTCGGATAGCTGAATATAATGATTCATACACTGTTCATCAGTGGGAAGACTTCCAAGTTGAATAAGCGGTGAAAATACGTAAACAGGCGTGGACAGTGCTGTTCTAACCCCCCGAACAACTGTTTCTTGTCCAAGGACCACTTTATTAGCAACCTAATTAATGTTACCGTGGTAATTTGAGCCATCAGACACGGAGTCTAGAGATTCTCGGTGTCTTTGGTTTATGAAATCAATTTTGAATCAATTTAGAGCTATTCTTTCTGTGCAGCTCACGTCAATTATAATATGGCAAGCAAGACACTATCTAGTCTTGCCTTCTGGCAAACCGCCTATATCTTTGAACCACGTTAGCAATATTGGTATGGTAGATACAAGACTGCAGATTAACCACCCTTACAATTTGGTTCGCTATAATGCTGGGGCTTGTGCCGCATTTTTTGGGGCGAAAACATTACGCATTGGGTGTGATAAAGAGCCAGACATGCCTGCTGTCAGTGCCGCACTTCGTGTTCTGGCTGTATAGCCTCAAAGGGATCGAAAGCTTCATAACGATGACAGAACTTGGGCTCTATGACTTAGATTTGGACTGTTGGATCATCCTCAGCTGGTGGATAAGATCACAGTGGGCCGCCCTTCGAGCCTCAAGAGCCCCCTGAAAATGCTGACAGATTCCCTGATGGTGCGGATAGTGTTGATGGGACTAATAGAACTGATCGATGTGATGTTGCATAGTCCTCGATATCCCTTTTGCAAATTAAAGATGTGCAATGCTTGTGGTACCTGTTATATTTGGAAGTCTTTAGCGCAGCACTTCTTATTACACCCCACAGGTAGGTCCAGGACTAGGTGCTCTTTCATCCAGTCTGCCTGACAAAAGTAGGAACTACTACTACGAGATATGCATGATGAGAATAAAACAAGTGTGCGAGGTGAGGTATTGGACTGATCAGTGACCATGTTGTAGAACTATAGAGAAACCGGGTTGCCAGACCGACGTTGTGTTTACTTGGACTCGAACATTAACCGTTCGCCTACCTCTAACATGCCTTACCTGACAGGTTCGCCGAAACCTTTTTGTTGCCAACGCTCCAGCCTGCCATCTACCTCGAAAACACAACGTCCGACTGCAGCGCTTGAATCATCGTTACGCCTAGCATCTCCTTCATACTTAATAGATCGACGAGGCCTGATCCCTATCATGACACCTGTATCAAAGCGGCTTGTCGAAGACTACGAGTCTGAGATGTTGGTCCGCGAACGCTCTAAGCATGTATCCGATTCATCAACGCAAACACAAGAGACCACGGCAGCTGATATATTATCGTCGGAGTAAGTGTTTTATACAGAGAACAAAGCTCGAGAGGGACTGAGATTCTCTCTTGTACATGGAGAACAACCGATTGGACCATGCTGATTGCTACCAGAACACTAGGAAACGAAATTGTTCAGATATACGTGGGGCAAAAAAGGAAACATTTCTCAGTGCACAAGAAGCTAATCTGCGACCGATCAAAATATTTTAACGGCGCTTTCAACAGAGGCTTTATGGAGGCGGGTTCAGGAGAACTATATCTCCCTGAAGATTACAGCGCGGACGCATTCGATCATTTGATCGACTTCATCTACAGAAAAGCGCTTCCCCACTACGAGTTGAACGATTATACCAGATTCGTGGCTCTGTATCACCTGGCACACCAGTTAGGGATGGACGATTTAATGAACGATCTTATTGACGACGTCAGGAAGAAGCACATGGACTACAACTGTTGCTTTGGACCGCGAGCCTCTAAATTAATCTACTCTAATTCCGATTCCGGTAGTAAACTGAGAGCCCTAGCGGCATTCGAGATTGTAGTTGACCTCCACGAAGCTTCATGGCACGAATTTGGCGATACGAAAGAATTCGAAGATAAGTATGCAGAATTCTTCAATGAAGCGCCCGAAGCTGGGGCAGACTTTTTCAGAGCGCAGTGCAGGTACACGCAAGAAGTATGGAATCATACTACTAGAAAAATACCTCATGCGGCGGCCGACGAATGCGATTTTCACATCCATCTAGACGGAAAGGTGTCATGCGCCGATTAGGAAGATCTAGAAGCACTAGTCATGTAGTCTGGGACGGGGTTTCGCTATATCATTCCAGTGAAAAGGTGGCATATGGTGTAACGGATTATATCAAAAGCGGGTGGATAAGAACCGGAACCAAGCAGTATGTATGTTCCTTAAAGTAATATATGTTGCAAACCACCAGTCATGCGGGCGACTGACAAGATTACAGGCTTTGATCTTTTTCTCCGACGTTTGTTAATGGTTTCCTAATAGTTTCATGGTTCAATCGCCGATGGTTTGGGATATATGGTTTCTTTCTGGACAACTAGAGCTCGGGTTTCTCTAATACTGGATCATGTTGGACAAAGCCTTGTCTTAGGAGCGAGTTGTTTGAAATTCGCACGTTAAAAGGACAGTTGGTATGGGTTTGAAATACCCTGCACACAAACAATGGATTTCAAGCAATCTTGTGACGCTTATAAAAATGGTGGATACAGGAAAAGTTAATTTGAATATGCTAAATAGTATGAGCATCACAGGAAGATCATGATGCATGCATGTTGGGGCCAAGGTGTTCACTTCAAAGTTTTACAGTCAAATAATAGAATACTTGAAAGCTCTCACGTCCAGACTTTACATGCTGCAGTTATTTAACATCATGCAAGGTTTCATGGCAGAAGACGCAGAGAAAATACTCTTTTTCTGCAAGTGACAATCAAGTGTAAAGGAGGTACGCGAGACGCGACTAGAGACATCATTGCGCCGATTGGCCGATGACTTGGACCCCGTTCTATACACTGTTATTTTTCAGCCTTGCACACCTATAGACTGCTACTTTTCAGCCTTCTTCCAAGCCTTCTTCCATTACCATCATTGGGACCTCATACATCTTGGGCCACTAAAGAGAGCCGCCACCAGTGGGTGACAAGACTCACGGGCCACCCTGAAATAAGCGAAAATGGTCAAAAACACGAGTAAACAGCCATTATTTTATGAATAACTCAAAAACATTACCATTTTGCCTCCTTAATGACCTTCCCACCGGTTCTAGCTAGTCTTTTACATCTACCTGGCATGTCAGATATGCGGCTTCTTATCTCCTCCAAAGTGATCCTGTCCTATTCCTCCAAAATAACAGCCTTATATTGCTCAAGATTTTCCCACTCCCTACGCCGTATTCTTTGCTTTATAATGTTCCAAATTGCCTCAATTGGATTAAGATCTAGCGATTGAGTAGGATAGTATAAAGACTTAATACCTTCTCGCTCCTTAAGCTGGGTTACTAGGCTAATCTTACGCTTACCGTGGCTAGGATCGCCATCTTCTTGTAGGAGCCATTTAGCCTCTAGTTAGTACTACTCTTTGAGGTTCTTAAGCGTAGATATATACTCTAGAAGTAGACGTTCAACGAAGTACTTTTGGGTCATTGAATTGCCCTTCGGTTTAACCGATTTCTAGTGACCGATAGCCGCGTCCTACTCGATTATCTTTTACTAATATTTATCCTCGGAAAGCTTTTGACTTCGTCGAGGCTTTCGGGGACGTTTAGGAGGTTCTAAAGACTCTTCCTTATCGTAGTAGAACATTAGTAGCCCTTTGGCGTACCAATTAATCCACCCTACCATATAGAGCTTTACGCCCTTCTTTTCACCTCGAATTTGAATATTTTCGGTATCGTAACGGGTTCCTTCTTCTCGTAGAATATAACCCTGAAGGTAAGAAGTAGGATCGAGGTGCCCTTCGTCCGTAAAAACAACCGTTGTCCAAAAATCGGGTAGCTTCTTTTACCGGTGCTCAAAACCGTATTCTGTCCGCTTATCTCTGTTTTTCTTCGAGATCTCTTTCTTTCGATATACCTATTTGTACCTCCTAGTATTCTTAGTGTTCGACTTGACACTCCTTTCGATTATACGAGGGTGGGCATTAATTTCGAAGTGAGTAGCCATCGTTCCGTAGGTCTTGTCTCGAATAGGATTCGTCTTCGGATTTACAAGGTCTTTTGCGAGTGTCGGGGGTACTTTTGGCTTCGGCCCTAGCTTCTAGGTATATCTTCGACTCTTTCTCTTTGCTATATCACCATATAAACCCCTCTCCTTAAGCCAGCGTTGGCCGGCAGTCCTCGATACTCTTTCTTGTTTAGTAATCGTCCTAACACCCTCCCCAGGTTGTCGCGCGTCCCACGCCTTAAAGAACTCAGTTTTCTTTGGCGTACTATATTCACGTCTTTTCTCCTGCTCAATGCGAGTATTAGAACGCGTTTAGTAAGACATTTAGGTTATTGGTTATTTAATTATTAATTATCTAAAAAAGAGAGCGCGTTGAGTTGTTTTGGTCGACCTCGGTTAGAGGTGGCCCGTGAGTCTTGTCACCCACTGGTGCGCCAGGCAAAAAGCGTATTCTCGAGACGACCCCCTTTGATCCTGTTGATAAGTTTTCGACAAACATCACTGATAGATATCTTATCATAGGTACAAAACCAAGTTCTGTAGCTCATTGCTTCAAGCGAGGAAGCTGGATTGCTATCAAGACCATGATCACCCTTTCAAGTCAACGATACAGTAAATTCGAGCTCAAAATCAACAAAGCTAGACCGCACTTGCCGCCAGACATCCTCTTCTTTGGGGTATTTTCCCTTATATGCGAAACCATTCTATAAATGACGATTTCAATCTCCAGAAGCCAGACTCCTCTGCGTCTTAGAGTACTACGAACCTGTACCTCTACTTAGCTAGTTCGTGGTAATAGCACACACACTCCTCAGGGCGGTGTCGACGTAAAAGCTGACTATAGTAGCAGAGACCGCTCAGAGCCTTGGAGCAGTCATTCAAAAGCATACTGGACCGCGGTCTTATGGTAGAACCAAATAAGGCACAGCGTCCGGCAATGCTTAGCGGAAACAATCAAGGATAGAACAACGAAGCTATAAACCACAAGAACAAAAGCGTATAACTTTTCATTGGAACAGACAAGGAATGGCGGCCGTCATAGGGCGTGAGACTAAATGAAAGGCTGTCTTGAGTCAGCAGCAGAAGTGCGAAGCGATATGGAACAGTGGAGAGCAATTGCAGTTTCTTTGCATTCTCTGAGTGCGTGTCGACGAGCTTGAACTATCCTTCCTACATAGTTAGTTTCTGCCAAGGTACTGGCCGCACCACATCATCACAAAACAATGAGGAAGTAGCAGCTGACCTCGAGAACAGTGCCAACCATACCCAAACTTCGAACACTCCGAACATACGTTGGACTAGTGGTTATCTCTATTGGAGCTTTGCAGGACAATAAAATGGCGGCTCAATCCCAGGACTGCGGGCTTCCGAGAGTTTACTCACGGAAAGCATTTAAATCGCACAACTCAACTCTCTCAGGGATATATATAAGGGAATGACTCTCGACAAGGTAAAAAGGTGACGAATGAACTCGAGAAGAGCGTCAAAGAAAATCTGGGTAAATCCAGGGTACCGCTATCGCTATTGGAATTGGGTTTGTAGGCTCATTTCGGCTTCCAACATCCAAGGAAGACTATATTAGCACAGTCTTGTAAGGAATCCCTTATCACTGGGTGAACTTTTGTGGCGGCCTTTCAACAAAGGTATCAAGCGGTTGAATCGGAGGCTTGTGTTCTTCCGCAGAGATGTTGTTCTGGGATCCTTTGAGACTGTTCAACCTTGTTCCATTCCCGGGCCTGTGGGTTTAAGAAAGAACAGCAGACTGTTCAAAGTGTAGAAAAGTCCCATGCACGCTGATAGTTGGAAAAACCATGGGCCTCAAAGCGAAAGTAAGAGTTGCTACTTTCATTGACACTGCTAACTTATATTACAACTACCAGCGTTATCCCACCACTTCTATTCAAGCCAGTAAAGCCGAACAATCTACCTGTATGTAGAGCCAACTGCGAACACCTACTTAGAGCATAGTCGCTTCTATCCTATACCTTTCTTTCTCAAGAGCTAAAGAGAGCCCTATCGATGTACAACTCGCCCTGGAGGTAGACTCATCACACGAAGCGTTGTCGCCTAAATACCTACTAGAAATCGACACACCTCTTTTCGAACCTCTCTTCTTCTCGGTCTTCTCTGCCTCTATCTCGAATTCGGATTTAAACACCTTTTTCTTCAGTCCATACTTTCAAAGAGGTAGGCTTCTAGCTACTCGAGCGACCGACAATATATACCTGCGAGAAGGGAAGACGTACGCGAATGGTTTCAGAAGTATAAGAGACCTTAAGAGATATAAGAATACGTGAAGCATTAAGGATAAGAGGGACAAGTGCTAGAAAGCTAGAAAAGGGGATTATACATTTTGGAGGGCCTTTTCGAGAATTTGGATTTGTACTTAGCCTTGGCTGAGTGTACTCCCGAGTCGGGAGCCTCCGCATTTACCTAGAGCTACCTATACTATGCCGCTTCGCTTTACCAAATTGAATTTGCTGTTCTAACCGGTGGGGAAAGGGTTAGTCACTATCTTACTCCCTGACTCAAAATGTCTTCTTCTTGGTTCTAATAGTACCGTAACACCGCGGGGTTAGGGACCCTAATCTCAGAGATAAATCCTTCTTGAGCTTTAAAGAAGTGCCATCTAAGGGATTTCTAAGGGCTCTTTTGAACGAGTTGTTTTTGACCCCTGGTTTAGAGTTTTGGTTATAACTCCAGAGCTGAAGACAACTTGAATACCCCGTGGGAGATGAGTAGGACTTTCCAACCTCGCAATCCCGCTAAATGGTATAATCTGAAGACTAGTCTTGCTTTTTCTTGTGTCAAGTAACTCGTGTCAACTGTTCCTCTTCAGAAGGCCTATGGAGTTGACAGATGTGTTAAGCTGGAAGCGTTTGAGAAAACTTCAAGAAGAGGCAGGCTGTACGACAATCGATACATTGACAACATATGTAACAGATAAAAGAGTAAGAACGAGATACAAATGGAATGGCTATTACTTGAGGGTACCTTGGTGTTAGAATTACATCTTGACAGCCGCTGTACATAGCTTAAGTACGTCGGATGTGTTTGGTCGAGTACATAGATACTCGTTCGGCAGACTAGCGTTGCATTAATACTTGGTAGTAACCAGCAGCTTCAGCTCAATGAGCTTTCAGAGCCTGAGTTCAAGTTCTTCATAGGCAGTATCGCAACCAAACTCCATAGTTGGTCAGTAAAACACTGTAAGTCTCAAGGTTCTCGATGTACGTGAGAGTTGCACATAAATTACCATGTTTCTCGATATCATGATGACCTCCAGTTTGTTGGGTACGGTATATGTCCTCGTCTGTTCTTTTCTGTCTTATCAATATATCCTAGAATTCTTAGTCTTTCTAGGTGTATTTCAGTTTATACAAAACTCTGACCGAACGAGTTATCCAGGGAGTCCCATCATACAGTTCTATCAGCTGAGGATGTTACTTGTTGAGCAACAGGGATGGAGATGTCAGTCATCATAGAACATAATCATGGTTATGGAAGACTTGTTCATTTGCCAGATTTTTATTTGGATTATGTTACACCATTGATACCAAAGAGATAGAAACAATAGCATCTGTAACTGAACCTTCAGGGAAAGATCCTGATCCAAAGCTAATGTACAGAGATGTTGGGAAAGGAAAAGAAGAGAGATACAAAAGAAATGTAAACGGAAATTACAAAAGAAAGACTTGAAGCATATCCAAAGTAACCACGAGCCCGAGCAACACGTTTTCCAAAATATATCCTGCAGTTGCTAGTCCTTAGAACAGCTGAGAAAAGTCGAAAAAGTTAGAGCGACTTAGATGTAACCGACTCGCGAGGCCTTTCCAACCTTAAAAAGTTGCTCTGCCACAGCTTATAGGAAGAAACGCCGGCCGGGTACGCTGATATACATGATTTTACATGGTCCAGATTTTATTGATCCGCGCCGTGCTCTTCCGCTCTTTATAGATTCAGTCGGAATCTCGTAGATGTGACCGACTCGCGAGGCCGTTTCAACCTTGAAAAGCTGCTCTGCCACCACCGGAGTCGGAAACAGCGACGGGTATTTGGATAATGTGGTTGGTTCTATATAACCTGTCCTCGTTGTCTTGGTCTCCGTTGCGGTCGCTATTCGAAGCTTAATAGATTGCTCTCCCACAACTACAGTAGGAAGAAACGCCGGCCAGATTCGCTGATATACATGATTTTACATGGCCCGGATTCTGATTAACTGCGTTGTGCTCTTTACCCTTCCAAGATAGTTAGGAACGACTTGTATGTGATCGATTCGTGAGGGATTTCTAAGCTTAAGATGTTGCGCTGTCACAGCCGGGGTTGGAAAGAGTGCTCGAGGATTTCGATGATGCGGTTGATTCTGCAGCATTCTTAGCTTTAGTTGTCATCGTCGTGCTTGCTGGTTCATGCATAGAAAGTGGCGCAACGATGTTGTTCGCTCCTTCCACGTGAAGTCTTGGCACTCTTTCAATTTGGTGGTTTCTCTTTCTTAGGCTCCCCATCCTCCTCAACATCATCCGGAGTCAAATCTTCAAATTCAAACATGCTCTCGTTCCACTGGTCAGCACAATAACAGTCATTGAAAACTCCCAACGCTAGCAAGATCGCCGTTCATGACACCAAGTGCCTGAGAGGTTTGACGCATTGAAGGATTGCGTAATTCCCATGGAAGCTCTGGAAGTACGACTCTTTGAAGTTCCCGAGGGGTTGGATCAAGCATTGAAGGATTAGGTAATTCCGATACTGGAGCCTCTGGAAGTATGACTCTCTGACTCAAGTGTTGTGTCTTGGAGCTTCCAATTTCCTGAGAGGTTGATTGTAGCATTGTAGGATCGCGATATTCCCATGTTGGAGCCTCTGGAAGTACAACTCTTTGAATTGCGCGTTGTCTTTTGAAACTCTCCTTCCCACGATCCATAGCAACAAGAGGATTACGAGGAGGTCCAGGAGTGCGAAAAGGAAGGCATGTAGACCTATAAGTCTCTGGACCAAAGTTTCCACAGGTGTACCAAGCGTCTTTTGATGTCATAAACTGAGGTGATATACCGTGACTATATACTATCTCACGTTCGCAGGTATCACAGAACAGTGTCTCCTCTTCTTCCCTCTCACGTTTGGCATCACCACAGAATCTGTTGATAACGTCGAAGGGAACTGGAACCTCTCCACCAATGATGTTGAGCGTCTAGCAGGGATGTCAGCAAACTCTCACTGTCTTGGTGCTTGTCAGAACTTACAGATCAGGCTCTCTCGCTAAACGATAACGTATGTGAGACGAAAGGAAAGAGGCCATGCTCTTGCTTTTTGACGCTGTAATTTCTCACAACAGGTTGATGCCCTCCCTCATCAGCAGATTGATGCTCTGCAGCCTCTGCCTTCTCATCTTGCTGGAATTGCTCGTATTTTGCTTCATATACGCTCCCTTGTTCCGCTACGTCACTGTATTGTGATCCATCGGAATCGGCAGAATCCCCATTGGTAGTAGCGACAGGCATAATAGGGGAAGGAGGATTGTAGGAAGACGAGTTTGCAATGTCGGGCATTCCGCCTAGTGCAAATTGCAGAGTATAACTCCAAGGTACAGATATAGAGGATGGCTGAGGTCTCCGATGAACGAAGTTAATGCGGGATGTTGTAGAGCCCAAAGGGCTAGGAGGTCTCCAACCTAAACATTGAATGTCGTGATAAGATCCTTCTTCTGGGAAAGCTCCTCTAGTCGAATGATCCATAGCGAGTGTGAGGAAGTGTCAGTTAGGGTGGTAGGTAGCAGAAAGGAGGCAAGATCGATTATGTAGGATTGTAGGGTTGAGCTGCTCGAGAATATGAATTCGTTCAGCGGTGAGAGAGCCTGTTTACAGATCGCGAATCAGTAATTGGTCCTCTGAAGTGCTTGACGATGAAAGCTCTTTGCAGCACGAGGTTGGAGGCCTCGTACACGTTAAAAAGTGTATGAGAGTGGAAGATCTTCCACGTTAACAAGAACAAACCTTGCGATCTCTGCAGCTTGGCGTGTTTGGTGGGGGTTGGATGTTCACAACTTACTGAATGGGTCGGTTTCTGAAAGTTGGACTTACTTCAAATATATCGAAGCGTTTGAGATTAGGTACAGAACCTCAGTTGTTGATAGATTGGAGACTGCACAGATGATACTGAAGGCGTACTTGGAGGCAACGGAGGAAAGGCGGACGTTGCTATCACGGGCTTGCTTGGAGTCTCTGCGACAGCCACCGGCTTTACCGCAGGCTTTGATGGTTCTGAAAATTCAAGAATGCCTGGCTGTGTTCGCTTCCCACTGTGTGGTGACTATGGAGAGAGGAAGGTATCCCGTGGATGTGAAAACAATCGTTGCAATTCCAAAATGGTGAGATTTCCAAGGGATTGAAAGGGTTTGAAGTAAATATAGGGCATGGTGACCTTAAAATTCAATTGCCTGAGAAACGGAACGCCGGTCAGCCGAAATAATGAGAAGTGAATAGGAGGGGCCCTCATCTCGCTTAACATAAGCAACTTGTACACTTATCCTCAATTGACATGTATCTTAGAATAGACAATTAAGAATCTATAGCACTTGAAAATAAAAATAGTAAATGAGTGAAAATTATTCTCCAAATCAAACAAGGTTGTTGTTGTCTTGTAAATCTAGCATAATGAGAAGGAGAATATGTCACGAGAATTCGACAAAACTGAAGTGATAAGCAGATTTAAGATTCAGTTTTAATGAATTTTTCGAAGTCTCAGAAAAACCAGAATCTAATTTGAGAATGTAATGTTTTGAGTCTAGATAACAAAGAAAAATTGAAGATTTGGATTTCATTATTGCTTCAGAGTCTTACACAAAGTTACTAGATTTGAAAATTGCTCTTCAAGATCCGAAAACAGTTTTTAGCGGCTTCAGTTGAATCAAAACTCAACCTGATAGAAGCTTTAGATATTTAGACAAAAGGTATTGTAAGTTTAAGATATAGTGTTATAAGTCTAGATAAGACGAAGTTGAGGCTTTTGAAAGGATTGGGAAAGTTTCCTTGAGTCAATCAATCTGACTGTGAAATAAACTTATTTTAAGTTACATGTTTATGTCATAAGCCTGAATAACACGCATAGATTTCATCAAGAAGCATTAAACAATAGACGGCTGTTAATTTAATTAGAATGTTACATAGAGTCACATCAAAGTGAAAATTGAACGCGATTAAAAGAATTAGATACCAAGTGTTGCGCCATGTACTTTCAAACAACATCTCAGCAGTAATACGCTATTTGAATGGGGATAACTATAATAAACCAGGCACATAGTGGAATGCGGCTATTTGAAACAGAAATAACACTTAAAAAAGAATCCAAGAAATCAACCGGACGAACCATTTAAAATTAAAAATGAAGTCACTGCAGGATGAAAGTGAAGCTCCGATGGGCATTCATTGAAACTCGAACTGATTGCTTATGGATTTGAAAAGTGTTGCCGGTTGGTGACCTTCAGCCCCCCACCCAAAAGAATTGTCGGGTGTGGAAATTATGCATCGGTTGGTGTTCACTTCTACATGAGTTTAGAAAACTATGGAGGCAATATAAGTTGTATAATATGCAGTCAATATGAGCATTGCTATGCTAAATGGATCATTGTATTGCCATCATTTCTTCGCACGTCAACAAGTCAGTCTGAGAAATGTACGTTAACCGAAATCTGCGCCCCTTTCCAATGAATATCCCAAGCCAAACCCCCACAAACTCGCATGCTTTCCCTTACATACACGCAAACACTCCAATTCAAAAATCAAGTTCCTCCAAATCCTGTACCATGCGCTGTACCTCGAACCCATCCAACCAACAATTCCCTCTCACAGATCGGCACTCCTTCTACGTTACAATTGGTACATCAACCTCTTTCCGCCTAGACAGTACATTCTAAAGACTGTTCCCAAAAGCGCGAAACTTCCCCTGGGCACCCAATTCGGCAACTCTCAGCGGCCCAAGCCAAAACACCTTAGACGAGCTTTTTTCTTGTATTCGGGAAGACAAGTGTGGCTGTACGCAAACAACGGACGGCCGGCAATATGAATCGTGGATTTCCTGGAACTAAGACCGAAGAAAGTAACAGTTACTCGATAATGGCGGCGATAGCTACCAACCGATAGTGTCGGGCTCTACCAACCGTTAAACCCTAGCTCCGGACAAACCGATTTCAGGGTGATAGCTATCGACCAAATAGGAGACGATAGCTATCGAGTGAACAGGAGACGATAGTTACCGACCAAATAGGAGACGGTAGCTATCGACCAAATAAGAGACGAGAGCGCCGCGTCAAGAAGGTAAAGCAGCTACTGCGGAGTATATCGTAAGTCAGTAAACACAGAATGCATGTTTTCGTCCATTTACTGATCTTCCAAAAGCGGCAGACACACCTCAACACACAACCAGCTAGCCTACCAGCCACGACAATGCTTCCCGTTCCGAACCACCAGAACGCTGGATTTTCTGGCGCCCACCTCTCTGCCCAAGCCTGCCAATATTGTGCATGGCCGAGACAGCTGGCTGTCTAGTGTCTGTCATCTCGATTACCACTTATCTCTAAGCCCCGATAACTTTGACTTTCGGGCCTCCGTTATCGAGCATGGTTTCCCATGGGATTACCCCGCCGCGGAAGTTCTGTCGGCGGCGTAGTCAGTAGCGAAGTTATCGTTACTATTTTCTCATGGGATGTCGTCCTCGCCTATTAAGTAGGCCTTTCCCTTCGCTACATGTTGACAATCACTGACTCTGCTTTAGAGCC